TGATTGACCTGAAAAATAACAACACTTTGTCAGGACCATAAGTCGATCATTTCTACCAACTTTCAGTTCAATCGCCCCAGCAGAACTTGACTTTTAGTTTGAAATAGGTATTTTCAAAATGGCGGCCGTGGCGGCCATATTGGATTTCTGATTGACCTGAAAAATAACAACACTTTGTCAGGACCATGAGTCGATCATTCCTACAAAGTTTCAGTTCAATCGGCCTAGCAGAACTTGACTTTAAGTTTGAAATAGATTTTCAAACTGGTGGCCATGGTGGCCATATTGGATTTCTGATTGATCCGAAAAATAACAACACTTTGTCAGGACCATGAGTCGATCATTCCTACAAACTTTCAGTTCAATCGGCCCAGCAGAACTTGTCTTTAAGTTTGAAATAGGTAGTTTCAAAATGGCGGCCGTGGCGGCCATATTGGATTTCTGATCGACCTGAAAAATAACAACACTATGTCAGGACCATGAGTCGATCATTCCTACCAACTTTCAGTTCAATCGGCCCAGCAGAACGTGACTTTAAGTTTGAAATGTAAAATGTTAACGGACGACGGACGACGGACGACGACGGACGAAAACGGATAGCAATAGAAAATGCCATACAGTACAGATTTATCGAACCTTTTAATGTTGAACCATTTTGTTTTCAATCTTAATTAATGCAATCATATTTCAAAGACCCACTTTCCTTTCAACTTAGCAATTCCGTTATGTCTCCCTCGATGTATCGCCTAACTTCATTTAAATGTCAAAAAATCGCTGTACACATAAAGACAGTATAACGAGGTTTTACTGGGTGATCATCAATTAAAGCACTAACGCATTTAAAGAAAGTATTTTGTTTCAATAAAATAATTAAATCAGCTCATATGAAATGACCATCCCAAATCTGCTTGTGTATGCCAAGCAAGTATGTTGTTTGGAGAGTAGGAGCGTCCCTTGAACTCTTAATTAGCTGCTGTACAAAGACAAGACAATGAAAATAAAATATTTATAAAACATTAATAATTTTCAAATATGTGTTTCAATATGTTTAATACAATAATTTAATACTAACGAAATGCCTGTAGATAGTTATAAGTTTAATAAAAACCTCGTTAAGCTGCCATCATCTGTCCAAAGAAATGTCGACGTTATAAAGGGGATTTTGTGATGAATTGAGGAAAATGTATAAAGGAATTCTAAGAAAACAAGAAAAATGGAATATGTTGGAGGTAAACGAGGTGGCACATGAAACGAGGGGCATTATATCGAGGTTATACTGTATATAAACGAGGGGCATTATATCCAGGTTTTACTGTATATACGTTTGTTTCAAATATGATCATAGGTAAAACATACTAGATCTAGTATATTAAATTCAAAATGTTCAATTATGTACAATTCAAATAGATTGTAGCTAAGTACTTTTACAGTAGTTTAATATTTACCTTATAGATTTATCTGGTTACACAGGTTTATGTAATTATAAGTTTAAATAATCTACAGACTGGCTTTATGCTTAGAAACATTAAAAACATCAACATATTAACTCTCATTGTCACTAAATTGGGTATTGGATCGCACTCTACCTAAAAATGCGTTGTTCAATAAACGATTAAAGCATTTAATGGCACACGCGCCCATTTGCTAAATAGACAATAACAATTAAAACAATAATTAACGTCGGTAGAATTCCGTTAAAATCACGGGAATAATTAATTATTGATGATGCAGTTCAGGCTTGTCATTCTCGTTTGTCCATTTAATTGGGGGGTAATCATTGCATTTGAGAACATGAAAATTCCATTAATTACAATTTATAATTACTCTCTGCCTGATAAACTGTATTTATTATACAGGTAAACGTGAAATCCTATTCCTACATTATTAGACTACAACTACGACAATCAACATGTGTTTAGTTTTTTGAATAGACTAAATTGTTGCAAAAAGTATGTTCTCGCCCACAAGTCTTATATATGTATACGATGTTACAAACACCGAATAAACTTCGAACAACTACTATAATTCTTCCAATGTATTGTTGATTAAGTCTCAGATTTTAAGTTATATAGAGATAAATCTAACTGACAACAAATATGTAGACCATTGAAATTCAGTGAATGTTGTAAATAGTTGTGCAAGGCGAGTATGCTTTATGAAAAAATCACGTGAACATGTCTTTCTAACAATTGATAACATGTCAATCCTTTTTTTTCTCAATTTCAATTAAATATCAGCTCAGAGGCAATTGGAATCCTACAACTTTAAGTGTTTTTAGAATAACAGAGTTTAACTCATTCACCCCTGAAATATCATAATGAACTATTCCAACCTTTGAATTGGAAGAGTTCAAATGTGTCTTCAGTGGGTGAATGAGTTAATCTACGCCGACACAACATACATAAACATTGAAGATGAATGTAACAAACGCACATGTAATTGCACCTACATAAAAGCCATTTTGGTCTCTGTGGAGTATAACATATATATAGAATCTAGTAATTGATACAGTATGCTAAAAGCACCATACAGCTGTATCGTTTTTCTAAGACTGATCGGCGATGCTAGGGGCAAAAATACGTTGAAATCCGAATAGGCTTAAACTACTATCGAAACAGAAGGGGAGGTGCCTAAAACACCTTATATAATTATACGAGTTTAAAAAAATAAAGACTACTGATAAATTTCACATTCATGAACATGTTACAACAATTCAAGTTCAATATGACGATATAAGTTTGTTTCTGAATTATTATAAATTCATCACCCGACATTGTTTATTTTCCACAGATGTATGTGAATATAAGGATGTGGGCGTGGTGGACACCGTCATCCCCGACTCGAACATCGACATCTGGTTCCCGATATCTGGAAGTAGCCACGTGTCTACAATCAACCATGGCGGGGTGTTGATTGATGCCTACAAGAGACCGTTCCCGAGTCCGCGTATAATGGCACACCCGAGCACGGGCTCCTTTACCTATGTATCTCACGTGACTATAAAAACCACAGCATCAAATATCAAGATCGAAGTTGTAGATTGCGGAGGTACTTTTGAAAACCGGACACTTACGAGGGTATCTCAAACAGGAAGTTTCAATTATTTCAATGCAACTAACTTGGTTGCAGGTGAAACTTTTACTTGTCTAGATCTCGTAGTTATTGAGATCGACACCGCCTCTGTGACATCATACGAGGCATACATCTTTCAATTCTACATCATGGGATGTACCTCTACAACGTACTCAACAAGCAAAGGTAAGCATTTTTGTATTCAACCTCCAGTCCAACTAAGGATTATTGTATAACTCGCACAGTTTTGTCAAAAGTATAAGTAAATTAGCAACAACAACAAAAAAAATAATGTTAAATTCTTCATTTAAAAGCAATAATTGTAAAATGATATCAGTTCTTTTACAATTTCTCTGAATGGTGGCCAACAAAAGCGGTCAACAGGCTTAATGCAAAATACCAAGAGTAAGACAAAAAAGTCAGCAGTATTTCTTGGAAAGGGGAACTGTCTAATCAAAGAACAGGATTTAGTGCAACAATAACAAGGGGCATCGTCAATTGGTACTTCAGTGACCCCTCAACGGTTTCTTATTGTGACGTCACAGTAAAGTATACCGACATTTATTGGCGGAATAATGGTTGTTCACGGAAACCTATGCATTGATAAAAATAACCGTAATAGACAGAATAATATGGGTTTCTTAATTAATGAGTAGTAGTTATATTACACGAGAAGGTGAACATTTTGATATATTTTCACAAATGCATAAAGTATTCAACCCACGTGCACTTGTTGACGAGTTTGTTGTACACTTAATAAAATATGCTGGATTCTACCAACATTTTAGAAGAAATGATAATTTCAAGTCGAAATCGATTTTGATAAACCAAAATATGTATAAAATAAATAATAAGATAAATGCAGATATGCATGAGCTTTACGGTTTCCCTTACTCTACTAGATGATTTACAGTGAAGATAATGATACATGTTTAATCCAGTTTGTTCGGCCGTGACGGAATTGACCGGATTCACACCCGGGTTTCCCTACGACACAATTGTGATACACAGCTCAAGTACAGACCTCAGCCCAACACCGGTCAAGCCATGTGAAGGAAGCCTCTTTCTCATACGGGCGGCTTTTGCTGAACCAATGATTATAACTGTCATTCTTCTCAACGATGACAGGAGGGGGTCACTCGCCGTCAACTACATACGGATCGTCGGAGCCGTGGACGCCATCAATCTGCAATACATCCCTAGTTTTAGTAATGGTTCGGTTATCACGTTGCCATCTGACAATATCACAATTTATGGTGATGAACTTGAAGCAGACATCAGCCCAATCGATATGTACGCAGTGAGAATAGTTGATCTTACTAAAGGAACTTTCCACAACATAACAGACGTTGTAATAAGAGCTTGTGTACTGACAGGTAAGGTTCATAACATGTATCATGTCCGTGTTATATAAAAGCCCAGTGCTAAATTTCAAAAATCTTATCCCGAGGGTTGAGATTTGTCTGTCTGCATTTCATTGGAATGATTGATTATTTTTCTCCCTTACTGGTGCACACCATGCACAGCGACATCATCAAGAGCGCATGAAATGTGCGACAAAATTGATGACGCTACCTTTGTTACACTGCATAAAGTGATGACGCGATGGTACCGTTTTCAGAATAGCGCGTTATACGAGTTTAACTTTAATCTTGCTAAAACGAAAATACGCCTGTGAAGTGTGGGAACGTAATTAATCGACTTAAATTGAGTTTATATCAGTTTAGGTTAATGTGTCTTTCATTACACTTGCGTTTATGTTTGAACAAAAACTTACATGTTTTGGTATCCATCTTGGGATTTTCGGCAATTTTTGTTTGAGAAGTAAAAGTTGTCTTTACTCACCAAGAAACGCCATCTTCAAACAAATAAAATAAAAAAGGATTATAATATCGCAATAAGGAAAACATAATTGAATTTAACAAATATGTATATATGATCAGAAACGTCTTTTAATAAATATTCATATTCTTTTTCTGTATGTTTACAGCCGAAATTCTTGCTGGAATTTATGTAAATGACTCAAGGCTTTGTGAAACAACCTCAACAACATCGACCACAAGTACAACTATGACCTCCACGACCTCCATGACCTCCATGACCTCCACGACCTCAACAGTCACCACTCCAGGTCTTACCACCACCACTGCTATCACCACTCCGGCCTCTACCACTGCTCTGGAATGTTGTGCCTGCACTCCTGTGAGGCCTACCATATCAGTTCAGCAAGCCGAGGAAAGGGCCGAGCAACTGGCAAGGGAGCTGCAGGTTGACGTATCGACCTTGTCGTCTACTATCAGGAAAAAGACATCCGCAAAAGACGAACGGCCTTCCGCGAAGATGGTAGGCTCCATTGGCATCATCATGTTGTCGCTGACTCTGGGACTTGTGGTCGTACTGGATGCCGACTATATCTATAAAGTCGTCAAAATGATCCAGAAATGGCGACGTATTCAACGCAAGCTTAAACTAGCAAAGGAAAAGTCTGCTTCTGCTTCAGTAGAGCCTGAAGGACATGGAAAAATTGAGAATGATACAAATCAAACATAGTGCGAACCGACAATTTTTATATGTAGACAGTATAGGAACACATTCATCCGTGTTAATGGAAGTAAAATGTTATAAGAATAAGTGTATAACGAACGATAGAGGATATCATGTGATAAATCAGTTCAAGTGAACTACAGAGATGTAATATATTATGGAAGGGCATGGTACTAGAGGTGTAAAATACTTAAAGTATGATATTTCACATTTGTACCAAATATATTCTTTCCAGTTTTTTAATGATATACTTAATAGGTATACTAGAGAAATGTAGTATAATATGGAAATGTTATGTACTACAGAAGTGAAATGTAATACAGAGTGATGTACTACAGAAGTGTAATATAATACAGAAGTGTGATATACTACAGAAGTGTAAAATAATACAGAAGTTAATGTACTAAAGAGGTGTAATATAATACAGAAGTGTGATGTATTACAGAAGTTTGATGTACTACAGAAGTGTAAAATAATACAGAAGTGTGATGTACTACAGAAGTGTAAAAAAAAACACAGGAGTGTAATTTACTACAGAAGTGTAATGTAATACAGAAGTGTAATATAATACAGAAGTGTAATGTAATATAAAAGTGTAATATAAAACAGAAGTGTTGTGTACTACAGAAGTGTAATGAACTACAGAAGTGTATTGTACTACAGAAGTTTAAAATAATATAGAAGTGTAATGTAATACAGAAGTGTAATATAATACAGGAGTGAAATGTAATACAGAAGTTTAAAATAATACAGAAGTGTAATGTAATACAGAAGTGTAATATAATACAGAAGTGTAATGTACTACAGAATTGTAATATAATACAGAAGTGTGATATACTACAGAAGTGTAAAATCGTACAAAAGAGTGAAATGTACTACAAAAGTGTAATATAATACAGAAGTGTATTGTACTACAGAAGTTAAAAATAATACAGAAGTGTAATATAATTCAGAAGTGTATTGTACTACACTACAGAAGTGTAAAATAATACAGAAGTGTAATATATTACAGAAGTGTAATGCAATATAAAAGTGTAATATAAAACAGAAGTTAATGTACTACAGAGGTGTAATATAATACAGAAGTGTGATACACTACAGAAGTGTAAAATAATACAGAAGTGTTATGTACTACAGAAGTGAAATGAACTACAGAAGTGTATTGTACTACACTACAGAAGTGTAAAATAATACAGAAGTGTAAAATAATACAAAAGTGTAGTGTAATACAGAAGTGTAATGTTCCAGAAATGGCGACGTATTCAACGCAAGCTTAAACTAGCAAAGGAAAAGTCTGCTTCTGCTTCAGTAGAGCCTGAAGGACATGGAAAAATAGAGAATGATACAAATCAAACATAGTGCGAACCGACAATTTGTATTATGAAGACAGTATAGGAACACATTCATCCGTGTTAATGGAAGTAAAATGTTATGAGAATAAGTGTATAACGAACGATAGAGGATATCATGTGATAAATCAGTTCAAGTGAACTACAGAGATGTAATATATTATGGAAGGGCATGGTACTAGAGGTGTAAAATACTTAAAGTATAATATTTCCCATTTGTACCAAATATATTCTTTCCAGTTTTTTAATGATATACTAAATAGGTATACTAGAGAAATGTAGTATAATACGGAAATGTTATGTACTACAGAAGTGAAATGAACTACAGAAGTGTATTGTACTACAGAAGTTTAAAATAATACAGAAGTGTAATGTAATACAGAAGTGTACTATAATACAGGAGTGAAATGTAATACAGAAGTGTAATATAATACAGAAGTGTAATGTACTACAGAAGTGTAATGTACTACAAAAGTGTAATATAATACAGAAGTGTAATATACTACAGATGGTAACATAATACAAAAGTGTAATAAATTTCAAAAGTGTTATGTACTGCAGACGTGTGATGTACTACAGAAGTGTAATATAATACAGAAGTGTGATATACTACAGAAGTGTAAAATAATACAGAAGTTAATGTACTAAAGAGGTGTAATATAATACAGAAGTGTGATGTACTACAGAAGTTTGATGTACTACAGAAGTGTAAAATAATACAGAAGTGTTATGTACTACAGAAGTGTAAAAAAACTACAGGAGTGTAATGTACTACAGAAGTGTAATATAATACAGAAGTGTAATGTAATATAAAAGTGTAATATAAAACAGAAGTGTTGTGTACTACAGAAGTGTAATGAACTACAGAAGTGTATTGTACTACAGAAGTTAAAAATAATACAGAAGTGTAATGTAATACAGAAGTGTAATATAATACAGGAGTGAAATGTAATACAGAAGTGTAATAAAATACAGAAGTGTAATGTACTACAAAAGTGTAATGTACTACAGAAGTGTAATGTACTACAAAAGTGTAATGTACTACAGAAGTGTAATATAATACAGAAGTGTAATGTAATATAAAAGTGTAATATAAAACAGAAGTGTTGTGTACTACAGAAGTGTAATGAACTACAGAAGTGTATTGTACTACAGAAGTTAAAAATAATACAGAAGTGTAATGTAATACAGAAGTGTAATATAATACAGGAGTGAAATGTAATACAGAAGTGTAATAAAATACAGAAGTGTAATGTACTACAAAAGTGTAATGTTCTACAGAAGTGTAATGTACTACAAAAGTGTAATGTACTACAGAAGTGTAATATAATACAGAAGTGTAATGTACTAAAGAGGTGTAATATACTACAGAAGTGTAATGTACTACAAAAGTGTAATGTACTACAGAATTGTAATATAATACAGAAGTATTGTGTACTACAGAAGTGTATTGTACTACAGAAGTGTAATGTACTACAGAAGTGTAATAAAAAACAGAAGTGTAATGTACTAACGAATTGTAATATAATACAGAAGTGTAATAAAATACAGAAGTGTAATGTACTACAAAAGTGTATTGTACTACAGAAGTGCAATGTACTACAGAAGTGTAATGTACTACAGAATTGTAATATAATACAGAAGTGTAAAATAATACAGAAATGCAATGTACTACAGAATTGTAATATAATATAGAAGTGTAATATAATACAGGAGTGAAATGTACTACAAAAGTGTAATGTACTACAGAAATGTAACATAAAACAGAAGTATTGTGTACTACAGAAGTGAATTGTACTACAGAAGTGTAAAATAATACAGAAGTATTGTGTACTACAGAAGTGTATTGTACTACAGAAGTGTAATGTACTACAGAAGTGTATTGTACTACAGAAGTGTATTGTACTACAGAAGTGTAGTATAATACAGAAGTGTAATGTACTACAGAAGTGTATTGTTCTACAGAAGTGTAATATAATACAGAAGTGTATTGTACTACAGAAGTGTAATAAAATACAGAAATGTAGTATAATACAGAAGTGTATTGTTCTACAGAAGTGTAATATAATGCAGAAGTGTAATGTACTTCAGAAGTGTATTGTACTACAGAAGTGTAGTATTATACAGAAGTGTAATGTACTACAGAAGTGTATTGTACTACAGAAGTGTAATGTACTACAGAAGTGTATTGTACTACAGAAGTGTATTGTACTACAGAAGTGTAATGTACTACAGAAGTGTATTGTACTACAGAAGTGTAGTATAATACAGAAGTGTAATGTACTACAGAAGTGTATTGTTCTACAGAAGTGTTATGTACTACAGAAGTTAAAAATAATACAGAAGTGTAATGTAATACAGAAGTGTAGTATAATACAGAAGTGTATTGTTCTACAGAAGTGTAATATAATGCAGAAGTGTAATGTACTTCAGAAGTGTATTGTACTACAGAAGTGTAGTATTATACAGAAGTGTAATGTACTACAGAAGTGTATTGTACTACAGAAGTGTATTGTACTACAGAAGTGTAGTATAATACAGAAGTGTAATGTACTACAGAAGTGTAGTATAATACAGAGGTGTATTGTTCTACAGAAGTGTAATATAATACAGAAGTGTAATGTACTACAGAAGTGTAAAATCATACAAAAGAGTGAAATGTACTACAGAAGTGTATTGTACTACAGAAATGCAATGTACTACAGAAGTGTGATTTACTACAGAAATGTAATATAATACAGAAGTTTAATTTACTACATAACTTAAATTTTCCAATGAATGTAATATAATATGTGATTTACTACAGATGTGGTTTAATACACACGCGTAATGTATTTATAATACAAAAGTGTACATATGGAAGTTGTTTAGAATCATACCATGATATGTGATAACTTAACGATTTTGACTGTTATATATATATCATCATAATTTATTGTATTTATAATATATACACTTTGTTTTTAACCGTCACATCATCTAAATGATAACCACAACATTTCAGCATTGCACCCAATTTTAGAAGCACTACTGTTTCCCATTTTCCATTCGTTTTCGTAAATGTAGGGCATTTTTTGCTCAAAATCGTTTGATTTTGCTTGATCCATTTAATAATTCACAACTTCGTATCATCCTCGTTCCTTGTTAGACGTGACTACACACTATATGAGGTTAGTTTGTGTTTTAACAGCCCATCGACAACTTCTCTCTATCAGACAACTCACATTTCTGAAATGTCGAGTCCAAGGGCAGTTAGATGTTCAGCCATTATGTACAGCGATGATATACAAAAATGTAGTTTGATTATATATTTAGCTTGTTATTGATAATATTTCGCTTTTATATGTAATTTGGAAATAAAATAAAAAAATGTTTTTTTTTAAACGTCTCAACTATTTTTTTACATGACCGACGCCATGGATAGAATTCCATAACAGTGTTGGTGTAAAGAGACGGTCACGGTGCGTTGGAATTCCCATAAGTGTTTGACAACGAAACGTTTAACTTCTATCCGTAGTTGTGCTTTACACGGTCCTAGAATTAACTGAAGCCAAAACGGGCATCGTTTCTGTAGCCTTCTTGTCGGCATTTTTCTGGGAAATTCTATTTGTTAGAACGTTAGAAGTTACCAACTGTGTTGGTTAAAGTGATGTTCATGAGATTCAGAGATTTTTTATTATCACTCAGGCACACTATTCCGTCTTTGCGTATTGCAGAGTTATCTTCTCATGGGATCTGGTATTGATTGTTACGTCATTGGTTTGTGCGAGAAAATTACGTCGTTCTCGCAAAAATTGATGACGTTACTCTCACAAACAAGTGACGTAACAATCAATACCTGCTCCCAAGAGAAGATAACTCTGCAATACGCAAAGACGGAATTGTGCGCAACAAGAGGTCATCATAAAGTACAATATAACAATGATATGGTTGACCGTAAAGCACTCATCTTACTATGCTAGCGTACAATAATATAGTGGAAACTATTACACTCCTCATACAATGATAAACACAATATTACACTGTACTAGCATACCTTATTATAATAGACAGTATAACGCACTGATCATACAATGACACTTATCATACACTGTGATATACATTATTACACTCATTTTACAATACTATTACGATGGTATAATACATAGAATTACATTCACACATACCGTGCGTTCACACTGTGGTATAGCAGGCACTGTTGCATCCATCTTACAGTACAATCCTACAATAATATTATTACAGTATTACGCATATATTACTCGCACTCCATGATACATATATTATAGATAGTATACCATGGGACGTACGATATCCCCAAAGGTGATTGTAAAAGATAATGCTTTGTGATCATAGAAGTGTGTTTGGGAAAGATGTGTTTGTGGAGCGTCAAACATCCTGTACAGGTTTCTATTTTAGATCGTTATAGACATCCATTAAATTGACATGCTTTCAAAACTGCCAACTGAAATGTGCACCGTCGCTGCAGCTTAGCAGTTGGTGAGTTTCTGTGGAAAATGTTTCGTCCCTAACAGACCTTCAAGGAGCATTAGAAATCCTCAATAGCATAATATTCAGCGACTTTCATGAAGCGTTGGAAATTCCTTCACGTTTGTTAAAGTGGATTTCGTGGAGGATCAGGAATTTCCCAACAGTGATACCTGTGGAATAAAACAGGCTCCCACAGGTGACTGTGAAAGAGACGCTTGGGGAGCGCTAGAAGTTCACAGCAGTTTTTGTGTAAGAAACGTTCGTATAACGTTTGAAATCCCGAAGAATGACTGTCAAATATACCTTCTAAGAGCTCTAGAAACCACTAACAGTATTTGTTAAAGAGGTGTACGTGGAATAAAAGACGCACTTGACCGTCATTGTGAGTATGGCGTTTTAGAAGCGTTAAAAGTCCTTTACATATTGGTGATGAAATCAGCGGTGATATTGCATCGACCTATCTCCATTAAATTTAAGGGATATGATATATATCCCTTCCTTCCAATGTTTGTAAGTTAGATGTCCATGGAAAATACAAAACTTGATGACATGGAGATGCAAAGTGTGTTAGAAATTCCCAACATTAATGTTAAGAAATCCTCGATAGTGTTCGTGAAACAGAAGATTTCCGTGAAATTTAATAAGTCTCTAACCGTCGTTTTGCCAGTGACGCTTGTTGGTAAGGCATAACGTCCTTTTAACGTTTATGATATAGATGGCTATATTTAGAATGTCATTTCCACGGCGTTTACGAAAAGTCCAACGGAACGTGCATTGTCGCTGCAGCGACGTAAGCGATTTCCTGAGAAAACGCTAGTAAAAACGTTAGTGCAAAATGTAACGTCTCGTCAATTAACTCCTTTTATATATAATACTCTTGCATTCTGTCAAGTTTACGTTTTCTTTACGTTTCGCAACACAATGCTGTATTTCTTAATCTATTCAGTAAAACTGAATGGTCGTCACACATTTTCCTTCAATTTTTAAGAAGAAAAAAAAGAAGCTTAAACAAGTTTTGCGGCATCTTAAATGAGAAAACGTACTTAAACACAACTCTTAATTAAAACAATAGCTAAGCATTGAATGATTTTACCTGTTTGTGCATTGAATTATTTGAATTTGAGCAAAGCCAAAGATATAGGAATTATGTTGATTTCAAGTCAAAATTGAAGGCGATGCATCCGGAATCTCCCTCCTAAATAGGAAGGCTAGGCAAGTCTGGTGATGTCAAACACACTTACAAGGCTTGTAACTAGATCAGCACCCCACACAAAAACAATCCCCATGGACCGTGCATATACCAAGGGTATTTTAGTTTATAGATTTGTTTTAAAATACAAATTCAATTTTAATCAGTGTTTGGCTTTATTTAACGAAATGACTAACTTGAGCAAAACTGTTGTTTCTGTTGAAACTTAATTAAGAAAATGAAAGGAACAGCAGGCAACACTAAAACGATACAGACAAAACTGTTTTCAAGAATTTCATTGTGATTCAATTATTTCATGCCAAAGCCTGTTTGAGAAATTTGACTCGAAGCCACAATGTAACGATACTTTGAGTTTTTATATTAATCAGATGAAAACATTTTTAACCAAGAACAGCTGATAATATTCGACACAAGGGTGACTGCAGAATATTTTCATCCTTTCCAGTAAACAAGACATGTTACTTCAATACTTTTTATTATGACATATTAATCTATACTAACATGTGTATTCCTTAACATATGATAACAACATCTCCAAAAAGTAAACATATATAACGACATCTCCAAAAGTAAACATATATAACAACATCTAAGTAAACAGCCAAGGGTTATGTCAGTTCTCAGCCTGGATATCGTACATGATCACTCATTGTAAGAACAAAGGGACAAATAACATACTGTCAAAGTGATTTTTTGCGATATGGAAATGTTCGCGTTTTCGCATAGAGCACAAAAATAGCTTCACACGAAAACTTACTTATAGATAATAGACAAATAGGATGTATAGATTTCTGAACCATTGCAATGAAATTTTCTTGCCGTGTGGAAATGTTCGCGATTTCGCATAGAGCACAAAAATAGCTTCACGCGAAAACTTCCTTATAGATTATAGACAAATAGGATGTATAGATTCCAGAATCGTTGGCAAAGCAAAAAATATACACAGTGCAATTACAGTAGTTTAAAGAGTCATAACACGAACATTTCCACACGCGAAAATTTCCTCTTTTTCAGTATGTACGTAAACTGGACCAATTTATGCATGGGACGAAATGATCTATGACACATGTGGAAGCACTGGAACATGATAGCAAAATGGAATTCAAATGAATGCAGAAAATTCAGTGAATTTGTTATGATAAAATGACGACATGATGAAATAAATTTCTGATTCAAATATTGTTACTGAAACTTCAGCTTTGTAAAAACTCAAAAACTTATTCCAGAAAGCAATTATTATATAAAACATAATGTTATTGAAATTGTTTGCCATTTAATACCTCGGTGCTGTTGTTCAGACAGTATTTCCTGTCTTAAAAAGCTGCACTACTATGAATGAACATTGCATAATTATAGCCATTACCATCCTGAAACTACAATACACTACAAAACTACGGGTAGCTAAGATATGGCCGCAATCATTATGACATTTCTGTAACATTCAGAAATGTAAATACATGTGCATAAGGACTTGGAGCGTTTATATGAACGAAACATGATATTGTATATCGACAGCTTGTTTACATCACTGACAATATGGACTTACATCTAGTAAAAATCAAAAAGTAGTTTGAATACCATCTGACTCTGTAAGCTTCTAACTTGGAATTATTTGCTAGAGTTATCTTCTCTTGTGAGCAGGTATTGATTGTTATGTCATTGGTTTGTGTGAGAAAATTACGTCGTTTTCCCAAAAATTGATGACGTTACTCTCACAAACAAATGATGTAACAATCAATACTTGCTCACAAGACCAGATAACTCTGCAATAAGAGTCAAAAGATATTCATTGACGTAAGAAAACTATGCGAGAGACACTTTACAAATCGCACATCAAACACAACCTGGATTACAGTTACAATATAATATCCACACTCAATCCATATCTAATATTTTCTCGTTGGTTAGAGTACAGCTCCTTCATCAATGTGTGCACCAAACTCCTACCGAGAAATATTTTTCATCCTGGAACATCACTCACATTTATTGTATAATAAACATTCACAACTTAATATACTGTGGATACCTTTCAAAAACATTATCTGATTTCAAAATTGTATAATCACTATACTGGACAATAATTACATTCATTCAAACAAATGTATTGACATTCAACAGTTAAAGGGGTTGGGCACAAGTTCTGACAACTTACTAGGCCCTCTCCCATTGATATAGGAAAGTGAATGATGAAACCAAAACAAAAGCTAGTAAACTGACAACAACAACAAAATATGAAAAAAAGGTACTCGACTAAAAACCATTTTGAAAGCAATGTACCAGTTCTACCAGTTTCTAATTGTTCAACATTTCTTCACACCGGAATATTGATAAAACAGACGCAAAATGGCAAGGAAAAAACTTTCCCTATATTAAGCTCAGATATTGATCACTTTCTGTTTGATCACAAACCATACACTTTGATTAATATTGCTGTGTTCTATTTGGTGTCTCTATTGAAAAAGTTTTGTTTGAAAAAAAACCCAACTAATTACATCAATACCTAATTTCTATTACAATTCATTGGCATTATTTCTGGAAATTTCAAAAGGTACAACAACTAAAAATTGTAACCCTCTTTTTTACAAACAACATCAAGTACTGCATATTGTTTTCATTGCTTATCTTGAGGTGCGCAAATACAGCAATGTGCTAATCTGTTAAAACTTGATAATGCTCCAAAATTTGAGTGCACTAAAATAGGTATATTTACAGTATATCCCTCATGGAAAGTCAACATACAGCAATATGGCATATGTCATCGACTAGTTAATAAAGAGGGCCAATTATTTGTGCCCCTTCTCTTGACACAGTATCCTATTAAACTGTAGTTTGGTTTCATAACATTCTTTCAAATCTTGTTTGCTTTGTTCCTCTAGCTTTTGTTATTTTTCGTGAGACAAATTATCAGATCTCATACCATCATTCCATCAATGGAAAAAAATGCCTTTTTTATTAAACAAAATGTATATGAAGACAATGAGTTGTGTAGTTATAGTCAAAAGATTTGCTCAAATATTGAAGACAACACAAGGAGATATAATCAAGAACATACAAATGTACATGAATTATTAAAACATAGCTATATAGGTTCCCACTGCTTTTTAGTGATTTTAATTATCATGATCAGGTTTTCTTTAATTTAATTTTTCTGTTTTTACAATATCACTCTCTATCCTTACAGCAAAATATTGTCCCAAAAAAATGGGAAAAAACAGCAGGAACCTTTTTTTAACATTTTGATCAAATTATGTTTATCAAAATTCTTTGACAGTTTCCTTGTCGTCAAAGTAAATAAAACATAAAAAAAAGTTGATTTCAATCAATAAGGAAAAAAATGTTTGTTGATACTAGACTTAATTTTTTCACACATTAACACATTTGATCTACAGTAGTTTAGTCAAACCATGTACTACTGTATATGACTAGTTAGTTCATATACTACAAAACAGAAATATTGGACACCATCTTGTTATACAAGTACGGCGTAAGTTTTCTTTACTTCCTTGACCTCGGACGTACAACATTACGCGTCGTAAACCCCAGATTGTCGACATTTCTATTGTACCTCTTGTCACATCGATTTGATCTATATCATTGTCTCCTCTCAGTGGTCTGTCACTTTCACTCTCCTTACTGCCGCCAGTTCGCACCATGTGGCCGTCCTCTTGCCCAATGTCCTCATTCTTCTACTCCTGTTCATTGGCAACGACTTCGATTTCCCTTTTTCTGATGGGACTTGTTTCTTGTTGAGTGTCAAATGCCCCAAGCATATCATTCAACTCCCTTTCCAAACAAATTCTTTCCTTCTCTGATTCAACATCCATTTTCATGTAGCTTCGTTCTCTCTCTTCCTCGATATTCTCAACTTCATCGTTCAACTCATCGCTTTCTTTTGCCATTTTCCCACTTTCTACATCAAAATTGTCACTTTTCAAGTCTGAATCCACAGAATTATTCCTGCTTAAATTGTCACTTTTTTCTAATTCATTATCGCTTTCTTCCTCTGAATTGTAAATGTCAAAATAATCAATTTTCTTCTGAGCATCACAACTTGTTCCTGTGGAAGTTTCTTTGTCAGTACCTTTGCTTTTCCCTTCGTGACAATCACTTCCATAAGCCGAATAGTCACTTATCATTCCATCGTCTTCCAACTTACTGTCCATTTTGTCAACATAGTTCATTTCACTGCCATCATTTTTTCTTTCCACATGGTCAGTGACGTTAGGTTTTCTTTCATCTTCATCACTTTTTGTCTTCATTTCATTGGTTTTTCGCACATCGTTAAATTCTGTGTTCTTCATCTCCTGTCCAGATAATTTGCCAAAAGGACCAGGATTGTTTGCTTCAGCTAGGGAAAAAATGTAGACGTTTTGATAAATCTTCCAAAATTAGGATATTTAATAAATACACAGCATTATTTAATTACATATACACCACTTCCGTGTAAGTATATAAGAATGTGGAACATAAATGATTTATCTCAAAAAACAAAATACCTGTTTGAAATCAAATGTTAATAAAACAGTAGTTGGTTTGGTCAAAACATAATTATATACAAAAAGAGTTCACCCAATATTAGTAAATACACCCTTCATTACCAGATTTATTAATTAATAAGGTTTAGTGGTGTTGTCATTAATCCTTATGTCAATTATCGGACAGTTAGGCCGATAAACTGATTAATCAACTTCAGAATTCATGATCAATTTTGATCGGAATAATTTCGTGTAGATATTATGGAGTTTTTCATTAGAGTGATCCATGATTTCAAGTCTATGTCCTTGCTAGATACTAACAAGAGTTAAGAAGCAGACATTTCCTGATATTTCTTTCCAGCTGCTGAGTCAGCATCATCACTGACTTACTTTCAAGCCTGCTCATGGCCACTTAGGACTATCAATTAGAGGTGAAGAGTTCAAACGGCAGTCATTCTTACATGGTAGCATTTTTTATTTCCATAAGGGACTTGGAACAACATCATGGAGGATTTCAAACAATGCATTTATTAGTCATCGGTTAGTTAAAAGTGACCATTAATCGATCATAAAATTTCACCCGATTCCCAACACTAATAAGGTTTGTTTTTTCTATGTTAGTTATAAATGGGTATCTTACTAACCCTAATTAATGACCAGTTAACTAGGGTTAATTAATAACTAATCAGCTAATTAATGGTTTGTAATGGTAATAAAACACCAATGAATTTTCTAAACAATCAACCATGACAACATTAAGTAACAATATATATATATATTTCTAAATTATCTACACAAGTAAAAATAAAACGGGAAAAAAACATGAAGACACAAAAAGCATGCAACCAGTTAGGAGGGTAAAATAAAAATAAAAATGTGACTTGTGTGACGATATGGTTTGTGGATTTCTTTGGAACCTTAAGCAGCATACCAACAACACCATAGCAACTTGGCCATTCACAAGCAAATGATCAACATACATAGTAGCTATTTCAACAAATATTAGACAAAATGTGTATGGCCACAATCAACTTTTGTCTATGTTAGATTAAGTAAAAGTTGTACCATAGAATTCATAATAAGCTTTGGAGAGAAAGTGCCACAAGATTATGATAAATTATTAGTGAAATTTCAGATCATTGAAAGGGACACTTTTTTTTTTATATATAAATAACAATCCCTGGTACATGCGAGTCATAACAAATATTGTAATATTTCAAAAAATATATAAATGGTATCATTAATACTTTTTGTATAAATTGACAACAGTAATTTTCTTGAAGATTAAAAAAAAAATCTGTTCCTAAGTATGAATATTGGAAAACTGAGTGTTCCATATTTTGAAATATTAGATCACCATGCTTAAACCATGGAATATCTTTATCATGAAATAGATGTAAAAATATTAAGTTTATTATTCATGAAATAAAAAAAAAATTACACAATTTTATACGATGATGGTAATTTTTCTATTTGCTATATCATGAGGGACAGCTGCAGCGCTGTCTCAGAAGAAATGGGCTATACTACCTCGGGGTCTACTGCCTGGGCCGGTGCCTCTCTCAGTCTCTGCGCTAGGGCTTCATGCGAGTCAAACCTGTTCAGGCCTTGATATGCATTATTTGACATGGGTAACAGCTGTTGAACTTTTTTATACTCCTCTGAAAAAGGAAACTTTTTGGTGCAATACACGTCACCAGCAACCACAGTCATTCAACAAAGCGGCAAAATAATAACAGTACATGCAGCTGTGAAATCAATAACCACGGTAGCCAACAGTTAACGCAAAAATGGCAGCATTATTATATTCATATCTGAATCCTCTCAATTTCCTTTCTAGTTCATACACTTTCTTTTCTTGCTTGATAACTTTTTTTTTTATTCTTCTTGACATGCCAGTTTTGGATACAATTTTGATGAAATAGGTTCAGATGAAAAGGGATTCTAAAAATCCCTGAACTCACCTTTACCTGTTGCAATATCTAAAACATATTTCTATTTTTTTTGGAATGATGTTATACAGGACTGTCCTCAAATAGGTTCCAAACAATAATATTTTCACATGAACAAACGGGTATAATGTAAAACAAATGTAATTTTACACTGCTATTTTTGTATGATGATACTGTTGGGTCTGTGGCGATTGATATCCTGATATTTATGGAAACACATGTAAACCTAGTGGTTCACTGATACAGATATCTGGTGGAGTCTCATTGATTTGATCTAGACATTTGCCTCCCCCCCCCCCCCCCCCCTCCCACTCCCAAAGAAATAGGGCTAGAATATCATATATTTACCATATTTTACTATCTTTCTTTATGAAGAAGGACGTCACTAAAACTAGGAAACTGACAGGTAAGTAAGGGCCCCGCCATGTGCCTGACAATATACTGGTACACTGTATATCACCAATAATCACATAGCAGATTAAGTCACAGCAATCATTTTGGATTTTAGAATTATCAAATGTGGTCTAGAAAATAAACCTCTCTTGCTCTATTTAATTATCATTAACCTAGATTTGTGACCATCTTGTATTTTAGGATCCCAGTCATAATACCAAATATACAGTAACACCCAAATGAACACATGTGGTTCAGTGAGGGCAATACATTGTAGTTATGACAGTATACACTCCTCCTCGTCTCCATGCTATATTTAGCAATAGTGACCTTGATTTTTTTAAACCTGTCTGAAAATAAAAGTAACGACAGACACAATCACTATAGGGTTTTATCATCTCTGATGCAGGGTCCTAAATAGCTCAATTTCTTGAAGATGATCAAAGTCCAGATTAACTCGGAAATCCACCAAACTGATTAAGTGTTATAACTCACTCACCCCTACATATTTAAACTGGATTTGCCCAGTTTGTGATTTGGTAAGGTTCAAATATAAATTTAGGGGTGAATGGGTTAATATACATGTATGTGGGTTTTGATATTTCACAACACAGATATATTATTTATGTACAGGATTTTCTAAACTTCACCACAATATACAGGTGATTTTAATACCTCACCATGGAGATTTGATATATAGGTATATATATGGGGGGTGTCAATACTTCACCATGGAGATCTAATATGTATTTAGGTTTTATTATTACTTCACATGCACAATCTTTTACATCTTATGCACTAAACCATACAACAGACAGGCTACAAAGTGGGTACAACAGTCATGCATTAACAAAACAAAATACATAATGTTGGTGGGGGGGGAGAATGACTGGACAAGATATATATTCTACAGTGGAATTTTTAATGTCTGTCTGAACTGCACAAAGTATGCTTTTCTTTCACTATTCATTTTCCAATAATAAATTATGTTTCCTTTCGAAAGAAAAAAAAAAGATGTTTGATTTTAAAACTATGACAGCACATTTAAACTGACTTCTATGCTTAACCCTTTCACCCTTATGTAACTTTAGTAGACTCTACCATGTATTGATATGGATGAGTCCATTATGGTCTATAGTGGTGAAAGGGTTAAACTAACTCAAAATTAACTGTCAATGTATCCTTGGATTACATATCTTTTGTAAATGGAAAGCTTTGAACATATCATTGAAAAAATTCCATCAATAATGGTATTTGATCAATATATTGAACATTGAGATAGATTTGTTTTTACACAATTAAAAAACGTACAGAAGTTCTAGACTTCATCTTTACAGGGGTTTAAATCGACAAACATTGTAAAATGCGGTAAACTTAAAAATTATAGAATGATAATAAAAGCTGACACCAGGCAATTGTGTACCCAAGATATAAGTAAAATTTCACTTACCTGGATACAAGTCTACACTAAGTTTGACCCACCAGTGTACAAATCCCTACGACTTACCCAAGTTTTTCTTGACAAATTCGTAAGCTTTGAGACAGAACTTGTGAGTAGCTCTAAGCCTCCCCACGGCACCCGAGTTTGGCTCGTCTGACATCAGTTCCTCAGACAAGAACTCGGCCACCGAGTTGACTCGCTGGTGAACGTGCTGGACGACACTTTTGACTGACGCAGGGAAGTGCTCCGTGATGTCACAGCTAAAGTACATGTCCGATAACTTGGAGTCGACTGTCCGAATGTCCATCATTAATCCCTGCAAAACTCTCTGGCGCTGAATCTTTTCTCTCTCCCTGTAAAGACAATTCACATTAAAATATATTCAATCCAAATTATATCATGATTTTAAATTATATAGGAGTCCAAACCCATTGGAACAAAATAAATTAAGAGAATATCTATGAAAAAAAGTCAGCTACTTTGTAAGGATGGGACAATGGTGGCCTCTTAAGAATAGGATTTATTAACGAGGATGAGCTCTTGAGCAGATTGGACTTCAAATGTAAATCATAACAATGGCCTTGGCATTTAATATCCTCAAACCCAAACAATTTCATGAAAATTACCCCATTTATCTCCTCAAACACGAACAATTTCATGAAAATTACCCCATTTATCTCCTCAAACCCGTACAATTTCATGAAAATTACCCCATTTATCTCTTCAAACACGAACAATTTCATGAAAATTACCCCATTTATCTCCTCAAACCTGTACAATTTCATGAAAATTACCCCATTTATCTCTTCAAACCCAAACAATTTCATGAAAATTACCCCATTTATCTCTTCAAACCTGTACAATTTCATGAAAATTACCCCATTTATCTCCTCAAACACGAACAATTTCATAACAAGAATTCCACGGAAGTGGATGTGTCGCCTGCGCTGGAAGCTGGGAGATTACGAAGAAATAAATACACCTTTCATTTCAAGAAATAATGTTAAAAGTAAGTTTGAGTTTGACAAGCCCAAGGAAACTCAAGTTATCGCACAAAAACAGATTTTCTATTTATAGTAACAGTGACCTTGACCTTTGACCTTCGGACCTGAAAAGCAATCCCAAGCAAGCACTTTTGATAAGGAAGCACTGCATGAAGTTTGAGTTTGATCGGCCCAAGGAAACTCAAGTTATCACACGAAAACAGATTTCCTATTTATAGTAACAGTGACCTTGACCTTTGACCTTCGGACCTGAAAAGCAATCCCAAGCCACCAGCTTTTCGCAGGCGACACAAAAATTACCCCTATCATTTTGAGATCAGACAACATATAAACATAAGGTACTTAAAAACAAGAAGAAGAGAGTAAAATAAACAGTATATTTATTTTATTCAACTTACTTCCTTTTTTCCTCTTCCACGATGGCTGCCTCATCTTTGTCCTCGGACTACAAAGTAAATCCACCATAACATGTTAATTAATGTAGTTGATAACAGATTCATTCATTTTTGCATTACTTAGTAATTCACAAGGAGACTCACTCGCAAATTTATATCGTTTTGGAATACAATTTCTAGAGATAATTGGTATCATACATTGAAATATCATCCTCTCAATCATGGTTTCAAATATTTGCAAATAAATCATACAGGCATATATATATATATATATATACTGCTTTCAGTAGCATATCTGTATGATCACTGCTAGTGATAAAATCTATCGCTGTATATCATCATCATCAAACATATTTAATTTCCCAATTGATGTTGTTTGTCAACATTTTCACAAAGATAAGCGATAATCTAACAAACATGTTTTAACTCATTCACCCCTGAAGACACATTTGAACTCTTCCAATTCAAAGGTTGGAATAGTTCATTATGAAATTTCAGGGGTGAATGTGTTAAAAATATACATGTTAGCACTATGAACAATGCTTCATGGCAGTATAGATACCAAAGGACAAAGGACAGGAAGAAGGCTTATGTTGAAAGGCAAAACAAAAAGTTTTCGACAATTAGTTTCGCTGAAATTTAATTGAATGTTTAATTAAAGTAAAATACTAACAGTAGCTCAAACTCTTGGTTTTTGATTTCACTGAAGATAGCGCTATGGCAAAATTTACCTCGTATGCAGAATCTGGTTTAAATTTTATTTTGGAAAGGACGAAAATACCTACTCTAAGTTTGGTCATAACAGCTATGTGGTTGGCAGAGTCATCTATGCACATCTTCAGATAGGGGAACATTTCATCGGCAGCCTCCCCGTATTCTTTCCGGAAATAGTTGTAACAACGCAGAAAATATCTCTCCTTCACCCGCATCTTGTTCAGTCGTTTCTTGGTGAGGCATCCTGTGAATGTGAACAACTGACGTTTCCTTTCTTCCCGAGCAAGTTGTTTCTCTGTGGATAGGCTCCTTACGACAGAAGCCATGCTATTTTTTGTTTCAAAGTCAATTTTATCCTGTAATTCATCAAGCTTTTTCTTGAGGGCTGAAAGTTTTTGATATGTCTTTGACGGAATTGGATTACACAAAATGAGAAACATGCCTTCCTCAGAGAAGAATTTGTTTTCTTCTTGTTTTGTAAGAAGTTCAGCCGGTACCCTTTGGCTGCACACACCAAAATAATTAGATTGTGTTATACGCATTTTGATCTCGGCTTCAAACTGTTGAACATCTTGACGGATGATAGCTGACCTTGCCTGTGGAATGACCTTGGAGTTTTCCAACTCTAGTTGAGTGAGACCGGACTGTATACAGAATTCCTCCAGTTCCTTTGGAAGCCTGTCGGCCATTGACTCCATTTGCTCCAGAGGTTCTTTCCAAAGCTTCTCCATGGACCTTGTCACTCTGATTAATTCCTCCTTCAGGTCGTTCTTGGAGAGCGGTATCGTAGTTGAACAGGAACACATACTAATGCATTCTGATTGGTTCGATGCTGTTACTGTCCTTTCACCTTTAGATAAAGCAGTTTCTTGAGGAACATTTTCCAGAGGCTTTTTCTTAATGATATTGTGTCTCATCTGTTCCTTCATTAACAAGTCATTAAAATTTTCACCTTGGCCTTTTTGTCCCGGTTTTAATGGTGTTCCTGTCTTTGTGCCCAGTAATCGCTCCTGAACTCCCTTGATGCTTAGCGACTGTGACCAATCGTCGGCAACATTGCCCACTGAGCTGTCCCTCTTATAAGGATGGTTAGTCCGTGGGTTGTTTTTCCAGTCAGGAAAGTTCTTGTATGGGCCATCTTTGGGGTAAATAGTGTTCCCAGTATAAACATCACCTCTACCGTGATAATTATCCCTGGGGTAAAGGTCATCCTTTCTGTGAACATCAACTTTTGGATGAAAGTCACTCCTGTCCCTACCTGAGCTATGTTGACTGTAGCAGTCATCCTCTTGACTTTTGATGACCACCCTTCGGTCAATGGTCCTGTCAGACACATCTCGGATTATTTGATGTTCGTCTTGGTCACTCACTCGTCTCCAGGAATTTCTGTAGAGAGGCAGCTCCTTTCTTTCAATTGTATTGGTTAAATCTATATCTTTGTTCTGACCTCTATCAGATATCTCTTTCCTTGATTGGGAATCATAGCTGACTAATGGTTTCTTTCTCTCAACACTTATAACTCTGATTTCTTCCGAGGGTTTTGAACGGGTGTTTTCGTTGTGTTTACCTGTGTCCAAGTCTTGTGATTCAGCACTGCATCCTGGGCCATCCAGACCAGAAAGCTCCCGTCTCAGCTTCTCCTGAGCTTTCGCTAAATAATCCAATGAGAAACTGTCAAACTGTTCAAATTTCCTTTGATCACCAGTAGTTTCTGTTTTCCTAGCACTCACATGTCGGAAGTCGTCATTGTGAGATCTACGCTGAAGCAGTGAATCTTTTGATGATGAAGAGCTCTCTGCTCTTAAATCCCTTCCTGTTTGGACATTACGTCTATCAGCCACAAAAGATTCGGCTATTTCTTTCCTGGGTCTTTTGGCTTGAGATATTGAGGAAGAAACAGGAAAATCTCTAGCTCTATCCCGAGAAGAGCTCCTTGAATATCGCTCTTTTCTTTGTGTATTTCCAGAAAGTGTTTGCCATGAATGGGGATTTCTGTCCGATGGTCTCTCAGGTGAGAGAGATACTTTTCTTGTAATCTTGTCTTTAAAGAGAAATTTGATGGGCACCTCCTCCTTAGAGTTACCGGAGTCCCTGAGGGGATGATAAGACAATTGTTTAGGTCTGTCTGTGTGGGGGAGTCTGGATGCCATGTTTGAGACATTTCTATCGGGACTCCTGCCGAGAGCTGAGGACGGCTTTGCATAAGCACTATCTCTTGAACTGAGCTTTTCTGCAGTGTTCTCCACACGGCTGAAAATTGGACTCAAATCCCCAGGACATCCCTTTGTCGGGGATGACGGACTGTACGGGGATGATATACGAGGCACGTTTGGTGGGTCCTGTTTTAATGGGGTCGTCTCTTTAGATATCCTGTCTTGTCTTGGTGAAGGACTTCTACAGCGATCACGCCCAGCTTCCCTGTGATGGAAAGGAGATCGTGAATAGTCAGGTGGAGGTTTATCACGGAACAAACGTCTATGTCCAGAATCCAAATCAATTTTCTTGGAGGTCGGAGAAGAACCTCCTCCTTTGTGATGACTATTTTGTGAACTTGAATAAGATGATTCACTGGTTCCGGCCTTAGACGATGAAACATCTTTTGCATTTTTATCAGTAAAACTTGGACTGGATTGTTTCCTTTCATTTGTAACTTCTTGACTGTTGTCATGTACTGTTTTGCGATCATTATTAATTGCTGGATTTATTTTAGATCTCTTGTCAGCATCTGGTGGCTTCTGTGACAGTGGAAATCTGCTTGATGTGAACTTTGAATATCTAGGTTGTCTACTAGAATCAGAACTGGCCCATGGACTGGATTTATCTTTTGTCCTTGGACTAAAACTTCTACAAGAACTGGTTGATACAGTAGAACAACTTGGTGATCTTGAATACCGACTTCTCGATCTTCTTCGACTTTGATACTGACTAGGTCTGACATCAGAGACTGTTGATATGGATGAATAACTTGGTGACCTTGAAAAGCGACTGCGTGATCTTCTATTGTGTACAGACCTATGTGCATCAGAGTGCCTCCTATGTCCTCTCCAGGATCCTCTAGGACTGAAGGCTGTTCTATCTGAAGCTGATGATATTGTTGAATAACTTGGTGACCTTGAATTCCGTTTCCGTGACCTTGAAACAGACGAACTAGGTGACCTTGAGTATCGCCTTCTTGACCTTGATCTAGATCTATAACTTGGTGATCTTGAGTAGCGTTTCCTTGATCTAGATGATGAGCGACTACGTGACCTTGAATGTCGTCTCCTTGACCTTGATTCTGAAGAATAACTGCGTGACCTGGAATACCTTTTCCTTGACCTCGATTCTGAAGAATAACTACGTGACCTTGAATACCTTCTTCTCTGCCTTCTTTCTGAAGAAGAACTACGTGACCTTGAATATCGTCTCCTTGGCCTTGATCTAGGCGAGTAACTAGGTGATCTTGAATAACGTTTCCATGACTGCCTTCCATAAATGTTGTTGTAGTTCCACGAGTCCTGACTCCTTCTCGAGCTTTCCTCCGATGACGAATAACTTGTTGATCTTCCCCTACCTGGCATTGACCTACTTAACTGATATGCAATTGATTTTTGGGTTTTAGCGCTGTCAGAAAACAAGTCACTGATGGTTCCTGTCTTGAATGGAATTTCTTTAGTTGTTTTCTGTCGTTTGCCTGGTGGAGATGTAGAGCTGGTTTTCTTCTTATCCATTTTGCTTTGTGCTACGTTATCTCTTGCTGTAGATTTCAAAGGGCTCAACATTTCCCGATTCTCTGGAATAGAAGCTTTGGTATCTATGACGACTTCCTTAGCACCAGCTGAACTTTTCGGTTCTAATGTTGTGTCACTTATGCAAGGAATGTTAGAATTAGATGGTATAGTGTTCGTTGTACCATCGCTTGTACCACTCTGTTGCTGCTTCGACTTGTCACCCAATAACACCTGTCTCTGATCAGTCTTTCCCTCTCCAGCAATATTACCGTCTTTGGTAGCATTGAGGCGGTTGGAAGTTGCAGTTCTGTCAAATTCACTTTGTTTAATAGGCATTTTTTCTGATTCCTTACCCTCCTTCATGCCTCCACCAATGACCTCAATTTCACAGTCTGTACTCTTGGAACGCCTTTTATTGTCATCAATTGACTCTTTATTCTTGGATTTATATGAGGACATCTCTTCACCTGTCGTCCATGCACCTCTTCTGAAATCATACACAACTGCATTCCTTTTGGATTCCGCTCTCTCCTCCGATTTCCTGGAGACTGAACCCCTGTCAACCCATGCACCAATCTTTGGATCGAATATACTAGTTTCACTATCATTGTCCTTGCTGTCACCCAGTGAATACTGCCTGGTTCTACTCAGCCATGATCCATCTCTCCTGGCATTGTGCTCTCTTTCACTTTCAGTTCCAAAGCTTGTTTCCAAATCCTCGTAAATTTGGACGGTCTTCCAATACTCCTTGCTGGGACTGTAGTCGCCAATGTCGCTTTCCGTTGATGTATTTTCCTCTGATGATTTTGTGGTCCATGCCCCAGTCTTGGCATTATATATACATGTTGTTTTGTGTTTTTTATCGTAATTATCTTCCACTTTTTTCGTCCCCGATATCGTTTTCTTACTATCATTACTCGCTGAAGACTTTTTCTTTGAATGAGTTATATTCACAAGATTTTTTCCAGATTTCTTACTTTCTGTCAAATCTTTTACTAATATAGCATCTAGTATGTCAAAGTCAGATGACGAAGAAGTATTTTGTTCAATGTTCATTTCCTTGTCACATTTGTCAGTAGCGGCTTGCTGTGACAATTCCTTTTCTCGATTCGGAGTTGATGAGGGTAGCGTTTTTTTAAGGTCATCCAGAACATATATGTCCTCACTAGCCACTTTTAAAGACATATCCGTCACTGCCCCAGCAGCAGCAGCTCCAAGTTCTGGTACAGAAGAAGAATTTGGCGTTCCAATGGTCAATTTAATCTTCAAAGATTTTTCTGTACAGTCATTTGTTTCTTTGCCAGTGTCTGAAGCTCCTCGTAAAACACTGTACGTGGGCGACGTTGGTTCATTAAGTTTGTCTTCCTTTGAGACCACTTTTTTCGATATGACTGGATGTTTCAATTTGTCTGCTTCAGCTCCTTTCAAAAGGCCTCTTCTTAACAGTACAGAAGGCACAAACTGATCTCCAAGTTTCAAAACACTTTTTGTCTGTAAAACTGGAGATTCAGTTTTCTGTCCATCTGGCGCAGTACAAGGTAAGGTCTCTGATTTATTATGTATCTTCACAGATGACAAGTTCTGCAGTGTCTGATTGTCAATTTTCTTCAAAGTACTTTCTGAAACATGGAGAATCAGACCACCTATTCCTTCCTCCACATTGTTTTTAGTTGATGCAGTGGTCGTAACATTCTGATTATCAACAGCATGCACCTTGCTTTTTTGGATTGAATCAATTATCTTGGGTTGTTCCTGGTGAATCCCTTGCATTATATTTTTTCCTGATGTTGTTGCAGTTTCTGGTTTGGGAAGTTCTATCCCTGACCGTCTGCTCGGGTCTGCCAGGTTGTTTATGTCCATCTCTGTCAACACATTTCTGTTCAGGAAATCCAACACTGGTTTCAGTTTTTGCATTGTTACTGGCACAGAATCAGAAGAATCTTGTTTATATTCTTCCAAGTTTCCATTCCTGTCCTTGATCCTGCCGTTGCCCGAGCTATCAACAGACGATTCTGAAGTTGAAAAGTCACATTTTATGTCCCTGACCATGTCACAGGTATTTTTCTCGTCTGTTTTTTCATCTAAAAGAATCGTCTCATTGCTGCTGTCATAGTTTTCCACGTTGCGCTTTAAAATATCTGTCCTGACAGCATCGGCATCATAGAAATCTTTTTGTTTGTTGGCCATTGTTTCTTCCTCGCCCAGAACAATGATGACATCCTGACTGTCATCACTGCTGGTCTCGATTTCCATATCCACCTCCTCCTGTATCTCCATTGCCTCATGTTTTTCCTTTCCTTCCTGTATGCCTATACCCTCCTGTCTGTCTGTTCCTTCATGTTTGTCCTTTACGCTATGTTTTTCCATTCTCTCATGTCTGTTCTTTCCCTCTTGTCTTTCCATTCTCTCATGTTTGTCAATTCCTTCCTGTCTCTTCATTCCCTGCCTATTCTGTTCCGTATGTCTTTCCATTCCCTCAAGTACGTTCTTTCCCTCTTGCTTTTCCAATCCCTCATGCCTGTTCTGTCCTTCCTGTCTCACCATTCCTTTATGTCTGTCATTTTCCTCTTGTCTTTCCTTTCCCTTGTGCCTGTCTGTCCCTTCCTGTTTCTCCGTTCCTTCTGGTCCTTGAGTTGTTGGGGTGCCAGCACACATGTGCTGGCTGCTAATCCCTAAAAAATGATCAGGTCTGGTATTTGGTTTGGTGCCACTGAAGGCTATATCGAACAAACTGTTTGCCGACCCAGTTTTATTTCCATGATCTCCAGTATCTGAACTTGACTTCTTGGGTGCCAATTTATCCGTGAACCAATCCATTACATCTGAAGATCTCTTTGTGGTTGTTGTTGCCACAAGTGGTGCTGCCATTGGGTTTAATGGTGGTGCCCGATTGTAGCCAGGAGGGAAATTATGTTGCATGCGAGGCTGTTGGAAAGGTGGGGCAGTGTTGGGGTAGTGCTGTTGAGGATGCTGAGGCATTCCTGGAGGAGCGCCCTGAAGATTGCCCGGAGGACCACCTTGAGGTGCGAATGCCCCTGACCTAAACATCCCTGAAGAATTTTGAGGAGGAGGAGGAAAGCCACTGACTTGGTATTGACCTCCTTGTTGTTGGTGTTGCATCCTCACCAAAGTAGGTATCTGATTTGGAGGCCTAGGTTGCATACCTCCAAGAGGAACATTAGCAGAAGGCGAAGTTTGAGGTGGATGACCACCCATTTGATGAACAGGTGGTCGAACATGATGAAGTGGTCTGTTCAGAGGAGGACCATTCCCCATATGAACTTGCTGTCTTGGCCCTTGTTGACCCAGTGACTGAGGCTGGTTAATTCCTTGAGGAGGTGGACCTGGCCCTCGGATTGGTTGATGAACAATCTGTTGAGGCACACCCGGCCCTCTCATGACACCAGGGGGACGCAACTGGCCCCCAGGATGAGGTGGCCTTGTAGCCATCGCAGCTGAAACTCCTGGCACCTGGGTCCTTGGTGGTGGTATGGCCATATTTGGTCGTGTCTGGCCAGGTCTTTGTCCTAATATTGAGGTTCCTGAGGGAGGAAGATGTGGCATTGCAGAAGACATCTGTGGATGCTGATGCATCTGTGGAGGAGGATGCTGATGTGAAGAAGAGAAGAACTGAGGCTGGTGCGGAGGATGCAAACCAGGATTTCCAGCTGGTCCTGGACCTATATTGGTGGGAGTATTTGGTGGGTATGGCAACTGTTCACCAGATGACATCCCACCCATCATGTCCGACCCATGCAACACTGGTGGAGCCTTACTGACCATTTGAGGCCGCATACCAGGAGGTCGCTGGAGAGGAGCATGCTGACTTAGCTGTAGGTGATGAGGTGGGCCAGCTGCTGCAGCTGCCAAGTAATTAGGATTGGGAGGTCTGCCTGCCTCGCTGATGGTCATTTGAGCTTGGTGTCTCGGGACCTGCTCATCTATTACTCTTGGTAAAATGGCTGGTGCATTCTGGAGTCTTGGATCAAATGAGGAGGGTCTGTGAGGAGGCCTAGACATACCAACAGGTGCCTGTGGAGGCTGCAAAGGTGGCTGTGGTCTGGGAGGACCCGGCGGCATTTGTACTCTGGCACCAGGTGGAGGCTGTAGAGGAGAAGCCAGTGGATCCTGCCCAGTGTCGAGTGGTGGCCTACTGGGAGGCATCATCTGGGTGCTCCCTTGAGGAGGATAGGAGGATGCTTGGACAGTGGCGGTGTCCATTGTATGTGGAGGGTAGCTTGAAGCTGCAGGCAACATAGGCTGAGCAAACACTGTGTTTGGCACACTGGCTGCGGCAGTGTGTGGGGGGTATGCCGGAGCTGATGAGATATATGTGGACACAGCAGGATTGTAGGTTGTTGCAGAAGGGTTGTAAGATGTTACTGGAGGGGTATATGTGGACACAGAAGGATTGTAGGTTGTCAAAGGAGGATTGTAGGTTGTCGCTTGCGGGTTATAAGTTGTCGCTGGAGGGTTATGTGTTGTCAAAGAAGGGTTGTAAGCTACTGTTGCTGGAGGGGTGTAAGTTGTCACAGGCGGGTTGTATGTTGTCACCTGAGGATTGTACGTTGTCACAGGGGGGTTGTACGTTGTCACAGATGGGGTGAAAGTTGTCACCTGAGGGTTGTATGTTGTCACAGAATGGGTGTAAGTTGTCACTGTAGGGTTGTATGTTGTCACAGGGGGTTTAAAAGTTGTCACAGCATCATTGTAGGTTGAGGGAGGTGTGGTGTATGAATCTGGTGTTTCCATATAATGCGAGGAAGATGTTGGATCTCTTTGAAGATACTCAGACCTCTGTGCCAATTCAGGAACAGCAACAGCAGCATCTGTATTAGACGGATAGTCAGACTTCAGGTCAGGGTCCTGGTAACTCGACTTGTCTTCTGACATGTGTCTATTCTCAGATAACAGATCCTGTTTGACTGGAGAACTGGGCATTTGAGTTTGACCACTCCCAACAAACACTGGTATAACACTGACAGCTTCCTTCGCTTCCTCCGTTTTTTTCTCTTCCTCCTTTTTGACAGGTTTGAGTGTGAGTTTGATTTTTTTCCTGGCGACTTGTATCCACTGTTTCACCCGCTCCTCTGTGTGTCTCGTGTACATATCGTCTGTGTCCAGCTGGAGGTCTTTCCCACTGGCAGGCTCTGTTTCTTGTTCCAGCTCAATTGTACTGTTTGTGCTTGATATTTTCCATGATATTTCACTTCCTGTTGATATTGAACAAGTCTGAAAAGAACAAAATAAGAAACAGTTCTGATTATGCAAACTCAAAAATATATGGTCAGATAAAAGAAATTAGTCGAATAAGTGTAATAGACCACTCCTAAGTTAAAAAGGTAGGAATCAGACAGATATAAGGAACATGCGTACCCGTTTCCTGACATCTGTTAGGACTACTCTTGGTTGGAAGTCTGGGCGTATAGCCGCCTGTGTCCAATGGGAGAGCTGATAATCTGATAGAGTCAGGGTGTTATCCGATCGACATTGGCGTGTCTCTGCACACTCGGAGGGCGTTGGGGTGACCCTGCTCCTGTCCGAAAGCCGGTCGAAGTTGTCGTCCATCCAAAGGTAATCTGAGGAGGTGGTACTGGTTAAACTGATACTCTCTGTATCCACATCGTCTGTGTTATCCGTTTTCTTCTTCTTTTTACGTCGACGTCGTCTCTTATAACCCATCATGTCCTTATTAGCCTTGACTTTTGGTTTCGCTTTCGGTTTTGACATCAACATACTAGAACTCTCCTGGCTGGATACATCAGCCATATAGGACTTTTGGCTATCAGCAGTCTCTAGTGTTTTCTGGGAGCTGCTCTCACTGGAAATGGTTAAAGGTGATGACGCAGTTCCACTTGTTGGCCTATACAGTTTCTTTTTCTCTTCAGGTGATTCCTAAAATACATATAATGAAAATCTTAAAACTCAAAAGACAAGAAAATGTCTGCATGCCACACTATAATGCAAATGGGTGTCATTTTTTACCAACTTTCTATAAAGAGTAATGGTGACCTTGAACTTGACCTTTGGTTTATGAAATATGAACTCATTTAATATATTCTGACATACTTGACCTTTTTATAATATTTGATCAAAATCTGTTAAGAAATAAAGTTAAAATGACAGGATGACACAGGATAAAACATGGTGAACACTTAATGCTATACCCCTTCATTAAAATGGCAGCTACATGAAAAGTTCTTGAAATTGTAATGAATATTGAGATATGCTAATAAAAAAACTTCACAACTCTTCCCAGTTTTTTTCTTTTCATTTTTTTTTTAATCATAAATGACATTTTCATATTTTGATGGTAAATAAATTACAAAAAAATTATTTGAAAGAGAAGTTTATGTTTTTTAAAGAATTAACCTTTCCTTTGGAAAACAATATTTAACATATAATAATTACAATGAGCCTATCTAACAACTCTTGACTCAAGAGTATTGTTTAAAACCTACCCTGTCTGCAGCAGTCTTAAAATCTCTCGGGTCTTTGTAGTGCTTCATCAACTGGGTCTGGGACTCGATGAAGGCTTTCAGCTGTTTTGGAGTGAGATGGTGAAATTCGCTGAAAGACTTGATCGGGGAGGAATTCAAGGTGTTATCAAGAGAAGTGTGGTGAGAGGCGAGTGACCCTTCACACGAGATGTTACCAAGGTCCGAATCGTCATGCTCACCGTGGCTAATCGGCGAGATCTTGTTGTCAATACCGTCACCTAGGAAATGAGGACGTTTGTGTTTAAATGGCGTTGATTCACCGGTTATTATTGGTGGCAGTGTCGTCTCACTTAAAACAGCACTATTATCAGACTTACTGTCCGAAACACTTTCACTAGAAACATGTTGTTTTACAAGGTCTGCGTCCATATTTTCGCTTTCCTCGGAAGGGCTGGCACTCAGACCTGGTATCTTGCTTCTGTCTGTGCTAAATTCCCCTTCAGATTTCACACGGGAAAAGAAGGAGTCCTCTGTCACACTTTCTCCTCCTGCCCTGGCAGTATCACCTTTCACTGTTGCAGTTTTTTGTTCCGTTAACATTACTACACTAGAAGGGCTTTGATCGCGAGTTATAGGTTTCAAATCTTTTGATTTAACATTCGGAAAAAATATTATTTCGTCTTCAGTTTTGTTCCTCAAGGATGAAGAAAACACTATTTGTTCACTTTGTTCAGGTATTGTTTGCTTAGATTCAGTGTTTTGAGATTCATCATGGGTAGAATTGCTCTCAATTGAATTAGATTCCAATCCATTTTTTACGGAGGACTTTTCAGACTTTGATGGTGTATCTTGAGAGGGAAATCCAGGGGACGTTGGTGTTTCTGTTGGCGTTTTTGCAGTTTCGAGAATCATTTTCAAATTTGAAACATCAAAATTTGCAAGATGAGTTTTAACATCTGGTATTCTATCAAACTTTTCAAGAATTTCTGATGCTTCAACAGCACTTACGGACCCAACAGTGGTTGATGCAGCAGGATTATCCCGATTTGGATTCATAGTCTGTAAAATGTTTTTCAAATTGTCTACATCCATATTGATGTTTGGCACTGGTGAATTTTCTGAAGGACTAAATTCAGAAGTTTTCGATTCTTCTATTTGTTTTTTACGAGCTTTGTACGCTGCTAGGGATATCTGAGTTTTCACCTTTTTCTTCCTGTTAGATGAAGCGTCGCTATTAGAGTTATCTCCCCCTGTTTGCCCATCCTCACTCAGTTGAGATTCAGATGAAATACTTCTGCCCTGTGTCCTATTAAGTCTGGGATCACTAAGAACACAACCACTGCCTTGTGACAGCCTGCGACCTACAGTAGAATAGGTTTCGTAGTTCGCCTCACCACCCGCACTTGACACCTGTTCCGCCTGACTACGATACATTTTACGATAATCAACATCTTGCGAAGAAAAGGACACATCACTTCCTGAAGTGTTATCAAACCAGGCTAATGAGCTGTCTGTTACAAGGTTGGACTGACTTGCACCTGTAACGAAATGTCCGTGGTTGTAGTCGGCTACCTGCATAATTCTACCATCAAAATCCTGACTAGCCCCTCGGTTTGGCCTCAAATCAACATCTTGTGCACTAAGCTCCTCCAACTCCTGTGCACTATTCCTCCTTACACGAGGGTCCTTTCTGGTCTGATAGACATCCACAGTCTCTAACCCAGGACTTGGGTGCATCTGTTGGTCTTGGCCTATCCTGTAAGTGGTGGGCAGGGTTGTATCAGATGAAAAAGACCTCACGGGTATACGTGGTGAGGTTTGGACTGACTGACCCTCTCCCTCTGTCACGATTCTTGCTGGCCATGATGGCTGTCTTGCCAATGTCGCAGCAGCTGGGGACACGTGTACATCAGACTGTAGAAGCTGACGTGCAGTGGGTCTACTGGATCTGGAGTTATCAGCAGACCTGTTGACAGTTCTGCTGTACCCGGAGGATTTCTCCGACGTGTAACCCTTGGCTTTGGTGTCCACGGTCCTGGAGGACTTCCTATTGTACGACACGATGGCATGGGGGATACAGTGTCGAGGCCTCTCCACAGTTTCACAGTCCTCATTGTACTCGTACAAGTATATCTGTAATGGAGATATTTATTTCAAATTGTTTTTCAAGAAAAACGCAGCATAAATCTCCTCTTTATGTGGTCATACAAATACTTCAGATAATGTAATTTTTGCGATTTTTTCACACCATATTCATTATCCATCATTTATTTTGTCCATTCCTATCAGTACAACTATATATTAGCATTAAAATGATAAGTTTTATAAGTGAAAAGAAATTTCGAAAAAAACCAAATACTGAATCTAAACTTTTTACTTTAAATGGCAATTTACACTGTAAAGGGAGGTAACTGCACAATTTTTTTCAGAGAATAATTTCAAAACAATTTTGTGGAAACAAACAAAATGTCTCGACTCCCCCTTTCAAATAAACTTTTTGATACATTTTTTTATAATAAAACAAGATTGTAATCCATTGTTGGTATTATCTAAAATTTTGTCACGTTTATAATCAAGGAAAGAACGGTAGAATTTAATGAAAAGTTCAACACTTCAAATCTAAACCATTTTTGCAGAAGCTTAAAACTGATGTAACTGTTCATGTGAGTGGTTACCTGTGACCTTGCAGCCTGGATAGACACTGAATCACTGAGGGAAGGCTTAGTTTTACTGATGTGACAGTCAAAATTCGGCGTGGGCTCCACATTTTCTGAAGTGTTCCCTTGTGTGCTCAGGACCTTGCACTTTCCTAGGATCACCTAAAAAAAGTTTTTTTTTTACAAATTGCAGGCAAGCATTGCAGACTTACTTTGTGTTGCAACATAACGGCTTCAGACAACATGCAATATTTCAAATTTACCATGAAGATGACGATGTTGAAAAGAGTACTGCAGTATTTTAAGAGCTATCTTGACAAGATGACATTACATTTGCGAACAGTAATTAAGACTTAAAATTACCTTGAAGATGACGATATTACAGGTATCCAGACCCCATACCTCCGCCAGTCGCAATTGAACATCGGCATGTCGACAAACATGCACACCCATCTTACTGTCTCCTATAAAAATCAAATACCAACATTAAAAGAGCATTCCCAAGCAACCCTCAATACAATGTTTTCATATACACCACCTGACCCCTAATCAATGTGGTGGGGTGGGATGTATAATTAGCAGTTATGATATATACCATACCATGCAGAAATTTTCTATCCATTAACTACTGAACAGGGCTATATAAACTAGATGTACATTTACACAACAGTCTCTTGCTTACTAACACCATGGCACCTTGGTAACCAAAGTGGTTTACAATATGGCTTAATTAATACATATGTTCCACAGGAAATTATTTTAACACAATTTTTTTTTTTATTCTGCCTCAACCTTTAACCATTTAACCCCTAAATCTTCAGGGTTCTGCATATTTTTTGGAAGCTTAAGCATTCTGTGAAATTTTAATGCCCTTGGTGGCAAATAATACTCTACTCAGAGTGTGGACATGGTTTCACTTTTTGACAATAAAATCTCTAGGTCCACAAACGATTTTTCAGAATAAGTCACTGAACAAGACCTTTGACCTTTGACTCCACAAAATGTTTGGTGGAAAGATATTCTACTTCAGAAAGCCATTACAGAATTTCACAGAAAAGGTTACTGTGACTCTGAACTTTAACCTTTTGTTCTCAAAATAAATAGGGTTACTCCCCTATCCACAGGTACATTACAGTGTACCAGTAGTATCAAGGCCATTGATGAAATAGTCAAAGAACAATTTTAGCACAACAGCTCACTGTGTCCTTGACCTTTCTGACCTCAAAATCAATAAGGATCCTGCTCATTCATATACCAGGTGCAGACTTCCTGCAACGTTTCAAGGCCCCAAGCAGGAACATATATGAAAAGATCCTATTAAACTTGATGAAAAAGAAACAAAAGTTATGGCCTGAAAACCAATGAGTCTACAAAAAGGACGGGAAGGCCATATCTTAAGTAAACTGGGTGCACCAATTTGTGCTTTGATTTATTTATAGAAAATGCATGTACCTGCATGTCTTTGACAATTTCAGAATGTGTTGCAATACTGCCTCACTAAAGGTAAGCATAAAGACGTTTGCTTGTAGTGTACATTTTATGTACAATGTATTTCACTTTATATTGATGTGGATATAGAGGCAGCAACGCCTAGGCTATGTCCATTTGTATCCTATTTAATACTATAAATGTAACTGGGTATCCAGCTTGATGCCCATGCTTTTCAAGGAAGCAGCACTCAGTTTTAATACCTTTATATATATATCAAATTTTAATATCCATCTACATTTAGCTGAATTTCTACAAATAATGATTGCTTGCTGTTAATTTACATACTCCGCATGTTCCAGTCTACTCAGCTGTAAATGAGTAGGTGGTTGGGCAGTGCTAGAATTGTTGAATGCTAGCTGTGAGCGCTGAAATGGCAGCACCGGCTGTATGCTCCCCAGGGAGTTGAGAAAAATATTGGCTGATTGCAAATTCAAAGGCCCTATAAACCATGGATAATAATTTGTGAACCGCTTTGAAAGAACCTACCAACTAGGTTGTGATAAAGCAGTTTATAAGAACCTCGAATGAGTATAATTATTATCATTTAAGTTGTCTTCTTTAATCTTTTCCTGTATTATTTTATAAGTTTGGATACACAGTCAAACTTAATTCTAACTGTAAACTGCGAAATTTTTTCGCCACAGTTTAACTGTCGCCTATTTTGCCGTCCATAATAAGGGGGAATTTATCCTGACAGCGTATATTTATTATTAACTCACCATTTACTACATATAGTCACTATAAGTGAAGAAACTGAACACCTGGCTAATTTGCTTTTTCCTGTGAAAGGCAAAAGTTTCACGGTATACAGTATATTAAAAGTGAAGATCACACTTAAACTTGTCTGGGTTACCAGTCTAGCCTAGTTACGTAAATATAGGACTTATCAATCGTCAATATATTCAACAGATGTACTGATTGTCATCATTTGTGAAAGACTACAAATATTATGTGTGTACACACAACAAATATACAGAGAGGTTGACGTCAAAAGGAAATTGTGCAGGAAGTGAAGGAATGATAAAGGGACCTCGGAAACACTTCATCTGCCAGAGGGCTTAAGTAGAATTATTTCTGTACACAATATACTTTCCCCAGGAATCTGTGAAGCTGAGTCTTTGTCACAAGCGCAAGCTCTGTATCAATATACTGTACACCGGGAAATTTTTGACGCAGTTTTACATCTCTTTCATCTTCCGTAATGAGGATGAATTCGTTAAATTTAATATTAATACGCAGAATACCCTATATAGTAATTACCTATGATGGGCACAATTAACTGGGCAAATATGAAGTTTACCTGTGAATGGCAAATATTTGACCGGGCGAGTGTTTTCCAGTTATATGGCATAGATCTATATTCAGTTGAACCTTGTTACAATAAAATGATTGGGACCATGGAAACTAATTAAGGCCCACTGGACTTAAAGATCATTTGATGCTTGATGTGAGTGGTATTGTCTTTTAACGAAGTTATTTAAGGAATGATTTTTATTTTTTCAACATTTATGAGGTCATAACAACAATGGGTTTATGGACATATTGAATGAATCGCGTTAGCGATTCATGTAAAATATGTCCAAAAACCCATTGTTGTTATGACCTCATAAATGTTGAAAAAATAAATATCATTCCTTATATTTACATTGACGAATCCTTTCAGTGGATCGATATAACAACGAATAAAACAAATAAACAGGGTTTGTTCCTGCTTATACACGGGTGCAACGCAGTGGCGAGAACAGTGTTTTTTCGCGGGGAAATGTGACACTATCGTGAGAGATCTTAGCAACCGTCAACAACAATAACACAACAAAATGTAGTTCCATATTCAATGTTTATTTGTAGCACAGGACACGTGAATACGTGGATATTTCACAAAGCACAGTTCAATAATATTTTAAGATGTAAGAATTAAGCATCTAGGTCGGTCGTTCCGAGTGAGTAGTTTTTGTAGTGTATTACTACGCAGTGTGATCAGGTTACTATCAGTTCCCACGTGCTGAGATTCTATGAACACCTGTGTTATGCATTTATGAATGTAATTTTTGTCAATGGGTCTAAGCATACAGAATGTAAATATTGCCAATTATGTTACAGAAAAGTACATATCGCATCAAAACGCATCACAGAACATAAGGTCTTTGTTTTAATGGCAAGAGAGGTCTGGGGATTGAATCCATATGACAGAGTTAAGGTGTTTTTGTGAAAACGAAAACTAAAATACATATTTATGCATACATTTGTGATCAACTCTTAGTTAGAAAATGCCTAACTTTGGAGACACAAGTTAGTCCAAAACATTTATACTTAAACTAACTTAGCCCCGGCCCTCTCCCTAGCAAACTTCTTTCCAGATATCATGGCTTTAAGATGTTTTTTTAGGAAAGTAGTTTCAAGAAATAATCTGAAGACAGACCCTCAACATGGCCTATAAAGCAAGCTCCATGCAAGATAAATTTTAAATTAATAACCCTACTCTCCCAAGTAATGTGTGTATGGTCCCTATCCCCTTCACTGGCCTCATGCACTGGCCTCACGCATACACATACAACATAATTATAAATGTTATATATGAACAACATATATTGTACATACACCGACATTATATTTATCGTACAATCCGCTTCATCATCACGCACGTATATATATATATATACGTACCTGTAATTAAACCAAATATGTGACAAAAAACCTCCAGTTAGACGATGTTTTAACGGAGACATCACAAGGACTCTGTTTGATGAAATCACCGTTAAAAATCAATGAGGATTTTACAGATAGAATTTTGCATTACAATCAGGTCTTTCAGCTTGTGCATCTGTTAAAACCGTACTTGATCAAGTGCACGGGGACTGATGCTAGAGCATGTAAGTATACAATTTAATTTCTGTAATTCTACTATAAATGATACACGTATAAAAACCGATTATATTCATATATATATTTTTTTCACATACTTATAGCATTACCAACACTACAGATCATTGAGACTCGTATAGGAACATGTTCACAAAGAGTTAAAATCCTATTTATTTCCAGGCGTCTATATATATGTCTTTCTAATTGAAAAAAAACCCCATCACAACATTTATACTCGAGGATTGGGGAAAATATTTTAATAAAATTCAATTACAGATTTTCTCATCTATATATACTTCCTTTTCAACTAATTAAGTTGCTGTTTTTTTCAATCCAAAATTTAAGGAAAATTAAAAAAAAAAAAAAGAATAAAAATCATCAGAAATATTCACAATCAAATTTCAAAGAAATGAACACAAAAGTCATATGACTAGTTTTTCCTATTACAAGGAAATATTCTTGTGGCATACCTGCTACAGATACTTTAACTGTTTGATTCAATTTTATTAAGTAAATTTGTTGCAGATTAATTCATTAAAAGGAACATTAGTTATTTCTTGTCTACTTAATTATATTTAAAAGCAGAAATTATGTTAATCATTGACAGTACATGTACTATACTTTCATTAAATGTTCATTAAAATGAAAATAACTTAGTTCTTGTCTAAATAATCTTTTTTTTAAACGTAGGAATTATCTTTATCATTGACTATTAATGTATTCACTTTTCATCAAACGACTCAAAATGAGTTGCTTGACAAACGAGTAACTAACTCTTAAATATTTTTTTTACAGATTATATCGCTTAAACAGTGTCCTACTTGGATGAACTTAGTCCTTAGTCAACAAAGTTCGTCCTTAGTCAACAAAACACTTCAAAATCCCCTACTTCTATAAGTATCAGTATGGCGACAGACTGCTGCTTTGCGATTTTGTGTCGGATGGTTGACTCATTTATTGACCGAACTTGGCGTTTCTGCTGTAGTCTTGTCTGTTGTAATTGTGAGTGTCCATGCTGTTCAACCAATCAGTGCCAAGAGATGACATGTCGATTTCATTTCTGTGAACCAGAGCTGGATGAAGATTATGAGCCTGGTAATATACAGGAGGTCAAGGTCACTACGACCCCTGTAACCTACACCTGTGAGGACCTTGATGCGGTGTGTTTGGTATGCTGTAGGTATCTGTCCTGTGTCCCCTGTTGTGCCTTCATGTGCAAGAAATGTTCAAACAGTCGTATCTGTCCAAAATGTCTCCATAGCAACTGTTGCCTGGCAAAAGATCGGAACATTTTGAAGGAGATGGAAGTGTTAGAGAATTCTATACCTGGAGCATATAAAAAAAGCTCCACGCCGCAGAAAAAGGGCAAGGATTCTCATCTGTATCCCAAAGAATCAACTGGGAAGACCCATCTGGTGTCAACAGATAATAATTCTGTTTATGGTAATGATTCCAAAACAAGCAGTCTGAGATCAAAGGCGGAAAGTGAAGAAGAGGAGATGAATCGTGAGGATGGCCACTACCGATCTTCCGATAAGGGCAAAAATGAAACTACTATCACAGCAATAATAGAACATCCCCCTTCCGTGGCTTTGTGTGGTACGACAGACTCGGTCACTATAGCTCACAACGAGGTACCAACAAGCAGCGGAACCGCCACCAAATCCATCCAATACAAAACAAGGAAATTAGCTAGAAAAATGGACAGCATCGAATTTGACCAATTGCTCGACTCCGATTCTGAAAACGATCATGATCAAAGTTGTTACCATGGTAACAAAGCTACACCAAATGTCAAGGTCAACTACAGGGATGTTTGTACCAACGGTGTGCAGATCATTGTTACAGACTATGACTATGGGAAGAAGAGAACCGACAGTATATCTTCTGAATCAAGTGTTGATAGTCGGCAGATGGAACGAAATCAGGAAATTGTTGAACAGGAAAAGGACAGCTCTTCAGAAAGTGCCGATACACCAATAGAAGACCAGTGCAGTGAAGATATGCAGAGACCTGTTGTCATGGAAACTAGAAATATATTAATTACAAATCATCGACAGACTTCTGTGTAATTAAGACAATATTTCATAGGTACATGCATGTTTTGCACTTTGATCCTTGTTAGCACGACAGCTTCAGATCATGTATTGCAAACTACTTTGTGACATATCTACTGCTAGCTCAACCAGGTGCTTATTTTTAAGGATCCCTGTTCCATCGCAGGCAAAATACTATAGAATCCACTTAATTTTGTGTACACACAGTTAACTTCCGTTTAATTTTGTTTCGGATTAAACTGCAGCAAAGCTGGGTCAGGATACTTTGATTGACCCGGTAGCTCAGTTGCTTTGAGCGACAGTGTCATTAATATATGATCTGAGGTCCAGGGTTTGTATCCCGAATGGTTTTTGGCAGTGATATACAACGCAAGGATCCTTGATATCAAATCTTCCGGTTGATTAGGTGAAAGTGGGTCAGTGTGCATGTGATACGACTATAAGTGCAAACAGATAAATTGATAATACACTAGAAATGTCGATGCATTAATCCATTTTTTATCAAATGAATATCTATCACTCTCAAATACAAATTAGGAATTTCCTTTTTGATTTAACTACCAGGTATGATGATTAACTTTTATACTGTCATGATTGAGAAAACAAATTGTCATTCTCAGCTAATTTACAGCTGTATGAATGACATTGTCTGATGATTTTAGTTCTCTTCACATAAAATCAATTGTAATGTGTTCGTATTGTTGATAAAATGTATAAAACATAAAGAAATCACTGATTTTCTACTGTACAATAATGGTTTTGATCTGACACATTTCATAACTGAAGACAACTGATTTTTCTTATCATACTACAGCACCTGTTGTACATCAAAGCATATTCTTGACTACTTGAATATGTCATAGCAAAACTGAAGACTCAGTTTTCACCACCATTTACTGAGTGAGCGACATATTTTTATTACTTTTTGCACATATTTGCAAACCAAATTTGATTAGTCCAGGTGATCAACTAGCCTATACTAAGATATGCCCCAAACAAACCGTTTCGAATGGTTGGGGTCAAAGGTCAAACCATATGTCACAGTGACCTACTTGTTTTACTTGAATCCATCCTAAAAAGTACTTGCAGACCAAATCTTGTTACTCTAGGTGAAATAGTATAGACGATATGTCTGGACCAATGTTTCACAAAATGGTGCAAACCCCCATAAAACTGGCCAGATCAAATTTTTAATTGCAGGTTTACAGCTTCAGAGTGTGTGGGTTACATCGGTGAAATTTAGCTGAAAACTGTAGGAGTTGTATTCAGTGTACTGGAATGTATTACATACGTTTGACATAATATTCAATATTCTGGACAGCAGTTACATGTACATGTATCTGAAAAGGAGCATAACTCGGAGAAATTTGGTCCAAATTTGACAACATGCAAAAGAGAACATACTTAATGGGAAAGTATCATGCCAAGTTTGAGAGACGTTCCTTCAGTGCTTGATAAGATATAAGATACACTTAACCCAATATTCTGACATTGATTTAGCTTTTGTCAGCCCATTTTCTTTTTTCAGGATTGGTAAAAGTCTTCATTTCTATTTCTATTCAAAATGTATGTATGGTTATGGAAGAATACAATTAAAGGCATTTGCTGTTGTACATTTCATGTATTTGCTGAATTTTATTTAATTTTAAGAATCTATTTAATTCTTCACAACAAATTAAACCTCTTCACGCCCAGTTTGGCAGAAAAATGAAATTTTATTGGCAAAGAGGCCATCTGAAACCCGACTGCTCTGAAAGTTGCGAGGGACGCACTATAATCGCAACAGGCACTGGGAACGGAAAGGAATATTCGCACAATAGTAACTGGCGGGAATTTTACTGTCGAACACCTGGACCGAAAAATGGGTTATTTTTGTCGGACTTTGATTTTTTTTAACAGCCCAACCAATAAAACCAATAACAATAACTCTGAATGTTGTCCAAATTTAACAACGAGCGAAAGGGCACGATAACATTCCATAGGGAAGTAATATACTTAGTTTGAGAAAAATCTCCTCTATGGTTTTTAAGAAACGCTTGACACAATATTTCGGGCAGAGAAATCCTTTCTATAGTTTTTAAGAAATGCATGACACAATATTCCGGACAGANTATTGCCTTACCTATTTAATCTAAGTGTAATAGAGGTCATTACTTTTTCAATGCCTCTGCCAGGAGTCGATCTGGGACCTCCGGTTTATTAGTCCTAGGCTCAACCGAAAGAGCTAAAGAGAAATTCTCCCTAGCCGAGTTGGTAGGAAGCGGCTAGTATTTTACCAGGGGGACATACTCCCCTCTCCAGGGAAGAACTTGTCCCGAGTTTTCCAGGGGTCATAGCGATTCCTTTGCAAGTATCCCTGAGCATTTTTGTCAAATCTTCTGGGTCCCTATGTGGGCGCCAATGTAACAGAGTTTATTATTTTTCAATTCATCCGATAGGATTTGAACCCAGGACCTCTGGCTTACTAGTCTTATGCTCTACCGAATGGGCTAGAGAGAAATTCTCCCTTACTGAGTCAGTAGGAAGCGGCTAGTATTTTACCAATAATAACCGCTTCAATTTTGAATGCACCTTTTGATAGCACATTGCCCTTTCTCATCCCCATTATCAAAGTAATTTTTAAGTACTTGTGTCCAATAATTCTTTAAAACTTCTGTTCTGAGTTTCATCCACACTTTTCAGCTGCTGTGTGGTTCGGGTCATTGGCCATCATATACGCCATACATAACAAAATATCATTATTATAGGTGGAGAATAATATACAATGAAAGTAAGGGGTTGAAGGATATATCAAGTTTCTGGTGTCCTGAGACCAGGTCTATTTCCCGAGGCGAAATAGGCATGGTCAAGGGACACCAGAAACTATATCCCTTAACCCCATACTTTAACCGTTTTATTATACCGATACACACTGGAGAGATAGTTTTAACTAGAAAATATTTGTAACCATAAGCTGTAATGCTTCACGTCCCAACTACCCTTTTGATGGCAATGGAGCCAAATGCTTCCGAGTTCGGTAGCAAGCTCAGCCCACCTCGCGTGTCGCTTCCAAGTTCGGTAACAAGCTCTGCCCACCTCTCGCCTAATTGGCTCAGCGGTAACACCCGAGTGTAGGTGTGCTTTAGTTCAGAAGGTGTGTTTTAGTTCCCAGACTAACACACAGGACTAAAACACAGTCAGGCAAAAGTGGGGATTTATTCGATTTACCAATTACTTTTATATAGAGTAAATAAAGTAGAAGTATATTTAAACCAGATATTTAACTTTATATTATTTGAGTTTGTCTTCAATTTGATAACTCATAAACTTGACAACTTAGAAAGCCAGTTAAAGTTTCTTCAAATTTTATTTGCACTACACTGCAGTGCATACATAAACACACAATCACTCGGTATTACAAAATAGCTAGATGCATGTATTGCCGAAAAACCTGTTACACATGACTGATAACATGTTATGCTCGACTGGTATCCATTACCATATAAGGAGACATTAAAACAGAATACTGTGACATTACATAGATCATATCATAATGTCAACTTAAATGTTAATTCGAGTAATAAATCAACTGAAAAATCAAAAACATATATTTCTTTTATTTATCAGGTTAGAATTTTCTGAATGGTTTCTAATTGAAATTCGGTTGCTTGCTGGAAATGGATTATCATTTAGTAACTACACATCAAAGAATATGTTTTTGAGACAAGAATTCTATAGGGGCCTTACGTCTGCCCCCACTGGTAGCCATGTTGGATGTCAGATTTGTAAATGGATAGATTTGTTCAGTGATTAACTCATTCACCCCTGAAGACACATTTGAACTCTTCCAATTCAAAGGTTGGAACAGTTCATCATGAAATTTCAGCGGTGGATGAGTTAAGAACAGCAAGGCGAATCCCCACAAAGCCAAATTTTCTAGTTTTCCACTTTTTCAATGGACAAAATATTATAAATCTATGTTATGTCATATCTGACATTATATCATATCTTATATAATATTGATTTATGATTTATAACCCTTACATGATGTAATGCAGCAACTACTTCATAGGCAGGTATCGAAACCAAAACCAAATATCTAAATCCCCATATTATTATTTAAAACATCTAAAAATATGTCTTGGTACATTGACTGACCCTTAAGTTCTTATCTCCGACCCAAACAATTTTATCTCACTCAAAAGTACTCCAAGTATTGGTATAATTTGTCCACCGGATGCAAATAAATTGATGGACAAACAAACAAGGCAAACATATATATACTCTCTCTACTTCATAGGCAGGTATCGAAACCAAAACCAAATATCTAAATCCTCATATTATTATTTAAAACATCTAAAAATACCCACCAACCTACCCTATTTTTTTCAGATGTGGATGTTATTTTTTAAGAACTCATGTCCAATGATTCATGAAAAATACCATTTATAAAAACATATCACTATCTAGCATTTTTTTCAGAAATTAACAATGGCGATTCTTCCATTTTCATAATAGCCAACAGTAGAGTTTCTAGCTGTTCAAAGGAAAAAGAATATCAGCATTCTTTGTAAAACTGTTAAATTACCCTTTAAACCTTTTTGTGTCATGAAAGAAAAGGAAAATGTAAATTAAAGCTATTATTTTAAAAATCAGTTCATTTTCACAATCACGCAGTCTTTATCTAAAATACCAAAAACAAGAAAAATACCTGTGGAATTAACATGACAGCGATTAATTAAATCAGTTACAGGGACACAGATTAAATAAGTTATTTATGCATTTTTTTTAAAAACATGCTGCTTATTTCAAAATTGTTAATGATTGATAAATGATCATTTTGGTAAAAATTTAAAGTGTACACATTCTGCCTCCTGGTGAACTAAAACACACTATTTTTATTTTTGATGATATGTTATACACATAACATAACTAAGCAAACAGATCATCCAAAGTTACTTCCTGTCAGACCACAGGGGTTCGTTACAAAATATATCGGTCAAAGCAGGTGTATATATATGTTTAGGTGAGTTGTGACCCATATCAATATAGCTGCATGTGTGTATTAGACATTAATTTAACAAACCCCTGTGTTAGTGAAAATCAGCCAATGGGGGACAAGTAGAGTGTTCACTGCAGCAGTGATATTTAAAGTATACAAATAACACAATGTGTGTGACCCACATACCAATATATCAGGAGAGTAAATAGGAAGAGGGACACGATGCATGACCTGACTACCTTGTGACTGTGAGACGGAACTGATAATAGTAGCAGTCAATACGGCCAGTCCTTAAGCCCCGGGGTATACATGTATATAAATCACAGGATACACCAGATTTCACTCAATAGCTAGAACACACAAGGGAGAAGTGAAAGTTACCAACAGTTCTTGAACAGGTAAGAATATAACAGGTACACAATGTCTGATACACATTCATGCCTAATTATAGGTAAGTATGAAAGATGATAGATGATACCTACCATGTTGACTAAACATTATATGTTGTATATATAGTGACCTGACTTGTTGTTGAGGGACATACTTGGATTATTCACAAACAACTTAAATACACTCGGAGTCTCTTGAAATGTTTTTGTTATAAAGCTTCCTTGTGAAATGGTGTAGGTTCTGTATACAGTAAACTTTCACAGTACCCATGAAGATGTACCAGAGCTGGCCTTCATGGGAACCTGCAGGGTGAGGACTATAATCAATAAGCTATATACACACCTTACTTCACTATAATCAATAAGCTATATACACACCTTACTTCACTATAATCAATAACCTATATACACACCTTACTTCAGCTTAGTACACTAAGAACATGGAATCACCTACGGGGTATACTACATTAAATAAGCGTCATTTAAACACACACATATGTAGTCTGTTAAATACACAGAATACCAGGTCAATTCTCACATTATTAATAATCTGTACCATTATATATAGTGTTAACAATCATGATATAATAGATACCATAGCCATTGGCACATCCATCAAGTCAGAATAAAGCCCAATGCCTATCAAGCCATTGTTGAATAAATATTTCTCTCATTGGATCCCCCCCCCCCCCTTCAGACTTGTGGATTCTCCTTGATTTGAGGAAACGAAAGCAGACAGACAGACAGGCAGACAGATGGATAGATACATGTAGGGCATACGCATCCCTATGCAGGGCCCTAATAAATCAAATAAGGCCAATATTGGTAAAATGTATGCTTGTCTTATCCAACCCAGAATTTTAATTAAGATATAGGTAGCTAAATAGGGATGTTATTTTCCCTGGTATAATGTCACTTTTTTGCGAGTTTTGAAAAAATCCTTTAAAAGTATGTTTTGATAAGTTGCATTCTCTTACATTGATACTATATATTGTCAGACGTAACCATTTTGGCAATCATAGATAAACCATCATAACAGGTGACTGACTAAATTTCCTGAACTTAAAGACAAATGATTAAATATTTTTAACTCAAACTCACAATAAAATATTTTTAGCACTGGCATGTTTGTTATCCACTATTTCATAAACTTGACAATTTAAAAAGCAAGTCAAAGTTTAAAAAAAAAATAACTGCTATACATACACTGCAGTGTTTACCTATACGCACAATCACCAGGTATTACAACATAACTGATGGGCTGCTATGCTTGACTGATCCCCCGTTACCATAAATGAGTCGGTGAAGTAAAAACAACTTCCTATAGCAGTAGGAAATTATTAAGGAGTATGCTTCCCTGAACTGACAGTAATAAGGAAACCTATACAGATATATAGGGTCCTATCTAACGGTAAATCTGATTGGGAGCTACAGCGGTGGCAGGACACATATCTCAATTGACTACAGTATATATACTACATACAGGTAAAGCAACATACAGGTAAAGTAAACTACGCTGAAATACATTTAGGTATATATATACCATACCTGTTATAATTACTAGTAAAAGAAGATTTTTTTTTTTTTTATTCAACTTTTTTTCATAATCACATTTTACTACAGATAAGAAGAAGAACTTAGACAAAGATTAAGGGTATGACATACAAACAGCTACAGGCAGGACTATCAAATATAACAAATAACTTTAATTACAAAAGAAACAGGCAAGATATATTGAATTTATAGCTAAGACATATGGGTTACAGGTAAGATAACACAAAGGTTACAAGTTAAACCTACAAAAGTTACAGGTAACACAAAGGTTACAGGTAAAACCTACAAAGGTTACAGGTAACACAAAGGTTACAATTAAAACCTATGAAAGCTACGGGTAACACAAAGGTTTCAACCAAAACCTACAAAGTTACAGATAACACAAAGGTTACAAGTTAAACCTACAAAAGTTACAGGTAACAATGGTTACAACTAAAACCTACAAAAGTTACAGGTAACCAAAAGGTAACACCTAAAACCTACAAAAGCTACAGGTAACAAAGGTTACACCTAAAACCTACAAAAGTTACAGGTAACACAAAGGTTACAACCAAAACCTACAAAGTTACAGATAACACAAAGGTTACAAGTTAAACCTACAAAAGTTACAGGTAACAATGGTTACAACTAAAACCTACAAAAGTTACAGGTATCAGTTACAGGTATCACCAAGGTTACAGGTAGACCTACAAAAGTTACAGGTAACACAAAGGTTACAAGTTAAACCTACAAAAGTTACAGGTAACAATGGTTACAACTAAAACCTACAAAAGTTACAGGTAACACAAAGGTTAGAACTAAAACCTGCAAAAGTTACAGGTATCAGTTACAGGTATCACCAAGGTTACAGGTAAACCTACAAAAGTTACAGGTAACACAAAGGTTACGAATGGATGATTTTTACTTCTTTTTGTTTATGTTTTCAGTGCCACTATGAGTGATTGTTTACTGTGCTGCTATGGGTGATTGTTTACTGTGCTGCTATGGGTGATTGTTTACTGTGCTGCTATGGGTGATTGTTTATTGTGCTGCTATGGGTGATTGTTTACTGTGCTGCTATGGGTGACTGTTTACTTATGGGTGATTGTTTACTGTGCTGCTATGGGTGATTGTTTACTGTGCTGCTATGGGTGATTGTTTATTGCGCTGCTATGGGTGATTGTTTACCGTGCTGCTATGGGTGATTGTTTATTGTGCTGCTATGGGTAATTGTTTACTGTGCTGCTATGGGTGATTGTTTACTTATGGGTGATTGTTTACTGTGCTGCTATGGGGGATTGTTTATTGTGCTGCTATGGGTAATCGTTTACTGTGCTGCTATGGGTGAATGTTTATTGTGCTGCTATCGGTGATTGTTTACTGTGCTGCTATGGATGATTTTGAACACTTTCTGTTGTATTTTTTTACAGTGCCCCTATGGGCGATTGTTTACTGTGCTGCTATGGGTGATTTTAATCACTTCTTTTTGTTTATGTTTTTAGTGCCACTATGGGTGACATTGACTGCGGAGACTGTGGAGACTGCGGAGACTGCGGAGACTGTGACTGCGGAGACTGTGACTGTGATTGTCCTAGCTGTGACTGCTGCGATGGGTGTAATGGCGGCGACTGCTGCAACTGCGACTGTGGATTTTGTGGATTCTGTCCGTGTGACTGTGACTGTTGTGCAGGCGGCCATGTCACCCAGGTAGACGGAAGTGGCCCCGTCGACCACGGTCACCACCACCATGGCTGCGGTTCGTTATTTTGCGTCTGGTTCTATGATGATTGTTGTTGTGAGGACCAGGACAGAAGAAGACGTAGAGATAACACAAATGTAGTCCGTACATATGCCAACCAACAAATTCCGCCACAAGGTTCATACCCTCAGCAACAAAATACACAAGGACCGCAACCTTCTGCTCCAGTGGATGACCCACCTCCCTACGCTACCCTGTTTGATCCGGAGAAGGATGTCATAACTATACAGCCACAGAATTACAATCACGAGTCAGCAGACCGCCCAATCACTGAACAGCCGCAGGGCACCGCATTATAGTGCAATATAAAATATCGGTGGACAATGACTCTTAGTCTTCATCAAAAAAGCATAAAAAAAATAAAAACCAACAGTGCTCTTGACTGTTACATGTTTAACCTGTTGGAGTTAATTGAGTGATGCCATCTTGGTGTTCAACACTGTATACTGGGAAAAGTTTGTGGTAGTCTAATTTTCGCCTTTTTGCCCTTTTTATTGAGGGAAAATTATCATGACAGTGAACGTTAGTACAAAGCTCACAAGACACAGTATATATCTGAAGACTGAAATGAACCATTGTAAATACAGATTTTGACAGTGAAGGGTGGATTTTGGAGGTTTACGGTACAAGATGAAGTGATATTAAGGTGAAACCTACATCAAAACAAGTGATAATAAAATAATTGAATTGAATAGATTATATAGAAGGAAAAACGGTGCATCAAATAAACATGATAATAACCAAAAAGTGACATTTAGCGGCATGATATTAAGTGGAATGTACTGTATTAAACAAGGTTGAAGTCTGACAATAACATGATACTATTATTACACTGTGTCTGTTTCTTTGACATTAAGATAAATCCAAGTTGTGCACTTGACGCAGCTTGATCAAACCTTCGACAACATTATCTATGCAAGGACTCTTGTCGAAATCTTGTGAAATCAATCAAATCCCAACACTTGGTTCAGACAATGACATACAGAATAACTGCCAACTTGTGTCACACTTGTCATTCTTGCCCAAAATTCCGAAAAAGTGGTTTCCGAGCATATTGAACATCATAGTGATGACAATTTATTTTATATACATGTATACAGCCTTTCATCTGCTTTCCATCCAGGCATCAATGCCGCCCAACAGAGCACTTCTGATACTACTGGATATCTCTGCTGATCAACGTCAGGTGTCATAATGTTAAGCTCATAGTCCTAGACTATACCAATGTAAGTGTTGATGCAATTTCTTGATTAAATGAATGTGCTTGTTACACTTTCAAGCTTAAGTTTAAAACTCCCGAAAGAAATGTCGATATTTCATCATGTGTTTTTTCATCGTGCATTACTTGCCTATTTTTGTCATATCCATACTTTCATCTTTACAAATGTTACATTTTCATATCTATCTGTGTAAATGTGGTGATCTACAATCTCTATAAATTGATCAGGTATGTATATGCTGCTATAAAAATATTTTGTATATATTTTCTATTCTTTATTCATACATTTAACTGAAAAAAACAGGGAAAATCTCCTTCCTTTGAACCCTCTTACCCCAAAACATGAACCCCTTTGCCCAGAAAAAAAAAATGTTGCATCTGATAATTCATTAAATATGATACAGTGTACATGTTTAACCAGGGCTCATATGGAAGGTTTCACAGTTATAACAAGGAAGATTGGTCACATTAAAAACAATCCCAATTTTCCCAGTTTTGCCTCAGGATATTCGTAATGGCTTATTTTTGCATTAGCATATTCGTAATGGCTTATATTTTTGCCTTAGCATATTCGTAATGGCTTTTGCTTAAAAAAATATTGATAAAAGCCTTAATTAGCAGGAAGTGTTCGTTAGTCCACATTGATAACAATATCGTCTATGAAGTGAGCCGGTGCTGTAATTATATATACTGCCACGTGCACTCAACATGTTGACTGCTGTATATAACACAATACATCGTTATCATCATTGGGTTTTTGTTTATCATTTAAACAAGATTTGTTTAAATGATAAACAACAAAATTTGTCAAATATCATTGTTAAGCATTCTTTATTTCTACAAGAGTTGTTTAAATGCATTGTTGATCATTTATTATTGAAATAAGACTTTTTTAAATGATAAACAACAAGACCTGTCAAAGTTCTTTTGTCTATCGTTTATCATTTATCATTTAAATCAAATTTGTTTAAATAATAAACAATGAAAATCTGTCAAATATCATTGTTAATCATTTATCATTTAAACAAGATTTGTTCCAATAAATTGTTTATCATTCATTATCGAGACAAGATTTGTTTAAATGATAAACAACAAACTTTGTCAAATGTTGTTGTTTCCCATTTATTGTATTTTTTTTTTTTAACTGATTAACAGTCATCACCTTTATAAGTCATCTTAAATTCCAGTTCACCATATATATTAAATATTAAGTTCATTTTTGTTTTATTGAATTATTCTTTTTACTGCAGTAGAATGGACAAATTAGAGCCCTTATGTATTGATAGTACTAACTAGAACACTGACAGGTCAGTAAGGGCCCCGTCTTATGGCAATATATCCCCCATAATCATCAAGAAGCAATCTGCCCATATAGTTGAGCTTATTGTTTGACATTTGGACTTCAAAAAAATCGCAAGGAAGCAAAATATACATTTAACATGTACTATGATGTGAGTCTTGTTTCCTTCCACCTCCATATTTGCTGGGCTAACAGAAATGTAGATACCTGTACGTGCAATACTCATTTGTTAGCTTTGATTTGTTTTATTACACCTTCAATACCTCCTCCCTCAAGAGAAAGGGTCAAAGTCAGAGATCCACTTTGTCTTTGACCTTTGGACCCAAATGACCTTGATCTTAAACTCAATGATCCTTTTTTCTTTAATTCCGACCAACTTTGCTTTATAATAACATAAAAAGTGTTCATCAGTAAAAAGATACAATAGTTGACCTTGACATTGACCCAGTGACCTTGACCTAAGTCAGTTGACTCCTTGTTAAATTCCAACCAACTTTTGCTTCATAATGTCATAACAAAATGTTCATCAGTGAAAAGATGCAAAATTTGACCTGGACCCTAGAACCTAATGACCTTGACCTTTGACCTTGACTTTTTTCCTCAGCGTGTATTTTTGTTAACTGAACATCTTGACCAAGTTTCATGTAAATCGGTCATTAACTACCAAAGTTATTAGCCAGGAACAAAATTTGTGGACGGATAGACAGACAGACAGATGGACAGACAGACAGTGATTACTATAGGGCAGCCATATCTCCGATACGGGACCATAATTATGAACACTTTAGTGACATGTATACCGGCATGTGTATACATGTATATTACATTTTAGACATAAGTCTACGTCAAGACAATTCAGTTGATGAGGTAGGACAATCGGTTAGAGTGATAGTATAGCAATCTGACATTCAGGATTTCAAATCTCGGTCTAGCTCCGCTGATTTCTTTTTGAACTCGGAACACTGTTGTTGATTATATTTTGTTTAACTCATCTTTATTATTTTTCATTAAAGTTACGTAAAGTATGATTTTCTTCAGAAATGAATAACAAAGCTAAAGTAATGCTGGGAAAAACATTTTCCAACACTTCGTTACAGTTTTTTGCAGTGGTACGGGGATCCTTAATTATGATTAGCTGTTCACAAAGTTTATAATGTTATAGATCTGGTCAGCTTTTGCTTTATGTTCAGTTCACGTTTATGTGACAAACACAATAAAAATACAAACGACTGCCATGTTGTGTTATTTTTTCCGGTGAAGATTTTCTGTGTTCATTACTGCTTCTGTTGGGAACAAGAGCTCCCCGATGGAGCTTCTCACCCACCATTGAAAGACCACCAAATGTTACCGATATATAGGCTTTCTTCTTGAACGAGTTGAACAAGTACATGTGCTAATTTAGGGAATCGTGCAAATCATGTCACAAAATGCTGTCTTGAGGGGATTTGTTCTGATTCATCTCAAAATGAATCATGTTCCAACTGCAAACGGACGAGTTTTATCAAGGTCCTTTTTGTTTTCGTAATAGCCACAGGGGCACGCAACTAATACTTAATATTGATCTTGTTAGACATTCAGTAGCGGGAGACCCGGATTGGGCAAATTTGAAGCAGGTCCAGCTAGGAACTTAGGGAATTTTGTATACAGTTGAGTAGTTTCCAATAAACAGCTCTGACTAATAAATTGACATAGAAAATCCAAGAAGGCTGACTAGTGGCCATTTGCTTTTCCAGTCCATCTCAAATTTAGCCATGTACAACAATATGAACCTAGCTAGGGGATCCTGCATACCAAATTTCATTCGACATGATCCCCTGTAGAATTTCTACAAAAATAGTTTAGACAGACTGATTGACAAATACGGGACTACCGATGAAAAATGACATCTTACCATGTGATGCTAGCAGGCTTGAAAGCATATGGTGTATAGGTGCTAGAGGTTGATTTCACTATGCTAGTTAATAAATTTCATCCTGCTAGATGATAAATTTCACTTTTCTATGAGATGAATTTCACCTTGGTAGAAAATGAATTTCACTGTGCTGAAAAATTAACAATACCCTGTGAGAAGATAAATTTCAGTGCTAAATATCGGTTTGTACTGCTTAAATCAGTATCATTGCAGGCATCATATGAATCATAGAAAGCAATTATAGACTTACCAAGGGCGTTGAATGAAATCTCTCGGGAACGAAGTCCATATTGGGTGATCTGGTTAACTAATTTTTCATCTTTCACAAGTAAGAAAGCAAACAGATCTTGCACATCTCTGGTATGTCGGCCATCTTCTTTCAACTCTGCTCTTTTGGTTCTAAGGGAAAAACAATTACAATCAGAATAAACCAAATACATTTCTTATACTCTTGTGTTATTTTTCATAAGCTTGGAATTAAATTTGCAAGGTCACAATAAACTAATTACGATAGTGCACTGCACTGCAAACAGACTGAGGACGATGTAGGTATACTGCAAGATAAAATATCTTCAATGGTTTGAAAGTCAAGGCCTGGACTAATGTTACTGAAAATTGTACATTCAATTGACCTGTGACCTTGAGGTCATATCTTGACTTTGACCTTTGGATCATATATCATAATTTATTAACAATTACCTTGGCATTTAGGGTAGGGATTCAAGTGTTGCATGCATGACATAGTCCTATTCCATGATATGCACATCTTTATCTTTTTATAACGAAATGACCACTATATGTAGCTAGTAGGAGCAGAAAAGTCCACGGCCAGACAGGGGTTGGATCACGAGACCCTCCTAACTCTAGACAGACGCTCTACCAATTTAGCTACCCGATTGCCAACGATATGGATCGCCTCAGTGAAGCTCTGCTACATATATACATTGTATAACAGCCAGACATCCTCCTTTACCAACGATATGGATCGCCTCAGTGAAGCTCTTCTACATATATACACTGTATAACAGCCAGACACCCTCCTTTACCAACAATATGGATTGACTCAGTGACGCTCTGCTACATATATACACTGTATAACAGCCAGACACCCTCCTTTATCAACGATATGGATCGACTCGGTGACGCTCTGCTACATAAATACACTGTATAACAGCCAGACACCCTCCTTTATTTCATGGAGGTGGAAGCAGGAACTGCACTATTTAAGTTTTAATCCAAGGTCATCACCTTTATTGTACTAATGAGCATGTGCCACGACCTACCTGTACTGTTCGTCTAGCTCCTTGTTGTTGATGAGTTTGACGGAGGTGATGTCCCAGCTGCTGAACTGACTGTCCAGGTAGGAGTGCTCAGCTGTACTGACGATGTCCTGAGCATCTCGACTCTTTATAGACACATTCCTTACATTGTCTGCACAAAAAACAAAAAATAATCAATTTATATCCAAAACAATAATTTCGCGGAAACAGATGCAGCACCTGCACCAGCTTATACGATGACTGATAGCAATGAAGGGATATCTTTTTCCTTTTATATTGTTTTATTGTTTCTTAAAATGGTAGTGTTTTATATGATTGAATTTCCTGAGCATCAAACTTGAGAAAGGCCTGGACACAAGTATTAGTATACGAGACAATTAAGCTTCATTTGAACCTGATAATTCTTCTTTATTTTGCTCAGCATAATATCTGAGATAGCAATGTACAGAAAAGAATTCTGGGCAATTTTCATTAAAATCTGATAATTCCTTCAAAATAAATCACCTGCAAACCATTAACCAATCAGATCTTCATAAGCTGCCTCATTAGATAATGCCCGAAATTGGGCTGAACATTGAACATGTGGGAAGGAGTTTGGTAGTATATATACCAGGCAAATGTCATAAAAATCTGGTAATTCTTTCTTAAGATATTGTCATGAATCTCTATTGCTAAGACAAATACCACCCATGTCACATTTAATGGCAGCACAAAAATTAAAACTATCACCTTTGGTACGCCACCTGTTAATCAGTATTAGTTAAGGTGCTTCCTGCTTCTTTAATGCTCCCCCTCCACAAAGCGTTAAAGGGAGATAACCCAGTGTGTCTATATTTGTAAGATGAAGCAAGGCTTTTATTCTCGAACTTAGTTTTCACAAATGTGTGTTTATAAAATACAGAATCCTTCAAATAAAAACATTACTGGTTATAATATATAATATTCGAGATATTACATGCATCTTTCATAAGAAACCTATAATGATTATAATAGGTTTATCTCCTAACAGGCAACTTACATTAAGCAGTATGTTTTTGTTCATCCAAACACAAAGGAGAACCTACAAGTATTTTATACCAGAGAGAGATCTACAGGTATATATTACCAGTATCCTGAATGCTGTACACCACAAAATTTTCAGTGTAGTTCAACTTTCGCTTTTTTACGCTATATACACGTACATGTAACAACATATCAAGGGTGCAATTAACTCTGAAAACGAATCCTACCAGTGAAGGGTGGAAATTTGACGGGGCTAAATTTTCCAGATAAACAGTAATTTCTAACCTTTTGTAGATTGTTTCTTGATTTTTGGAAGGTTCTGGGCGAGGCCACCAGGCTGTGCTTCTGACATTCTTCCTGGCTACATCATTGAGGTATCTGTTGGGGGAAAAAAATGAATTCTGATGTCTGTTGTGTTGTAGTTGTCCTGAGAATTTGCAACCATTTGAACCAAGGTACATTAAAGCCAGTATTTTACACAGGAACAATATATGTAGTCTGAATTTATATATGCTTATAAGCATGCACTCCTCACCAATAAATTCCATATCAAAAATATGCATATACACGTGTTGAATGGTAACATTTCAGATAATATTAATCGGATGATATTTTTTTCTGAACAATTCACAAAAACAATCTCTCATTTTATTAGCCGCAATATTCAGTTTTGCTTTGCACTTGACCTTTGACAGAGGTGGAGGGCAACGTGACCTTCAGGGGGTAATTATAGTGCACTGCACTGCACACCTTCTTTGGGTGATGGAGGTATATATACATTTCATTTTTTCTATTCAGATAGTTTAATGTTTACATACACATCAATTTTTACTAATAATTTTCTTACTTTACTTTTAGCATACAGGTGAAGGTCACATTGACCTAAATACAGTGCACACATTTAAAAATATATTCAATGGCTTAAAATTTACAACCAAGACATTGAGATATTGTTAAGGAGGAACCAGGAAAAGCTGTTTCTAGTTCTGTGACTGTGTAGTATTCCTACTTAACTGTATTTGACATTGGTAACTAAGCTTTGTACCAGCTTTGGCTAGGGGGAATTTCTCTTTAGCTCAGCGTCAAAGCTTCAAACTACAGGATGCAAGTTTGGGGTGGTTTAATTACATTTGTATAATAGTTCCATCCCTAGCCAGAAGCACACCCTTTTCATAAGGATAATCCCTTCTTATATTTTCAAGGACTTTGTGTGCTCGGCAAATGCAATCCTTGTGAAAAGTGAGATAAATCCAATATTTAGATTTTATAATTTTTTATCTTATCAAAACTGTGCCAGATTACCACTGTTACAATACTTCTGATACATCAGTTCGGGCACAGGCAAACATTATTTGTTTGAAATATTCTCAATGATATGAATAGCGGGTTTTTTTTTCAATGGAGAATCGCGATCGTGCATGTACAATCTGAATGTGAAACAGGAATAACGTTAACTCATTAACATTCAACTCCGGGTCCTTTTAAGCTATATATAAACACATGAAATCACAAAACCAGCCAAAAGCAACTGGAACCATCGCCGATCCCAGAAAATGATTTAGCCCACCGATGCATTTTCCCCAATTTCTCCACAAATGAAAACACTTATACAAATGATCGAATAAGGTATGAATGAAGAGGGTATACATATTGCACAATGAGTACTGTTAATGTACGAGCAAGTTCGAGTCAATAATGATTTTACAATACAGTGCATTACAATTCCAATTTGTGGTTTAGTATCCACAACATTGACACGGACACACGATCTGCAATAAATCTAGAATAGTTATTATAAACCTGAGCAGCTTTTGTGAATGACACCATCATCAATGATTTGTATGAGGTAAGGGCTGTGCTTTTGAACATATAGTTGGAACTTCCATTACTGTATTACCTCAAAGGAAATTTGTCAATTTATATTTTTCGTAACAGTGACAAACTATGCCAAAAATTAAAAGGATTCTTACTCTCCTCTAGGGCAAAACAACATACAAAGTCTGAGCTTCTTGCAGTTATTTTTTTCTGAAGTTTGGATCCCATATGAATATTCTATGTTTTTAAGTAATTATTATGACCTTCATCCCAAGAAACACAGCAAATATAAAATACGGTTCTTCCTCTTCCCTAGGGCAACCCACATACTAAGCATGAGCTATATATATGTGATAATTCATTCTGAAGTTCCTTTTTTAGTAACAGTGACCTTGACCTTTCAAAAGACTGATATAATTGATAGGATATCGATTCTCCCTTTCCCTAAGGTATAACTGTCATACAAAGTCTGAGCTTTTAGGGATATTTTTTTATAAGTTATATAATTAGGACCTAACAAAAAAATTGAACTATAAGAACATTGAATTTGACCTTATCATGTGAAATGGTGTTCTATTTCTAGTAACAGTGACCTTGAATAACAGAATAATTCTATTTTTATTAAATGACCTTCACCTTTGATGGAAAATATATAGATTTCTCCCTTTTCCCTTTAGTAACTCGATCAATGTATAAAGTTTGAGATTTGTGTGAACATTTACTCTAGAATTTGACCAAATTCCTGTTTTCAATAAGTGACCTTGATGTTAGATGGAAGATTGTTATGATTCCTCCTCTTCCATTGTATAGTCTAAATATAGATGTGAGCTCTTTGCAATAATTGTTCCAAAGTTCAAATCTGGATGGGAACATTTTTACTTTTAGTGGCGACTTGTGACAAACCAGGTCCCAAAAAGTTATGGTTTTTCCTCTTTTCAAGGGCAACTAACATATACCACCTTTGAGATTTGTCAATCATTTGCTCTGATCTTAATAGCATCCACGCATGAAAGTATATGGTTACACAGACTGATATCTCACATGATTGCAATCAATATTGTGTTGGTGTCCAAGAGATTCTATTTTTAGTAACAGTGACCTTAACCTTTGACAAACAACCCATAAAAACAAAGGGGCGCTTCATCTGGTCTTTTGAAGCCCATAATCATGCAATCTTTTCACCTTAAGTTTGAAATTATCCCATAAAATTATATTTTTGGCATAAGTGACCTTGACCTTTGACAAACAACCCCCAAAAAACCAAAGGGGTGCTTCATCTTGTCTTTTGCAGCCCACAATCATGCAATCATTTCACCTGAAGTTTGAAATTATCCCATAAAATTATGCTTTTAGCATAAGTGACCATGACCTTTGAAAGAAAATTGTTCTTCCTCTTCCCTTGGGCAACCTATGCACCAAGTGCCAGCTCTGTCCCATCATTTGTTCTGAAGTGAGGGTCGGGATAGGGACACTTTAATTTGAATTATATTGACCTTTGATGAAACAGGATCAAACTCAACAGAATGCTTCAACTTTCCAAGAGCAACTAACAACATGTGCATCTTAAAATTGTTCTTCCTCTTCCCTTTGGCAACCTAGCCTACGCACGAAATGAGAACTTGGATCTGTCCATCGTTCCTTCTGAAGTAACTTCTTGAGCAACAAGACAAGAAGTTTAAATTATCGCAATATCTTTCCCCTCCCCAAGTCCTCACGAAGAATAGGCTTTATGGAATAATAGTTCTTTACAAAGGATAAGAATACAATTCATTTGTTACTAACAGTAGCCTGAAAGGGTTCTTCCTTTTCTCTTCGGCACTCAACATATAAAGTTTGAGCTTTGTGCAATTATTCCGTCTGAAATATGCATATAGGTCAAATGTCATTCCTTCTGGTAAATTTTCCTTTTAGTAAGAGTAACCTTGACCTTTGACTCATTTTTTCCCCTAGGCAACACTCATTCATCCTTGATAGAAATCCTGTTTGAGGTAAGAATTAGACTGAAATTGTTTTCTCCTGTGGTATGCGTGCCACATGAGGCAGCATGTAGAGTCCGTGCTTGTGTCGCACGTGTGGGTGTGTAAGGTGTAAGGTGGTCATTCAGAGCGACCACGTCGAAACGTTCGCACAGATTTTCTAAATTTTTGAGGATATTTCCTCTTTGTATCACTTTAACGAAACTGATACCCGAGTATGATAAGTAACGCTATTGATGTTGATGTTGATGTACATTGAATTTGATAGGATTTGAATCGAGTATGTATATTGAGGATGCAATGTGTTTTTGTAATAAACTCAGTAAGCGGCGTGGTCTTGCCGTTGCAATTTATGAAATTGTTGAGTTATTGTTTTGTGACAATCAGGCACAAATGGTGCAACAGGAGAATTGGGCATCTTGACCCATGTAATGGTTTTAAAAGAGTTGGAAAAAGTCTGCAATGATCCAGAATGCAAGTACCAAATCAGTGACCTTGAACTTTGAATCCAAAATGAATAGAAGGTTCTTTGCCATCCACTGGTGACAGACTCTGGTATGTCTCGGCCAGGGGACAGAACCCAAAGCCTTCCACACAGGGGCAAATGCTCAACTAAAGGCCAAAAGTGAGGCATTGTCAAAAGAGACATAATCAGGAAGCATGTGTAAACCTTGTATATTGCTTTGTAAGTCAAGTCTGAATAACTATTCTTGGAATTTTTGAATTCAGGTTAAGTACATTACTTGCATAATAACAGAAAAAAAGGTATCCTTTAAAGTGCAAGTCATTTAAATTATGGTAAAAAATGAACGAGTTAGTGACTTCTGAATCATAAAGTGAATAGCTTGTTCAATTCCTTAATTGTTATTCCAAGTTATGGTCTAGAATGTGCATTTTCAAGAGTCACAATGAACTTGATTTTTTAACTCCAAACATTGCCCAAAAGTAATAGGATAGACAGAATATTGCACCAAAAATAGACGGAAATCCAGCTTGAAAATTCATCCACCATGATGACCTTTGCCTGTGAACCCCCGTAATTACCAACTATTGCATGAGCAATGTATCCGATGTTTTTGACCATGTGAAAAGTTCGTTTTGGCCCAGATATCAAAGTGTCTATTTGATTATGTGGCCGTGACCTTTAATCTTGGTCATGCATGTACATCATGTGATATATATACACTTTAAATGACATTTGTATAAATATGTTAAGCTCCATTATAATCCTAAGGTATAGATCATATTTATCTACTTGGCCCGCAATAAACTGATTTTAAGATCCAGGTATGCGAAACATTATGTATAACAATAGATTTATACAGGATAAGCCAGTTCTTGGTATTGATGTATATGATTCAAGTCTGAATTTCAATTTCTGACAAGTTACATTTCGTAAAGTCATGTTGGTTTGCTGTGTAATACAGTTGGAGGCACTGTAAATTGTAAATCTTTAAAGGGACAATTTAGTGAAGTAAGTTTTTTTGATTACCTGAAAATCAAGTTGAAACTGAAAATATAATCTCCTAACAAAAGTTTACGTAGTTGATAATAAGCCGACCTGAAGCCAACGTCCAGTTTGGTCAGTTTCATCATTTGGGAAAGCCAGTGATAAAAATAGCCACGACTGAAATAGCGCAATAACCAGGCCTTTCAGTGAGAGATGGACATGTACACACAGTGTCAGTTATGTGTTTGAGTTCACACATAACACATTTTTGAATTTATACATCATAATTAAGAATTATAAATATCACAATATATACCTCTTATCAGTCATTTCTGTTCACATTTGGATTTGAATAAGAACGAACAGGTTCAATTAGTAGAGCATGCACACACTGAGAGGCCCACAGGGAGAATTTTCAAACTGCAGAAAGTATTATATCACTAGATCATTCGCTCATTTATAACAATGTCTGCAGAGCTTAAGATGAGGTCGGAAGATGATTTTGATTCAGAATAAATGCATGCACTTGTTGTATTCCAGAGGCTAGGTGAATAAAGCGAGAAGTTACCTTCTCTCCTCGGCTGGAATTCACCGACAGCTGCCGCTAAAACGTACAGCTGTACAGTTAAGGATTTCTCCATTACAGATTAAAAATGCCAAGAAAACATTGTCTCTGGTCAATCTCTCGATAAGAATTGTTCATAGGGAGTATCAAACTATATAATCATGAAAAGTTTTGTGACAAGGTTATAAAAAAAAAATACTTAACTTGTCCCTTTAACCAAGGTGATAAACTAAAACATGTTTGATTATCTCCCCCTACTTTTGTATGGTTTACCTCATTTTTATTTCACAACTCATACTGGTTCCAATTTACATCACAAACATGCTTTCTTTGGGTTGTATGTTGATATAGTTATATTGGTGGTTCTTAACTTGTAAAAATAAAACATCCCTCTGATGGTTCTTGACTTCCACTGAAGGTAGCTACAGTGTTATGCAACACAGTGTTAGTTACTATTGTTCTCAAAAATGTTCCCTTATATTTATAAACTTGCTCTTTATAGTGTATAACTTGTACCAGCTAGACAACTTGTGGTTCTTAACTTGCACTGTAAGAGTTCTCGAGTACTTGCTCACATTAAAATGGAATTAAATTCACTACCTACTTTGGCCAATGCCAAATCGTTTAACGAGATTTATCTTGAAATATATCTGATGCATCCAATCATTTTTTCATCAAGGTCATCAATTGAAGGCCAAGAGTTTCTTGAACTGGCATATTCATTTACAATTATCCAAAGAAAATCAAAAATCTGTACCAAAACAAAAAGTAGCAGAGGAAGCATAATTAGTGAATTGTTTACTTGTTAATAAATGGTGTTCATATTTCACCACTGTGACCTTCAAATTGGGTCGAGGTCAATTTGTTTGTATAATCTTAACAGCAAACAATCTAACACTACTGGCTATAAACATCATTATGCAAGATTTTGACTTACTTTTTTATACTAACTTCAAACAGGGTCAAGGTCATTTATTTGAACAAACTTGATTTCCTGTTATCTGATCAGCAGATACAGGCCAATTGGATCCTTAGAATGTTTTTTAACATATGACCTAGAAAGTGTCAGCATAGATTATTCAGACTTGACACCTTTCAAACCAGCAAACTACAAGACCTTTTTTAACACATCTGACTGGAGCCTTTGAAAATGCATCAGTAAGGTCATTTATTTGAGCCAACTAGATGGCCCTTCATCTATTTTATGCAAGCTACAGGACACATATATCATTGCTATAGGCCTGATGTAAATTGTAACACATTTAACCAAGGTATTGGGTCAAGGTCATTTTTTTAACAAACTTGATAGCCCACCATCCTTGCAAGCTACAGGCAAATTATTAGACTAGGCCTTTTGGATGAATTGAACTTGAAATTAGGTTAAGGTCTTTGAGAACAAATATTGATCATTCCAGACCGTATGGATCTTCATTTCAAGTTTTTTTTAAACATATTTGACATATGATCAGTAATTTTGAAAGCAGGTCAAGGAAATTAATTTAAACGAACTTGGCAATACCCCAACAAGGTACAGACCAAGTATCGATACCCACACCTTCTGGATCACAAGTCATTTCAAGGAAAACAGTCGACACTGGAGGCAGAACCAATACATTAACCCGGACATTACAGATTGCACAACACTTTGAAATCATATTTATGGGACCAGAAGAATCAGGTGTTGAACACAACTTTAGTGTATCATATATGACACAGGGAAGTTTAATCTATAATTAATTTTATTTTCTATTTTCCAAAGTATCATCTTTTGAACGAGTATCTTTGATATTTTAACCTACTGTACATGTTGTGATCTTTACCTTTATACTGTACCATTTCAATTATCCATTATTTTTGATCACATTGATGTGATAAACACATTGTTATTATCACTTGGTTATTATTTTCTTTAAGTAAACTTATCCACAGGTTTTCAATTCATCTAGTGTACAGAAGTATGCAAGCACATAGCTGCCTATATATATGCTGGTATACAGGTGAATCCACCAAATTTCCAATCAGACAAACAAAACAAAAAAACATTGCCTATTGTCCCCCTTGTTTCCCTACCAAAGCCCTACCCTAGCCTGGAACCACTCCTACATGAATGCATTCTGAACATGTACAAGGCCTAGCTACGTATACGCCCCTGGTATGGAACTACCATGCTTTGTAACCCCAAATACCTCCCATCAGATGAAAATGAATGTTCTTTGCTAAAGAATTTCTTCATTAGTGATGTTGCTGCAATGAAGACAGACAGATTTTATCTAAATTTACCAATAGAAGTCTGTTGAAGCCACTACAAGTAAGGAAAGTGAAAATAGTGACATCTTGGTCTTCTGGGTTGATAATTTATTTTTTTGCGTAGTTTGTGTAAATATCTAGCTAAAATTTGTACAATTTGATGGGGGGGTTTCATTCGCAGCAACAACACTGAAATGTTAAAATCAATAAAAGAACAAACTAAAGTGTGTTGACAAATTCATAACATTTATTTGTGAATATGCATTTTGACAAATGCTTCATTTGGTTTGACATATTTTTAAAGGAAGCGAATATGATCTGAAAAATAATGTGTTATAATTATAACTTTATCAATTTTAACGTCATATAGAAATATTCACAAATGATAATGTATTTAGCATCTACACTATCTACAAACCAATGATATAAGCTGCAAAAATAAATGATGGGGTATCATATAAATGACCAAAAATATATACTCTATTGAGATTTATCTGTAGTAATTAGATTATAGTTTATACAAAAAAAAATCCACACATCATCAGCAAGATAACATTGTATATATATATAGTATGCTGTATCGTGGTACAACATGATACATGTAACCTTCGTATTCAATTGCACAGTTTATTTATCTCATTCGTGCATTACCAAGTTGAACTTTGTCACATTTTAGATAACACGTACAGAAATTTAAATGATAAAATTCAGTCCTTACCCGTAGTTGCAGCTGTATTGAAAATTAAATACATCAATTACATATTAAAAGAAGATTGCTAAAACTTAGAACAACGAAGAATAATAAGGTACAGATTGTCTTTCCCCATTGTCAACCTGTTGGGAAACGTCACATGGATATTAAATCAGTAGATAAATTATAGGAATATAATACACAATATCAGATTTATTTCTAACCCTATTAAAATTATCACGATCCATAATAACATTAAGTCATTAATTATATGAGAAATAACATAGACCACAACATAAGCAAACTGTCAATAACAAGTTTCAACAGCACTCTTTGTGTTGAAACACGATCCTACTCCTATCACGCATCAGTGCATGTGGTAATATTGATATTCTATTTATATCATATGACTCAGAAGCACGTAAAACATTTTTTGAACCATATGCATGTCATCACCACAGTATGTAACACAGATCACGTATATATCTGTCATTCCGCAACGCCAACAGCCCCTTTGGGTGTACAGTGTACTAACGGTACCCGGTGCAGGTCAAGGTCTGGGCAGCACGGGGCGGGTTGTCTTCGTTATTCACAGAGAAGTCGGGTGTTACGTCATGGCTTGTCTATTGTATACTACATGTCTGCCGCGCGGAGTCGATATACTTATTCATTTCTTATCCTAATGTCTGGCTCATTGTCATCCCAGCAGTGAATGTTATCAAGAAACCATTATCACGATACGGACGCAAATAAAACCAGATATCTGCAGACTTTTCTTACAAAACCAAAGATGTCGATACGAGTCTCGGATTTACGCTCAACATTCTGTTGGCAAACTCCGAAACTCGTGACATTTTCTGCAACAATTACAAAGATAATTTATATATCGACCACAGTAGCTAATACTTACAAGTATATCAAACTACAACGTTAATCTTCCGTCTTCTTGCATGTGTTTTACGACGAAATGTACACCATGGGATTTCATTATGGCGGTAAACCATGTAAATAGTTGATGCAACTATATATATACTGACCAATCATATTGCGTTTTCGAGGTCAAGGGGCAAACTTACCCTGGGGGACAAGAGAGGGGTTCGCTAAAAGCTCACAAATAACAAATCTTTACTTTGATGTCATTATTTGTTTTCTTCAATGCTTACATATAATCAGAGTTAAAGGTCTATGGAAAGTATTTTATTTCTAGTCATGATAAACAGTATCATATATAATATTTTAACTAATTAAATGAACACTCTTGATCAATGTGTTAGTGTATATATATATATATGTAGCCAATATATCCATTGAGATGTTTTATAATTTTTAGATTTATTATCATAGGTCGAAAAATTACCGTAAAACTGTCATTGAAAAAGATGAAATCATTCGATTAATACAACTACATATACAGAGCTAATGTTTCCATTACAACATATACGACTCTAAATAAAAAATATTGTATCTTGTATTGCTTTATCTACAAAGATCTGGATTATGTACATAAATGAAATGTAATTAATAGATTTAGATTTGATAAAAAAAAATCCCCTTTAAATTTTAAAACAGGTATGCCCATAATACAAGTGACCCAGATAGTGTGCAATCATGGCAAAACTTGCTCATTGAAATCAAGACATTACAAATCAGTCTCCATGCAATATTGGGTTGGGCCAGACCGTTGAACTAACATTGGTAGCATGGTACATTGTATAGTGTTCATCTCTTCATTCTATATTAAGCAAACATACATGGTGATAGGGTGGTGACTGTTTTCATAAATATGATCTAGAGACTTGGTCCCCTGGGGCAGGGGCCAACTTGCATGCTCTGCAATATATGTACCAGGTATTCATGATTATGGAGAGGAAATCTTAATCTTATTGCCCCGTTATGACCCAGGGATTAAGTTCCCAGGGGTGGGGGCCAGACCTTTGGGTACAATTAGTGGTACCATACCTGCATCCAAAACTGTATGTTCAGCAATGGTATATATATATATATAATAATAGGATGAGAATCTCAACTGTTTCGATATTATGACCCCGGGGATCAAGTTCTTAAGGGCTGTGGCAGCCCTCAGAGCCAATCCTGGAAGACTTAGTGTGTACGTGTTTGTGTTTCCTGATATTTGTGCATGTCTCCTAGGTTGGTGATTTCAACCATTTTCATAACCCCTTTTTGGCCCCACCCTCAACCCCCTCTATATTGTTGATATTCATCCTGAGGAGATTGTCAAATCAAGTTAATTTTGGTGAAATTCCAGTCAGTGCATGATTAAGAAAAAAGTGGTTTGAAGAAATTGTCGACCAACAGATGGATGCATGACATCACTTTGGTACAGTATACACTTACTTAATTGTTCTTTTGCACCTAAGCATCCATAAGCAGGGATGACTGGTACGTATTTCTACCAGGTAAAGAAAAATTAGTAATCGTACCGGTTTAAAGAAAAGTCTTCATTTTTCCCAAACATATTTGATAAAGTAAGGTCACCATTAATACACTGGAGAAACTGTCAAAAGGTGAAGCTGATAAAAAGGAGCCTATGAATTATATCTGATCCCAAAACACCGACAAATGCAGTTATGCTATCCGAACTGGCCTCTGCATAGTAAGAAAGGTAAATATCAGCTGCTTTAATGGGACTCGTATGCATATGTAGTTTTAAAAACATCATTTTTATCAGCATATAGGGAATGGTGGTATACAATACGGAAAGGAAAAATAAAGTTTCAATCAAATTATTTTTGATAGAGATTGAAGGCTTTCTAATATTTTCCAGAAAATTTGTCAGGTAATTTTTTCCTGATTGTAAAAAAATCAGTCTTGTATCCTTATCATTCAGGAGTATTATCAATCTATACTGAAGTCCTTTGTGAAATGTACACATAGTAAAATAGAAACCTTATCTCCACAACTTAACCCTTTCACCGCTGTAGACCATAATGGACTCATCCAGATCAATGCATAGTAAAGTTTACTTAAGTTACATAGGGGTGAAAGGTTTAAACAGTGCAGAGGTTACAACTGCCTCAAACTAACAGAGGGGTGGGTGGGGGAGGGGGTGTTACTATTCACATATTAGTATATATTATGTGTATAGTATATCTCCCCTCTTTCTTTTCGAGGCCAATACCTATATGATCTGTAAAACACAAGACAAATTAAAACAGCATATTTTGTATTCGTTTATTGCACCTTGTAAAAATAAATGTGACAAACAATTTTTCAAAACTACAGCACTCATCAATAATGTTAAAGCAATGTATGTATTTACTATTTATCATTTCAGACAATTTACATTACAATACAGATTCATAGAAAAATCACTAACATGATAACACAGTAATGCATAAATTTGAACATTTGGCCAACCATTTGAATTATACATTAGTACAATGCATTAGGATTACCTGGTACAAAATATGCATGAAATACTAAAATTTAAAAAAAAAAAAATCCTGCAATACTTTCATCACGACTTTGACCAATTCAGACCTTACTTACCCCTTTAGAAAATTTACTTTGGTCATAAAAACATAATGGTTTGGGGATATATTAGGGAGATGGCCATCATGTGGTCGTTCAGAAATCAGCATTCTGCCAGCTATCCTGCATACAATCATATTTTCATTATACAAACATACCACTATCACATTTACAATCTTTCATGACTTTTATATTTTTTTCTCCAAAATTAACAAACTTCTGAGCTCAATAAATAAGTATATGTTCAGTAGAACAAGACTTTCACTCGTCAGTAAGTCAGTCCCTTAAAAGAGGTGTGAGGAATGCAACAACATGACATGTCCCGATTACCAAATCAATATTAGAGATCTTCTACTGACAGTAAATTAGTTCCCGACAGATTTGGGAATCACACACTTCTTCAGTGACTTACAGGAATTCTGTAGATTCTCAATCACTTCTCCCCCACAGCCACATCTAAACATTATACTGCTGTGACACGAATGGAATGTATTTAGCAGGTGTGATCCTTATGTGTTATTTTTCTTTTGGTATCAAATCAGTCTACATATAGTAGTATCGCAGTGGTTACACTAGTTACTACAGGGCTAATACATCCAAAAGCATCTCGGGTCTGACTCCTAGCACACTTCAAAAAGTTCAATTTAGTACAGTACTGACAAATCATATATCACTGATGTACCGTATATAGCATCATTAAAAGAAAAACATCCTTGAATATTGAAGAATGTTTCATCATTAAAGAAAACCAATTTATCTGACGTTGGTCTTCCCTGTCGATTGTCTTTTCTTTACTTGCAACAGTCTAGAAGTAAAGCTCATTTCAAAGCCTGTTTCTTGTATAGAATCTAGCACTAAATGTGACACCTTCTTAACGGTCATTATTAGAAACCCTAATATAGTGATATGAATTGTTCAGATAATCAGTGTCTTATCTCTATACTAGGTAGATAGATCAGTGTATAACTGGAGAAAGCCAGAAAGAACCATATAGGGTCACATGATTTGAGCTGTCTCAGTCTGTTGTTTATCTAACAGTCTAGTAGTGGATACCAGACAATCTATACTTAAAAGTCCTCTTCAATGTCCTGATAAAGATGTCATCATATGTCTATGCCTGGTAGTGATGCTTGTTCCCTCTTTACGCCCGAGAATCCAGTGGGAGTCTCTTCACCAAGTCTCCCAGAGCTTTATCCGCCGTAGCCTCAGCCTTCCTCTTCACCAGATCGTAACACCGCACCTGCAAATAACCAAGAATGAGTTCTGAAACATGGGAATTAAACAACAGGCACGTACTATAGAGGATTTTCATTTCAAGGGGCTAAACATTAACAATTTTGTTCCTGCAACAGATTTCAAATTTCAGGAAACATTAAAACTAATTAGTTCTAACTAAATTTCTATCAAGAGGTGGGTGGTTTGTATATCACAATAAGTTCAGGTCACAAATGAACAGACACCATATACAGTATTTTTCTATTGGAGGAATGCATGTTTTAACAAATGTGATCCTAAGCACAAAATGCCATTGCTGGCAAACTTAATAACACCAAGAGCTGCTATCGATTGATGAATTAATTTTGATCATTTTAATCAAAACTTTCATTTCAAGACCAGCTTTACAGTTTAAAATTGAAAGTCTTACCATTTGTTTGGTATCATTCTGGCCATGTTTCTGAGCCAGGTTCCACAAGTTGGTTGCCAAGGTAAACGACTGTTGTTGGGACATGTCGCCATGACAAATTAAAGTGTTGAACAGTTCTAATGCTAGAAAACTTTGCCTTTTGAATGTCTGAAAAGAAGAGAATTAAGTTTCAAAAACAGTTATGTAACAAGTTTTACCTAGTTTACCAATTGTCTAGTAGAACAAAATCTATGTGATCAACATCCTAATGACTAGTATACAATACAGTGATCTAGGACAAGACAAATGTCAACAAAGTGTCATCAAAATATCTTCTGCCATTCAGAATGTCTACCGTGTCAAATTGGATGACAAAAACATTTACTTGATCTTGTTGATCTATGACTGTTACATTGACATTTGGATGACAGTGACTTGTAGCCATGACAACGACCTTGGCATGAAAATAACCTTGAATATTGTCACTGACATTATGATGGCAATGACCTAAAAATGTGACATGGACAATGGAATCAATGACCTGTAATCATGACAGTGACCTTGACTTATAGCTGTAATTGACCTCAGGATGACAATGACCTATAACTGTATCCTTGACCTTGACATGTCAATGACCTTTAACCATGACATTGACTTCGTGATGATGATGACCTGTTTACTATGACATTGAATTTAGCATCACAATAATCTACAACTATGGCTAACCTTGGCATGAAACCGACATATAACTTTGTCACAGACCTTTGAGTGACAATGGTTACATGTGCATTAACTATATACAAAACAAAAATCTTCCACTGATCTCCAGCTTAACCGATTTATTGGATCAATTTTCTACATCATTTAAACAAGGTAAAAAGTGTTCCAAGATGAAACTATGAAGGGAAATCAAAGACATCCTGATGTTAACACCAAGACTTACCTCTGGTGTTGCTAGTGTTTTCAAGTGGTTGAGTATTTCCTCCAGTAATGTAGAACAAATTGCATTGACCTCTGACAGAAACTTCGGGTCAGATCCATACATGGCGTCATTTGCATCAACTGTATACACACATAAAGATATAAGATCATTAAAGCATAGTTGTCAAAAAGTCAATTTCAGGCATAAAACTCATGGCTTATAAATGGAATCACATTGTATTTGCATCAAATATTTCTTCTCAACAGCAATGGTTTGATGATGAAAAACACAATGACATTGTGTTTGTAAGAGATATATTGTAGTCTACCATCAATAAGTTAAATTTCGACAGCAAAACATTTGAAAATACCCACTCTATCACAAACACTTTCTCTTTCCAAGTGAAAGGTCAGTCTAGGAAGATTATGGTGGTGGAGGACTGCAAAATCCAATACTGGGAACCTGACATATACCGGTTTTTATTATAGACCTCCCGCGTTAATGCTGTGAAACATACCTACATGAGACCGATTTGTATCTAGATGGTACAGGAATATCTCTGGACTTCGTGCCAGGACCCCAGAAGAGACTGATCTGTATAGAAGTGATACAGGAATATCTCTGGACTTCGTGCCAGAACCCCAGAAGAGACTGATCTGTATAGAAGTGATATAGTAATATCTCTGGACTTCGTGCCAGGACCCCAGAAGAGACTGATCTGTATAGAAGTGACACAGGAATATCTCCGGACTTCGTGCCAGGACCCCAGAAGAGACTGATCTGTATAGAAGTGATACAGGAATATCTCCGGAATTAATTCTGGTGGCCCTGACAGAAACTGACCTTTATCAACGTGATAGAGGTAGACCTCCTGACTAGTGGCGGACAGCAGTGCCAGTACACGTGTGTAGATCTGTACTTTGGTATCCGTGCTCTGTTCCCATGTGTAGTTCTGGAGGATGTTGAGGAGACCACGCAACAAGTACAGCACGCCTGAGTCAGGATTGTCCTGCAAACATACACACAAATCTCTATACTCAAAAATTTCCTCCATTTTGAATTTACTGGTACCATTTTTAGAGCGAAAGAAATCTTTTCCTGGTTACAAAAAAAAGGTTTGAGGTGAAAAAGAGGTGACTTTCCTAAGTTGAAAACATTAATAATTTCTGGATTTCAACTTATGCATCATTACCAACATATACTTAGCAAAATTGGATCCAAACTCTATTGATATAAAAAAAGTTAAGACTTAACTAGATGTCTAGTTTAAGGAGGATTATGGGTAAAATCTATTTTCAACAGGATTTACAGTAATAAAGGATTCATTCTACATAGTTGAAACAACTTACCGGAACCGCTAACAGTGTAGACAGGAAGTTGTAAATGAACTCTACAAGGAAGGGCTCCGATGACCTTGTCTTTCCATCAAGGTAAAGGTTTTTTGGTACATCAGGTATTAATGAAATGGCAGCCTTTAAGCATGAATCCGCTGTAACATGTAACAATCTGCTGTAACACATGTATGCAACAATATGCTGTAACACATGTGTATGCAACAAAAACCTATCATAGTATTTCAAAACATGTATGCATATGCATTAATGACATATAAACAACTTTTAAAGAGTTATGCACATTTTTATCCTGTACTAATTCAACCAAAGAACTGATTCACTCTTTTAATTCCACTTTATGAAGCAAAGTCACTTTAAGTGTGTAGTGCTGTCAACAGCTTTTCAAATACTGCAGAGCGGACCTAAAAAATCATTAAAAATCCCCTGCATTCCATCTATTGTGCAAGTTTGAACTTTTTGTGGCAATCATAGTGCCCAATCCCATATTTGATTATGATGATTTACTATGATCTACTTGATACAGATGATCAAGTAGTTCTGTCAATAGACTTTCAAATTCTGCAGAGTGGATGATGAAATCTTTAAAATCACTTGAGTTTTGAATAGGATATTGTTTGAGTCCCTGAACCAACCTTGACTATAACACTGGTTAAGCAGGGCCACCTGGCCAGACAGGAGATACAGGTGGAGCTGAGCCATGTTGGACTGTAGCGACGGAATCGTGATGAAGCAGTATGCAGCACAGGCCTGTACAAACAATAGGCTTTGATAATGGTCATGGCTATCGGGGAATATCAAATCATTGTTGGTCAGTGTTCACATCAAATTCTTAAATTTGATTTAAAAATATTATTTTTTCATATTTTCGTCACATAGTTGTTTTGAAATTGGTAATACAGTAAAACATACATTTATATGAATATGCTTAATGAAACTAAGCCATATAAATTATACTAATATCGAGAACAAATCTGTACCAAATATAATATTCTTACTTTGTATTAAGCCTTAACAAAGCCATCCTCAATACTCAAGGGGTTATGCTCACTTTCCCTCTCTGCATCCCTGGAATATTTCATGGCAAAATCAAATGTACAGTGTCCACCACCTTGTGGTTGAGACGAAAAAAACTAGTCTGATCCTTTGATGTACATTAAAAGAATCTGTCAGTCGCGTAGCGGTAAAATTGACTGGCTTTGAAGTTGGGTGTAGCTAGCTGCCTGTCTTCAATTTTTTATGACATATTCCAGGGGTGCGGGGAGCGAAAGTGACGGTATAACCCCTGGAGAATCGAGGATGTAAAGCTATTTCTGAGTTTACTGACAAAGATTTGTGTACACAGTATGCAGTATGCTAGGGAATGATAATACAATGTAGTTACTGAAGATTTATAAGGGTGTTTCAATTCAGACTTGAGTAAAAGTAAGAAGTTCAGTTCAGTTTCAGCTTCAAAAAAGAACATTAATTGCAGGAATCAAAATTGTGAAACTTACTCTTTAAGACTAGTTAATGTCTACCATGACTGTTAACACACACTGTAATACCAGGAGAGTGAGCTTTCTTACCCGTACAAAGTTCCCAGTCTACCATGACTGTTAACACACACTGTAATAACAGGAGAGTGAGCTATCTTACCCTTACATATTTCCCGGTCTACCATGACTGTTAACACCCACTGTAATACCAGGAGAGTGAGCTATCTTACCCGTACAAAGCTCCCGGTCTACCATGACTGTTAACACACACTGTAATACCAGGAGATTGAGCTATCTTACCCGTACAAAGTTCCCGGTCTACTATGACTGTTAACACACACTATAATACCAGGAGAGTGAGCTATCTTACCCGTACAAGTTCCCAGGCGACCATGGCAGTTAACACACACTGTAATACCACCCAGTCTACCATGACTGTTAACACACACTGTAATACCAGGAGAGTGAGTTATCTTACCCGTACAAAGTTCCCGGTCTACCATGGCTGTTAACAGACACTGTAATACCAGGAGAGTGAGCTATCTTACCCGTACAAGTTCCCAGGCGACCATGGCAGTTAACACACACTGTTATACCAGGAGAGTGAGCTATCTTACCCGTACAAGTTCCCAGGCGACCATGGCAGTTAACGCACACTGTTATACCAGGAGAGTGAGCTATCTTACCCGTACAAAGTTCCCAGTTTACCATGACTGTTAACACACACTATAATACCAGGAGAGTGAGCTATCTTACCCGTACAAGTTCCCAGGCGACCATGGCAGTTAACACACACTGTTATACCAGGAGAGTGAGCTATCTTACCCGTACAAGTTCCCAGGCGACCATGGCAGTTAACACACACTGTAATACCAGGAGAGTGAGCTATCTTACCCCTACAAAGTTCCCGGTCTACCATGGCTGTTAACAGACACTGTAATACCAGGAGAGTGAGCTATCTTACCCGTACAAAGTTCCTAGTCTACCATGACTGTTAACACACACTATAATACCAGGAGAGTGAGCTATCTTACCCGTACAAAGTTCCCGGTCTTCCTTGAATGATTACCATTAACAACTCTTCTCGTTTCTATGGCCAAATTGTTTACATTCTGAAATCACATGTCAAAACAATTATTGTAAACAAACACAAGAAACCCAATAACATTTATATAAGTAAACTATTAAACCTACATTCAAATTGAAACTATATAAATTTTAACTAGAATTTCGTTTTTGTGAACAAAAACATATGTCTCCCCTTATTAGCCAATAGACAAACTTCGGTATCAAAAAAAAAACAAAGGGCCATATCTCTTTAAAAAGCGGGGTACGAGATCCGAATTTAGAATGCGACACTCCTATATATAGCTACTTCCCAAGATACATTAAAAGTTTGGTTAATGTAGGTGAAATAACATGGAAGTTATGCCGTGGACAAACTTCGGTATCAAAAGATAAACAAAGGGCCATAACTCTGTATTTAGTGAAGCACAAAACCTGATTTTAGTGCCAGAGATTTCACCTTCCCCAAGATACATAAATATGGCAAGTTTGGTCAACGTAGGTGAAATAACATGGAACTTATGCCGTGGACAAACTTCGGTATTAAAATTAAACAAAGTGCCATAACTCTGTATATAGTTGGGCACGAGACCTAGTTCTAGTGCATTTCACACCTTCTGTGGGTGATGCAAGTATGCTTCAAGTTTGATCAAGATATCTTTAACGGTTTAAAATTTACAGGCCAGACAAGAATTTACTAAAAATGTTGCACTTATTTGACCTTTGACCTTGAGGTGAAGGTCACAGTGACCTAATTCCAGTGCACCGCACACATTCCGTGGGTGATGCATGCACACCTTAAGTTTCATCAAGATATCTTTAACGGTTTAAAAGTTATGGCCCCGCCAGTTGAGATTAGAAGAACCAGAAGAAGAAGAACCAGTATTAATACAATATGTCTGCCCTTTGAATTCACAATTAACATAAAAATTCTCTAATATTAGTGAATCTTTTTTTATCATGTTGAAATGACTTGGAGAAATATCAATGATTTATTGTATGTTCTTATTTAATTTATTTCAGATTTTTTTATCTTAGGTATTCTATTACAATTCCTTTTCTTTCTCCCTAAATAGCATGTCAAGAGCATCAGGTGAAGATGGCCGTCAGTATTTACCTGTACAAGTTGAATGAGGACAAGATCCAGATTTGTGAAAGCAGATCTCGCCTCGACGTAAAAACTAAGCTGTTGCTCAAAGTCCTTCCCAAAGGAAATCTTCAGCACAAAATTGGAAATTAGGTGGCTCACCATCTTCTTCTCATCAGCCAGGGTGAGTGCACTGTGGGTAAAATTGAACCAATATGATACAAATCTATATATTTTGACTGAATCATGCATGGTTTCACAGGAAAGAAATTTAATTGACATGATAATTGACAGTCAATACACACTTCAACAGATGGAAGTTTTAGCTTTTATGATGCTTACTTTACAGAATCATGCATGGTTTCACAGATATAAGTTATAATATACTTGATAACTGGCAGATTGATTCATGGTTCAACAGATGAAAGTTATAGGGTATATGTTACTTACTTGACAGAATCATGCATGGTTTTACAGATGAAAGTTAAAGCATTTATAATCACAGGGTCATTTGTTGGCTCGGACTGGTGTCTGAAAATGGACAAAAAATACTATGATTATTCAGTAAAACATGAATGAGAAATAATTAAGACAGTCAACCGGGGTGAAACATCAAAACTTTATCAATATCAAAATGCATACCCTGGTCCTGGCCATCTTCATTTCACTAGTAATTTATAGCATAGTTACATGAGTGTGAAGTTGTATTGAGGGTCTATCCTTTATGGAATCCAAAACACAGTCCCTCAATACAGACGGTCTCTTAACTAGGCTACATTCGCGTATCCCGGTTGAAACGGTACATGTGGCGCAGAAATTTTCCACGATAAACGAACACACTTGGACCGTTCTATAAGCAGAGCTAAAAATCCACAGTTTCGGAGAATAAAAAACAATGTATCAAGAATATTATGCCATTTTCCCACGCGTCCACTAAATTACATAACGGATCTTAAAAATTACATGCGACTTGACATTGTTTAAGAAAGAAATAACGCAAATTGGCAATAGTCAGCATTTTAGTTTCGGTCAGGTACGTCTGGACCCCTCAATCTACACGTACCAAATTTTCGTGAGGTCAGCCTCGGTCCAAATCTGTACCTGTCGTTTTCTTTACAGGTTGAACTGGTTCAACCGTTTCAACCGGATACGCGAATGTACCCTAAGAGGTTCAATTCACAATGAAATCACTACAAAGGGGAGATTATCACTGGTCTCTTAACACAGGTGTTTTCTTAATGCAGGTGGACACTTGAGCAGATTTGAACATACACACAAAACACTTTTTGTAGTATTTAATGCATAAAAATTGAAATATACAGCAACGTGTCCTCTCCACCAGACCAGTTAAAACCCACGTATTATGGTACATGTATACCCTTCCCTCAGTTCAAGATAAACCCACGCATAGGATACAAGCTAGGTATGCCCTTTCCCTCAGAACAAGATAAATCAACAAGTTATTTAATTTCTCTCACATCCAGGTAGCTTCACAACATCCTTTCTCTCAGATCATGTTAGGACTACAAACTCAGAACAAGGTAAATCAACAAGTAATTTAACTCGGAACAAGATAAATCAACAAGTAATTAAACTCAGAACAAGGTAAATCAACAAGTAATTTAACTCATAACAAGGTAAATCAACAAGTAATTTAACTCAGAACAAGGTAAATCAACAACAAGTAATTCAACTCAGAACAAGGTAAATCAACAAGTAATTTAATTTCTCTAACATCCACAACATTCTTTCACTCAGATCAAGTTACTGGTAGGCCTATCCAGTTATACAATTTTCACCCCGAGCAAAACTAGCCATGATGTGTTAAATCAGAATGTTATTTTGATTTGTTAAATATTTACAAAAAGAGTAAATACCAACATCGACTTACTTTGCAAAAGCTTCCATTATGGTTTTACATATATCAACTTTGACAGCCTCTTTCTGGAACATGTCTATGAACGGCAGGAACTTAGTCTAAAAATAGAGTTTGATAGTTGGTAATTTTTATCCCTCAACACTTTCAAGGTCAAGGCTGTGCGTGTGGTAATTATAAACTTAAATCCCTACAAAATGTAGCACTGTACAGTGACTATAGGAACACCTTAAGGAAGTGAGGGAAAAAATCTAAGAAAGTTTCCTGAACTTTAGTTATGATATCCTATGCAAAAATTTAAAGAATATCCTAAAATTATAGCTTCGAGGATATCCATATATTTCAAACACCGATAAAAAGCATTTTTTTGGGAAAAACATATCATATATTTTCCCTGAAAAGCATTACATGATTATTTTTATAATGATGTTGCAGTGAGATTTTCTATTCACAAATGTCAGCAATAAATTATATATGTTTATTCAGATCAGATATGGATAAATTTCAACAAAATATATTAATTTCAAAATTTGTCTAGAAAAAAAATCCTAGAAAATACATTATTTGACATAAAAAAAAACTATTTCGGGAAATTCTTTCCAGACAGATGAAACATTTAAACCTACCAATGCAAAGAGCTCAGAGAAGTCCTGTATGTGGGTCACAACTTTGGCGACGACAGACTGGAGCTGTGGGTAGTAATCCTCAAATGCTCGGTCCGGAGTCATGTGTTTGATTATGTCTGCTAGGATTGTATTCACCTCCCTCTTCTACAACAGTAGCATGTGATCGAGTGTTTTATTACTGTAATCAGCAGAACTATCATATACTTAAGCAATATATTCTTAGTTAACCAGAAAGTCAAGTGCATCAATTTTCAGGCTATTCTCTTTGTAATCAATTATATCACATGAGGCTTGCCAACCTCCAGGATGCTCAGGGTGGGAGATCTCCCTCCACTGGATATTCCAGTGTGGGAGTCTTTTGACGGCGTCAAAGCGTAACGTCGTTTCAGTAATTGAGACCATGTGACATGTAATTTCAAAGCCACAACTCGAAGAAAAAGAGGTACAGTAGCATCAAAGATACCTGGAAAAGTCCATGCATTGCAAAATTTGATTATAAAGAATAATAACAATTAATTATTTTTCAAATCATTAATTTAAAGTTTTATTCAAATTTACATCAAGTGTCATACTTACCTTGAAGTTTATAACTACATATTCAATCCAAATCTCTGCACTGCCAATGTAATCCTGCAAAATGGTAGAAAGTACAAAATTAGCATTTAACATGAAAAATTCTATCACACTTTAATATCGTGTCACCGTCTTGAAGAATGCAATTTTCATATCTAATGTTTTGATCTTGTAAATTATTTTTTTTCGTATATTATAAGTTCAATATGTGTATTTGATTTACTAACACATATGGCTGTTTTGGATTTTGATTTCTAAACAATTAATTTAGCATGTTTTTGTTGTGTATATGTTAAAAAAAATCACACTCAATCCCATGTTTAGGTACCCAAACTAAAGCTTGATGATGAAAGTCATATGCAATGGGATTCTCTACATATTGTGTCATAATTTTAATGTATTACAAAACATTGAACGCCACAAGATAGTTTAAGTTAACAAGCTGCTGAATAGACTTTCAACAGCCGCACCAAGGTTTTTGTATGAACCCAGGTCTTTTTTTGAAGTACTGGTTCTTACCGCAGGGTTTTTGAGTTTCATGACCGCCTTCCATACTTCATTGAGGACGGTAAGTTTCTGTTCCTCGGGGGGAGAAGTCATCACAAGACACAGCCCAAGGGTTCGGTGCAACAAATGCTACCAAAGAAAAAACATTAACATATGTACGAGGTATTCAATGATTTCCCTAAGACGAGTAAAAGTGCCACTACAATAAATGTTTGTATCTTTGCAAGTCTCTCTTTCCTTAAAAAAAAAAAGAAAATACAATGTTTGCCATCCCTTTTAACAAAAGTTACATCAAATATATCAAAAGTACCTATGTAGTCAATTTTTTTAAAGACAAATCACTATTTCAAACCAACCATTTTTTGAACATTGTTCAAACAAACATTTCAACATGAAAATTATCCAGTAATGTAAAAATCAATCAGGTCCCACCTAACTAAACATAAAGATTAACATTATTGTTTGGTCATTTGTTTTGATGGGACTGAATCTGCAATAATACTTAGGTTATCTACACGATATGCTACCTTTGGGAATCCAGTATCCTCACTTTCCCGAATCATTTCTGTGAACTCCACAGCTCGAACGGCAATGTATTCCGGTTTGAACGCAGAAATGATAGAATTCAACAGCAGAGCACTGAAATTAAACAAAACAGTCATCCGAGTCTAAGTATTTGTTATTTTTGTATTTTAATAAAGAAAACCGTAAACTAAGTCCTACTGAATAAGTCAGTACTAATGTTGTTAGTACTGCCTGATACCAAGCGCATTCAAACACCTAAAGGATCACCTCAATTTCAAAATCATGAATGGAGGATTTTTTTTCTCCAGCATTTTCAGCACAAAAGTTGTCTTATTCTATAATACTGTGGTGCTTGTAACATTCAAGTGTGAATTCAAAACATATTCAATAGAGGACATTCAAACCTTCAAATTGCAATCATTAAAAAAATAGGTCTTCCCCACAGAACAAACACTGCTACGACTGCAGAAGTAACGATTAACACTATAGCTACTACATTCAAGTCAAGATACAGCTACTAGACCCAACTCTGTCAAACAAAACACAGACAAGGTAACACTTAAACCGGTAACCACGATTCATCAAATATAATCAACAGAATACCTTTTGCAGTGTTTTTTGAACTTCTGGAGGACGTCCATGAGCGTTTGTTCAGACGACCTGTTGGCGATACACTGCAGCAGCCAGTCCAGGGCGGGGGAGAACAGCGTCAGGTATTTAGGCATCTCCAGCTTCTGCATGGCTAGCACATTCTGTACATAGTCGCCCTGAATCTGTAAGATATAGACATGATGACATCATTAACTGATTCAAATCAATTTTTTTCACCTATATAAGCTACATCTGAAATAATTTCTCAGATAAACATACGTATTCTGGGATCAATCTAGACTTGATTCACTTTCGTTTATGGGTAGTTTCCCCTACAGAAGAAAAATTCCCCTGTTCTTTGAAATTCCCCCTGTGTGCTTCAAAAAAGAAAAAAAGTTCAACAGTTAAAATGCATAAAACTGCATATATACATTTTCTTCACATAATTGAAACAAAAAAATCTACAATTTTAAGCTTAAAATTGTTTATTAATTGAAATATACTGCACACATGTATGTCGGACAAAACATTTATCTTGTACCTTCATGATGCTAGAGCCTTGTATCAAAATTCTAATTACCCCCAAATCTGAAAAAGGGTAGATTCCCCTAAACCTAGATTGATACCTTCGCCTGTATTCATGAAACCGTTCTCACGCTCAAGCATGGATTCTGTGTTCAAACCAACTTTCTTGTAACTCGCTTAAATCTTGTCAAACAATCAGAAAGTCGAAAGTAATTTTTAACGAGAAGAAGAAATTAGGCTTGAGCACTAATTCCATGCTTGAGCATGAGAACGGTTACATGAATACGGATCCTGGTATTAAATTACCATAGGAGGGATTTACCATAAGAGGGTATTGGTATACCTAAGGTATACTCCTGAAACCTGGAAGATTGAAGTCAACATTCCTTTGCACCTATAGGACATTGTTCATTACCCCTGCATAAATTTCTCAGTTTAATTCATTCATCCCTGGATACGCATTTGAACTCCTCCAATTCAAAAGTTGGAATAGTTCATTAAGAAATTTCAGGGGTGAATGAGTTAAAGGAACATAAAAATTCAACACTGTATGATATGAATGTGACCTTTAACGGTTTGCCTTCCTATATCCAGCCACCAAGTCATATTACAGAATTTTACCATTGCAGCTTCAAATACAAAGATTGTAATGTATCTCCAAACTGTTAGCTTTAGGTAATATTTGTGTCACATTCGCATTGTCTGTTACGCCTTAAAGGTTTCCCTCCTTGATGTCCCACTGAAGAAAAGTCATCGAAGACATTGTAAGCATGTGCTGCACTAGATCACCTTGAAATACCAGTGAAATTCACATTGTAAAGCCGAGATAATTCTCAGGCTATTTTGCGACTTCTGCTTCGGATTACACCAGAAACTAGACATGGGAATAATGGGTGGTGATGGAATGCATCGATATCTAGAAAACAAAAGTAGTTTCAATCTTTTACGTGAGGCAGTCTTTGCTATTGCCAGTGTCAGATGGTAAGATAGGACACTGTCGGCAGCAGGCAAAGAGTTAAGTAAACCTTGACTACGGTGACGATGGTTCACTAGAGAGTTAGAAATTCACCAACAGTTCCAGGACTTACTTGTGCATATGAGACAAGGAAGTCGTCAAAACAAGGCATCAGATGGTCAGAGATCGTAGGAGCTATCAGCATCCCAACCTTCATAGTAACAAAAAGAAATGGCCGTCACTCATACAGAACCAAATTGACACTACAAATGTATATAGGAGAGTTTCAGAGACCTAGGTACATACAATATGTACTATATGACATTAAATTCCTTTTTTCCCCCCACCTGCCATCTTCGTCCATATTACACACTATTAGATTGAATGAAAATAATCGGAAATGATAATGTTAGAGTTGAAATTGTTTGCTACTTTCACATTTTAAATTCTAAATATGTGCAAAAATCTTTTGACATGCTGTGAAACACAAACTACCGCTGCATCCCCAATATGACAATTTCCTCAGGCAGAATTGTTTGAAGAGCCATTATGTAAAAATTGTGTTATTTACGGTTAGTTCTACAATGTGTTGTAAACTGTGGGATTTCTTATATATGTAGCATCTTCATTTTTCACCAATGTTTCACAATCATCTATAAATCAAACTTATTTTTACCATCAAGTGTTTATAAATATATATACGTATCAATTTGAGGCAAAGAGTTACTTACCCTGCTAAGATAACAACGGGCATAAATAGCCACTAGGGGATCTCCGATACCTTTGATCATGGCCATCAATCTTTTTAACGCATCTGTGTACTCCCTGAAAAAAATGTCAATACCAGATTTTGAATAATTCTATTCCTGACACCCAGTACCCAAATCATAGATTTCACCATTTCCAACACCAACCTTTGTATTTATAGATCAATGAAACAAAAAGGGATTACAGGCCGTGATAGTTTTTGATAATTTTCTTCTTTGCCGAAAAGAAGGTAGATCAAGGCCAGGATAGGATTAGTACTACTATTGGTTTAACATTTTATCCATTTTCTTTACTTACAAAGAGTCTTGACTTGCTATCAATAAAAGAGATATACCTACCCTTGGTTGAGGTAGCTGTAACACTTCAGTATGGCCGTTTCCACGTAGAACCTAGGTATAAGCTCCCGTATCGAGGCTATCTTGTAAAACCAGTTCCGACACGTTTCCTTGGCTGACTCAGGCACCTGGTCAGGTGTGAAATTGTCTGCAGAATGCAAACCAAGATGTCATATGAAAAGACATTCGGACTGATGGAAAAGCCAAACACTATGTTACTGGGGCATACAAATAGGGTACATTTCATGGAATATACTTTCCTAGTTGTCAATCCATAGATTGGAAGACTTCCTAACACAATGAACATGTATATGCAATTCCCCTTTAAATACTCACCTGGTAACTTGACCGGGACTCCACTGCCAGGCGGGTAGTACATGGCCTTCTCCTTCAGCCTGTCGTACACCAATCTTCCTGTTATTAAAAAAAAAAGTTTTATTTCCACAAACAGACATTTCACAAACATATAACACAAAACGACAGACAGAGAAACAGTAATTTCACCAAGCGCTACACAAAAGAAACAATCCAATTTTTGAAGACCAATTGTTCAATGGTGAGACACATGTTGACCCAAATGCCGGTAGTTCAGCCTACACCTGCTGGAACATCTAGGTTTAGACACTGGCATAATTTGACAAATTATGGGGTATAAATGAAAGTCCTTTTTATTATTATTTACTGTAAATGTTTTAAGTTAATGAGGTCAAGGCTCACAAACACTTACCAAACGTGTCCAGTATGTCTGTGATGAGGACAAACTTGCTTGGGTAGAACTGAATCACTGATGTGTCCGCTAACAGCTTGGAACACTGTAACACACACAGCAGTACAAACAGTTTGGTTTGGTATTTTTTTTACAGCCCATCACAATTTAAGTCCATACAAACAGATCACATCAATAACTGCTAATGACATCACAGAATGAAAGGTTTCATGGAAAATGGATGTGTTCAGAAAGGACCTCGAAAATCAGATTTACAGGAAAACATATCCAGTAATGCACTTGTGGCAAAAAAAATAATCCTAAAATACCATATAGGTACCTACAAGAACGAAGGAACTGACAGGGTATAATGGAGAAGTAAAGGATGATCTCATTCAGTAATATTGACGAACACCAGGTCATCCTTCTACCTTGTATGGTGTACAGGGTTCGATTGTTTATATGCTTCTGGGTGATCTGACTGAGCACAAACAAACAATGACAAATCCAACATTTTCTAACATGTAAGATGAATAATTTTGTTTGTTAAAATCAAGTCAAATGATCAAGGTTAATTGCAACAGAGCACCTGGTTTAGTAAGTAAAATAGAACACAGGCATCATAAATGGTATATCATATGTGGATAATTAGTGTTATATCATATCTGGAGAATTAAAGTTGTATTTATCATACCTGGATAATAAATGTTATATCATATCTGGATAATTAATGTTGTATTTATCATACCTGGATAATAAATGTTATACCACACTAGGATCTAGTGTAATATTATAGATATCACTTTATCTATTTTACATCAATTATTAAAGAAGTTATATCAACTTATATTAATCACTTTTTTTCGGCTTGGATGTTAGTACGCTGAGGGTCTTAATGTGGGCGGAAACCGGAGTACCCGGAGAAAATCCATGTGGGCAGGCAGGTGACCCCATACCTTTTCACGTCGATTTGGAGAATCAAACCCTGATTGTCTTGGTAAAAGGCAGGTGCCCTACCCATTGTGCCAGAAGTGTAATATTACACCTGGATAATAGATGTTATGCCATACCTGGATAATCAAGTGTAATGCCACACCTGGATAATCAAGTGTAATACCACATCTGGATAATCAAGTGTAATACCACATCTGGATAATCAAGTGTAATACCACATCTGGATAATCAAGTGTAATACCACATCTGGATAATCAAGTGTAATGCTATACCTGGATAATCAAGTGTAATACCACATATGGATAATCGAGTGTATTACCACATCTGGATAATCAAGTGTAATACCACATCTGGATAATCAAGTGTAATACCACATATGGATAATGGAGTGTATTACCACATCTGGATAATCAAGTGTAATACCACATCTGGATAATCAAGTGTATTACCACATCTGGATAATCAAGTGTAATACCACATCTGGATAATCAAGTGTAATACCACATCTGGATAGTAAATAATACTGAACAGTTAAGAGTAATACCACACCTGGATTAGGAATGTCACATCATACCTGGATAGCTATTTTTAGAGCCTTTACTCTCTGGTCGTTGTCCCAGGCTGATACTAGGGCCTGATTCAGCTCATCAATGCGGTTCACATAATCCTGCTGACTAAGGTTCAACATCTCTTGAACAGATCCCTAAAACAATTTATTGAAAATGATCAAAATATCACCTTTAAGAAGATAATTCTTTTGATTGACATTACCATTGCGTGTAAAAATAATAATTAAAAAATGGGTAATAAACTAGAAAAGCACAAATCCACAAAGAAAGGGTAGAGACCACAATTTTGGACAATCTAAATGTTTTTAGAACAGAATCTTTATCAAATATTTTATTAACATTTTAGTAAAAAGATAAAATCAGATCAGATTTCCTTTTAAAGAGTGTTATTTACATCTAAATCAATAACTGATAAAATAGCTCCATGTGAAAGAAACATAATCTCCTCTTCAAATCCAGGATTTTCAAATTCGTTATTTGTCACTACAGGAAGTATAAAACAGGATGAAAGTGATAAACAAAATGAAGATCATAAACCAACCTCTTCAAAATCATCTAGCTGTTCGAGTCTGTTTCTCACTTTATCTGTCACAGTGGTGGCCGTCACTGCTTTGATGACCACTGTAACAAGAGCCACATGATTAAAATTAGAAACTACACACCATAGACAAACACAAAAAAATAAATTTGAGAATTGCTAGACGATGTTATAATATCGGATTGCATCTAACTGATCCTATTTTTTTTAATTCTATGGAAGGAAAAGGACGATTGCCCCCTCTTGAGCCCTAGATTGGCTGTGTCCTATTACAGGTTTGACAAAGTCAAATTTTAGGTCAGGACTAGCCTTGTACATGTTATTGATGTGTCCAGCTGCAAGATAATATCAGGTAAGTCTTGTTCCCAAGAAATTTATGCCTTGAATTCTCCAGTGTATATCAAAGAACTTGTGCTACCATTTGTTCGACCAGCACTTCTCAGGTCACAGTCTGGAGCCTCACCATCCTCGATACTCCATGGAGCCTCACCATCCTCGATACTCCATGGAGCCTCACCATCCTCTATACTCCAGGGATTACACTCACTTTCGCTCTGTGCACACCTGGAATATGTCTTAGCTATATCGAAGGCACGCGCCTAGCTATTTGATTGGTCTCAGGTAAAATAACCCGACCAATCGCTAGGCTGATACATGTACTGTCCATTGAAGATTACAGAGGAGCGACACCCGGCTTATAGCCAGTCAAATTTACTGTTATGTGACCGGCATATTCTTTTGATGTATATCAAAGGATCAAACTAGTCTCCTCTGCACACTGAGCCTTTGATTTTGCTACGACTTATTCCAGGGGTGCAAAGAGCGAAACTGAGTATAATCCTTGGCGTATCGTGCCTTACCGACTCTTCAGAAAACATGCACCATCCAATATTTCAACAAAACTGCAATAGAATTATAGAACAGCCTCTCAACCTTCCTTTGGAAATGGGGATTATTAGCTATTTTAAGAAAAGTTCTGAATAAACAATCTCTTTAATACTGATTTTAAGCTTGATATTCCTGTGTCTCATTGATGTGTCATTGTGTACTCATTTGCTGCACATTTTTGTCATACTTTTATCTAAACAAACATTGTCTTTTCAGTTCTTCTATGCTGTAAAGCGGTTCTCTTGAAATTTTTCTACAAACAGGGCACATCAGTAATTTTGCATATTATGTTCATACCTCTTTCCTTGTCTGATGCAGACAGAAAGCTGGTGGTAATGGAAAGTTTCTCAGAGGTACTGTACTTGGTAAGGATGCTGGCTTTCTTGGCATTCCATGGCTCAAAAGTCTCATCCAGGTCATCACTTGGATTGCCTGTTTTAGTCTGCTACAATGAAACATATTCAAGATCTTTTTTAATGACATAAGTGACATGTGCTAAAAATAATTATACACACGCTTGCCAACTGTTTGAAATTTCTATGGGGGAGATTATGCCTGGTCAGAATTAAAAGCACAAATAAAATGTGTGTATGAACATCATGGGGAAAAAGTACACTTTTAAATGGCATCTGTTGAGTTGTTCTTCCAGGTGAAATCGTCAGATCTTAGAAAATAGAAATAGTTAAGCAAATTCACTGGTTGAAAATGCTCAATTTTTGGGTCCAAGATTGGGAGTCTCCCTCCAAAATAGGGAAAGTTGGCATGTATGTATACTATTATTACCAAAATCAAACTTCAGTTCAACAAGGCAGAGTGTTGCAAGGCAATCCATAGTCCCCTACCAGTAATGATTTCTATATTTAACAAACAGTACACCTATGTCAGGAAGCATACACCAAAGTGATGATTGCACTCTGTTATCCCATAATGTCCTTGTACACCAAATCTGGTTACTCCAGATGAAATAGTACAGAAGATATGCCCCGGACAAACTTTTTCAAAAGTTAAGTTCAAAGGTCAAGTCGAAGGTCACAGTGACCTAATTCTTGCACTTTGTACTCCGCCATCCCAAGATGTCCTTGTACACCAAATCTGGTTACTCCAGGTGAAATAGTATAGAAGATATGTTCCGGACAAACTCTTGGAAGGAAGGACGGACAGAGGGCAAACCCCAAGAACTGGTGGGGGTACTATAGAATATTCATACAATTATGAATTAGAAAACCAACTCTACTTTGGAAATATTTCTGTTTATAGATCAGAACCAATAAATATAGACAGTCACTCCATATGCATGTCAGTGTGACAATCAACCTGTACAGGGGCCATTCTTTAATAGTCAAGGTCATGTTTAGGTAACCATTTTGTTTCCTTTAAAATAACCAGTTTATAATTACACTGTATTTATTATTTCTTGGAATACAGTAAAACCTTGATATAGTGCCCTTCGTTTCATTTGCCACCTTGTTTTCCGCCATGTATATTTCAATGTCCCTGTTTCTCGTTTTCTTAAGAATTCCTTTATACATTTCCCTCAATTTATTGCCAAAACCCCTTATAATGCCAAAATTATGGACAAATGTTGGCAGTTTAACAAGATTTTACTGTATATTAATGAGTGTCACAGTACCTTGGCACACATGAATACCAAGATCAACTTTGAATGTAAAAATATACGATTACATTTACAACAGTGTGTCACATTTCAAATTAATGTTTCAGAATCAGTAAAAAAGATACTGTAATTTTTTTGTTTACAGTACCTTCATTCGAAGAGTCTGATATGAAGTAATATGTCAAATATCTTTTATAATACAAAGTAATTAAATAGCTGGATGATTGATTTTTTAAAGTTAAACAAAAAAAAAACACGCATTGATAACACAAAATTTATATCAAATTATGATTTAATTAAAATGCGTTGAAAAGTATACTGTATCAGACCATATAGTCATTTATAAAAACAATCATCTTTTCTCATACTGCAACACTTCAATGTTATTTCACTTACAAGACGATTACAGAAAACTTGATGCAGGAGACTATCTATATTGACCAAAAATTGTACATATAATATCTTATATTATTTTAAGACCTGTTCGAAAACTGTAAACATGATCACGGCAATTATAAAAAGACTTTCTCAAGGAGTACCTTCAGACTGGAGCTGCGGGTCTTTGATGCAGTCTGTGTCTGGACTTCAGCAGCAAACATGGACAGTGGGTCGGAACCTTCCAGTGCTGAGCTCAAGGGGTCCAACAGTTCAGTCTTTACAGCTTTGCTGGCCCCGGCTCCCTTCATTGGGGTCCCACGCTTTTCTGTACTTTTTACTTCCACCACCTGAAAAAATGTATTAATCCACCACTAGTTCAAATCAATCTGATTTTATATGCTAACAAAACCTTACTTAGGCAAGCATCTTTCCCATTGTTGATGTGTTGGGTTCTTATAAGGATAGAAGCTGTGATCAGCACAGAGAACAGCAGACATATGAGTCACACTGACATAGCTGCATTTCCAAAATGAGGTTATAACAGTGAAGATAATTTTAGGAATGATTGTTAACAGAACTAGGTGGGGGTAACGGAACATAATCATCAACACACATTGGGTCTTAAGTAAAATGCATTAGTTTTCTATCAATTTACCTTAAAAGACATTATACTCAATGTTTGTTTTTTGTATCATTGCCCATAAATCAGTGAAATTCATTGATGAAAATTGATACATACACTGATTGTTTTCAATGGATGGCTTGTAGCCTCCTCCAGTGGTAGGTTTTCCTTTCTTGCTTCTAGAAGGTAGTCTCTTTTTCTTGGGGTCCTGGAAGGGAAACCATTAGATACATTACAACATTCCATTTCAGGCGTACAGTTGAAAATTATTGGTGGCAATGTGGTTAAACAGTTCAATATGTTATTTGTATAGGTACATTTTGTCATTGTCATCCTGAAATGACCATATAGCTGTTGATAGGACGTTAAACAATACTAAATCAAATCAATGTAGTTGAATGACACATAATGCATGTTTTTTAACAATGCCACGCACTAGAAAAAATGGAAAATAAGAAATTTGAGTAAACTTATTTTTTCTGTTATTTTCCCCGAAAAAAATCCCTATTTCATTGGAATGCTTAGATTTTCATAAAATTGCCTCCACATTGTGAAAGTTTCAACTAGTTCTGCTGGTTAATTGGGAAAGGGTTGAGCCTCCTTAAGGTAAGAAATTAAATGTTGGCTTACTTTATTATTTCTTGCAGCCACAACTAATTAAATGCAAATAAATAACTACTCTTTATAAAATGAAAATAAATATACAACATTGGATACAGCACCCTATCTAGCTAGAATAAGCCACTCTCAATACAATTAACATATACATTTAATAATTAAATAATACATTAATCAATACAATTTATAAATATATAGCAGTGATGCCAATCAAACACATATCACAAGAACTATATCAATACACTGTATCACTGGGTGGAATAACATTTTGCCTCAATATCACATTACAATTATGCTGTAACAGTTTGAATTGGGTACAATTAAACCATCATGTGAAATTAAGGCATTTGAGTAACAGTTACTGTGTTTATTTTATTAAATATATGGGACAAAATGTGATGTCATTCTTCAAGATAGTTAATAAATATAACAATTAGACACATTTGTGCACAAAGGTTAATCAATTTTGATGCCTGACTTTTTGTCAAAACGACAAACTGCTACATATACACTGTCTGTATGACGGGTGTGCATGCGCAATGAGCATGACATTTTGTATGTTTTCTTTTTATAGCTCAAATTGTGAATTCCTTTGTTTCCAACATAATGCACACCAATGTAGTGAAGGTGATACAATATTTTAATTGTACAAAAAAAGAGATATCAAATCAAAGTAATCAAATTTTGAGCACCAATATGCTTTAATTATTGTATTACATGTAATTTGGGTTATGTTAAAAGAATGACACTGGCTTTCTTGTTCCTATAATGCGTACAAGAACTTCAACTGTTTTTAATTCACTTTATTTCCATGTCAGTGACAAAGTTGTTACTATAAACAGTAACTGTTACCGGAACGAAGGATCATTTCTAACAAGAGGGGTTATGCATGCCCAGTCTCTTAATAAATCTATTAAATACAAAAATAGAATAATAAAATAAACTTTGCATATGAACTATTCATGGCAAGCATAAGACTTTTTGAGAGTTAAAAACTGTGTTATTTGTGTTCATCCACTCTGTTAAAGTGGTTTATTTCCGTCTTTAAATGTATTATAACATATTTTTGTTTTGTCTTTTTTTTATAGAGACGAACCCCTGTGGCCAGTTCCAACGTGACGATAAGAAATGTTTCAGAAAATATAGAAAGATCAACATAAGGCGCCATTTAAGATGGACATAATCCTCAAGTTACAGATATGTTACTGTTTAGTATTCCCTGTTCTCCCAAACTTTCCCCTATCAGAGATTTGGTAAAATTATTTTTGGCCAGTAACAGAACGATTAATTTATCCTATATCTAATTTCAGCTTCATACAATATGTAGGCCTATTTAACAATTTTGAATTATTGCGTATAACGTATCAGCAAGAATTAGAATCACAGCAGTCATTATGCATTTTATGACAATATCTTCGATTCTAGAAATCATAACAAACCATTCGTAGGTCGCCATTTTGAACAAGTAAGTCACATGACTTTTCTGGGACCGCCTCCTTTACTTGTAGTTTCGTATAAATAAACATGTTGAAAGGAATAAAACAAAATGAAAAATTCAATGTTTGTTAATAAAAACAACGTTATTTTTTATTTTTATATTGAAACCTTTTGCTTTGATTTTCATTTATTACTGTCTGATACGAAAATAAGATAACTTTGTCCTCGTAGTTCGTTTTACTAACGATGGCTGAACAAGCGGCAGAAAATGAATTGAGTTTCTTGGCTTTAGTCTGTGACGTTCTGAAAAGGTAATTATGATAAGAAATAGATATGATTAGACCTTCCTATCTTTATTGAAGATTGTTGTCTAACATATCTGCATATTTAAGGCGCTTTATAGTTGTTTCAGGACCAAATCGATGACAGACGACTTACAACGTAACGGGCATATGATTGAGAAAAATGACATTGATTTTAAGGTGATGGTCGTCTGTAAATGTTAAAACATTGTTCGATTGAGCGCAAGTCTGTAAGTTTAATAAATACTGCTGGCTGTACGCAGAGACATTTTACGAGTTCTGCGGATTATATTCTCAAAGGACTTTCTTGTAGGTATGAAGCCCGCGTAGCTCAGTCGGTAGAGCATCAGACTTTTAATCTGAGGGTCTAGGGTTCGAGTCCCTACGTGGGCGAAATATTTTTTTCTTTTTTCCCCTCACTCCATTATAATAAAGAAATTCTTGCTTTCTTTATTTATAGGAAATAAAAATTTATGTTATGTTTATTTTTTCTTTGTTCGAAAATTATTAACATAAGAAACAGTTATGCATAGAATATGACATTGATCATTTGCAGGTCACAACAGCAGACATGTTAAAAATAATGATAAAAGTGAACAAGTATTTTTAATTTTTTGTGAACAAGGCAATTAGGTTATTCTTTCCTTTCATTATTTTTTCAAACAATCACTTTCCATTTCTGAGAAAAAATGGCCACAATAATGCAGGTGTTCTTTTTGCACATTCACTTAAACATCCGACACTGTATTAATGTTGACTGAAATAACATCATTGAATGTAAAAAAAATAGAGGGTTCAGTATACATATATGTTTATGTATAATTCAACACAGCAAAAAGAGAGATCATCAGATGTGCAATGTTTTAGTGATAACTATGGCAATTAAGTCAAGCTCACTGAATTCATGTTGTCGAAAGAATGACCAAAAACGCCTGCACATTGCAGTGACATTGGCATAAAAGTATGGATGTAGAAACAGTACAATACTAGGTAATTATTTTGTTAACAGAATGATGAAAAACTTATATGGTCACAAATTGTCTTTTTTTTTCATGTTAGCTTCTTGTAGACTTGTAGAATTATAGAAAATCTGTAAATCTCATAAAAAAAACCATACATGAGTTATCATTAATTTTAAAAGGAACATTTGTACATTGTTAATGACAAAATCAATGCAGGCTATGATAAAATTTATACATTTTGACTTGACACAAGTTTTGTGATAATAATTCCAAGTTTTCACAAACTAATAAACAATGCTGCAGTGCACATGGTCTCCAAGCTATGATCAAATATATCGTAAACATTTTGATAAAACACATTGACAATCACAAAATGATTCCAATTTGTAACTTGTACAGACCAAAAACTAAAAAAAACCACTGGTCAGCAGGCTTACATAAAACACATTTTGACCGGACACAAGTGGCAAGTGCTATTACACAATGACTGCTGGTTTGTTACAGACTCAAAAAAATAATTCCGACTGGTCTGCTGACTATGATAAAATACATGTATACAGCCTACACAGGGCCCCCGGTTTATCAGACAGGGCACTTTTTGTGTCCGTTTAAAGGACACATTCCCAACTGAAAAGGTGTAAGATTTTTTCCCAATTGCCCCTTTGAAATTCCCAATTGGGAACCAAAAAAGTAATTGCATTAATATAGATCAATTCCTCACAGTTGATTGAGTTACAAGTCGGAAGGACAAAATCATTATGTTGTCTAAACCGTCTCATTTCCCCCCAAAAAATGATATTTTAATTGGACACTAATTATAATTTGGGGGTTTAATATCTTTAAAATGTATATCATTTATATTCAAGAATATATATGTTGTAATGTTTTTGGTATACAATCCTCCAAGGACTTACCTGATATATTAAAGATTTTTTTCTGTAATTGACCTTATACGCACCCTGGCACTAAACAATATGAAAAATGAGAATGACTGCTGAACCTTCACCGGTTCTTGTAAAAGGTCACAGTAGACATCTTTTCAAGTACAGTACCAAGTCTAATAAATAGGGGCCCATATAAGGTGCTTATTAGTTCAAATACAGTAATAGAAAAATATACACATTACAACAATGTCACTTGTATCTAGATCATAAAATGAAATAAACATAAAGATAACAAACTAATTTGATCGTTGAAACTCATTGAAACAATATCAACTATGTGCAATATCACGATCAGAGTCCATAGAGAATCCCAAACGAGTGATGGTTGGTCATCATGTTTATATAACTTGATTTTGAGTTAGTTAATTTTCAAATTGTATAAAGATACAAGATTAACCAAGTGTCTTTTACAATTTGAAAATTAAGTTATGAGAGTTAAATAAACGTGATAATCAACCATCACAAGTTTGGGAACTATTTTTCTCCCACAACGTTCAGATCTTATATCTAGAAAGCTATGTATATGTTTCGCTTGGGAAAACATACTTCCTGTTTTCAATAGGGGAAACAATTTGGATTTTTGTACTATGACGTCACAATGGAAGATGACATCGCAAAGTATTGTCACTGGACGTCATTATTAGAAGATTGACCCATTAAATCAGGTCTAGGGTGTTACAGACTAGTCCAAAATGAGTATCAACACCTAGCAGGTTTATCCAATGAGTTGGTAGGAAACCTTTAGTGGTTGTGGGAGAAAAAATTGTTCTCAATTATCTGGCTCAATCTTTACCAGATATATACTAGAGTGTATAATTTGATAGCCTGATTGTCTCCCCTAGATAATAAAGCTATCAAGAATTATGCAAGTCTAGTGGAAGAGCTGGAGGCCATAAAATGCCAACTGGACAAAGGAACACTTCTTTGAATTTCTTCTTGACCAGTTTGCTTTAATATTTCCTATGGATGCCAACTGAAAGCAGTAAAGTGCTCATTATATTAACTGTTACACAAAATAGTTGTTTGATACGATGGAGACAGAGAGCAGCATAATTGTCTCGTAGAATTGTTTATATTTATTCATTATTGAAATCACTTGTAAAACTTTTTTTCTTTTCTCTTCAGTATTGAAAAAGAATCGCACGATGTGACTCAGAAGATGACAGATTTGAAGAGTCAACTACAGCGAGCAAGAGATTGCGTGGAGAAAATGCCAGGAATCCAGTACAGCAAGACAGAGCAGCTTAAACAGATCGACGTACTTCGTAACCAAATGGCCGTCAAAACCGAGTTACTGCAGAAGTACAAACACATGCAGACATTTGATCTGTCTCAGTAACAGATTCTACAGATCATCAGGGAGTGCATACAGGAAAGACTGCATCATATATCGGTGTTCATCGATACTGCATCACTTATATACTTTGTAACTCAACATTATTTTTTATATCTAGTTGAAACTTGTGGTTCAATTGAAAACATATTATTTTCATAAGTGAACTATTTTGAGATATTATTGTGTATATTTTTGTTAATTAGAATACTTACAGTATTTTATCTTTACTTGCTCTTGTGGGGGAAAAAAAATACATCCAAATGTCGGACGTTAAAAATGACGATGTGCACAGGCACCCTATATTTCACAAAGACCCTGAGCAATGGTTGCAGTATATGAACAAAGAGGTTCTTGTTGTGACAGAGGACGGATCCGAGTGGTCGGGATGGGTTTACACCGTAGACCCTGTCTCAGAAAGCATGGTTCTCTTCCAGTTTGAAGAAGAAAGGACCAGGATGGAGATTGTGATGGGCCACGCTATCAGAAATGTTACCATTCTCAACAGCGAGACACAGACTCACAAAGATAAGTTTGACAAGCTCTTTAGAACGAGAGAACAGGAAAGTTTCTCAGAGGAGGAGATAGAAAGACGAAGAAATGTTTTGAAGTTATGGCTCGTGAAGAATCTTCTACCCGTCTCTACTACAGGGAATAATGGCGAGATACTTTCCATATCTGATGCCTTGTATATAGAGCCTCCATATGGACCTGAGAACTGTCGCAGCACAAATGAGATCATTCTTGGAAGGATTCAGGGCCTCATTAAGAACATGCCAGCTGATCATGAAAACTGGTGATTTTCATTATCAACCATTTTCACTATCAAGTATAAATTCAAAGACTCCATTTTTTCATAATAAGGCCAAATAAAGTAAATCTAGTGTTTCCGCTATTACCCTACCTACCCTAGATTTTGTGCTTTAAACCATAATTTTTTTATTGGCATTTAGTGATATGCACTGTTAAAGTCAGAACTCCTGCTCTATATAAGCATATTATAAATATTATAAGCATATTATAAATATTTTCCAAAATAATAACAATTCCCTACCTACCTACCCAATTTTTTGAAGTTGATAGCGGAAGCACAAGTTTTTTTTGTTTGACCTAAGGTCATTTACAAATACAATGGTTTGTAGTCATTTATAAGATTGATAATAAAATTTGTCAACAACAATTTACACTATATATACGTGTTCTAATGTTTTTGATCCGCTAGCATGTTTATCCATGTTAAATTTGCTACACTCTGTTTTCTTGTTACTAAAAAAACTAGGCCTTGTTGTTTGAAGTTTCTAAATCAATTTAACTTTATTAAAATATTAAATTTATTTTAAATTTTAAATTATCATATAAAGACCAAAACAGTATTATATTTCTTTTTCAATTGAAATACCCGGTAATACGTTTTGAAAATTTGAGTTTGCTGTCAAATAGCATCTTCAAACAACTGGGCCCAGAGCTTTACTGTAACTATGGGCCATCTTATCAGTAATGCACATCAATTTAGTTTCGTTCACAAAATAATATACAGGCTATACATGTATTTAGGTTAAAACACTGAATGACTGGTGCATTAATCACAGCTAATTGATCCGTCGATTCTTACCATTCTGCTGTTATTTTTGTAGTCGGCATCCCTAACATTTTGGTGTTCCCAAACTCTTCTTTCAAATTTCTTCATTAATGCTTTACAGATTTGGTCCTATATCTCTGCTTTTAGCTTGTAGATTAGGTCCCCAGGATTTTCTGGCTACGTTTTCTGTTCTCCATACATTAGATTCTCTGCAATGTTCCTTGTACAGAAAAATATGGTTGCCACTTGCTGTAATACTGATTCCAGCTCGTACTGTAATGGTCAAAATCAGTTTTAAACATTTCCAAGCTCATCTTCAATGATTCTGATGTACCTGTCTTCCATTTCTGGAATCTTCTTTTCCTTCCACGAGGTGAAAACAAGCCAGTATTTTCCGTTCACTATGTGATGGTAGAAGGCCATGATTATTTCTTGCTAAAGTCTAGTAACAGTCCTGAAACAAAGAACTGTGTATTTTTAAAAATGTGTTAATAAATGGCATAACATTCTGTTTTAATTGGAGGCACTGATGTATTTGGAGCTATTTAAAGTTTTGAAACCTTCTTACTTCTTATATTAAAGACAAAGAGTATATTTTGTGCTAAAATGCTTACCAGGTAGTACCCAATAGTAATAAAATAATGGACTTGAGCAAGGCTTTGATAGTACAGCCGTACCTACTGCAGAGACCACCTCTATAAAGAAGCACCTGTCTTAAGAGACCACATTTAACTCATTAACCCCTGAAAGTTCATAATGAACTATTCCAACCTTTGGATTGGAAGAGTTCAAATGTGTCTTCAGGGGTGAATGTGTTAAACTCATTGCAGTTATTTCTTTTAAATGACCCTTATCACCTGTAGTAAGAGACCACTTAATGGACTTCTCTATGGAGGATTGACTATATATAGCCTTGCTCAAGTTCAAGATTTTTCTTAATTGTGTATGGGGCATATACAACGATTCAAGCCACTGTTGTGAGAATAGGTTACATATTGTATCTACATCATGGGACATATTATAATGTAAGTTGTGTCACAAGGCCTTGTTTATGAGAATAACTTGGAAATAAGTAACAAACAAAACTAGCCTTGCAAGTTTCGTACATACTCTGGACGGAACTCGTTTGGCCAACGTTCTGCTCCACAATGGGTACCGAATTTGAACCAGGATATTCATAGATCTGTTGTCCATGACACTGTGACCTGCATTGTTTCTGATCGACACTTGGAGAAGAGGCATAGCTCGGTTGCTTTCAAGTGACATCGTCCCATCAACTTCCGCTTTGGGCTGCCGCACCTCCTCAGTCACGTGCACAGGCACGCGGGAATCCGAAAAAAAACCATTAACGAATCATGCTCTTTTCGATATTACATCAAAGAATAGCGATTTAAATATCACTTTTTTAGCTGAAAGGTATATTTTCCCTATCCACATGACTAACAGACCTTTTTTTCATCACGTACCGGGACGTATAAAGCCAGTAGTAACATTTATATCTGGCACACGTTTATATCTGTCAAAAAATGTATCTCATGGATCTGTATTTTTCAAACAAAAATACAGAAATGGACAACGCTTTCTTACTTCTGCAAAATTTGTTTACATGAGGCAAAGGTCTGGATAATAAAGCTGCAGAAAGTCCGTGGAACCCCGTGTTGCTTATCCTCGGAACCCAAGACACGGGACACTTGGAGTAGCATCGTAACATTACACACTATAGCAACGTCGTAAAATAGATACACGAACGACGTCGTAATGCTTGTTACTAGAAAATATTGTTACTAAGTTACATACATTAGAGAACGTTGTAACGGATACTGACGTCGTAACATGAGATACTTGAACAAACGTGTACCACTAAATATTTGGTACACTTGGTGTCGGGACACAGCAAGAAAAACTCATGATATTTGAACACTTTTTGCAGTCATTGTGTACTATCACTTTCTCAATTATGCTTGTATTTCACTCGCTTAAGTGACGGGCTTACTGTGTCTAAATAAGAAATAGTACATATATTCGCGATATGTTTTATTTCACGGCCGCCCATTCTCCCTTCTTCCAGATCGACGCCAAAATATTGATCTCGCTAACTACAAGCGGTTTTCAGTATCCACTAATCAATTGTAGACAGTGAGTGATTCGTCTTGCAATTTTATGGCTCCGAAGTATTTGCTTTTTGACAACTGATCAAGACTTTCAAATATTACTAGTCGCAGAGACGTATATACCACAGCTTTATTCGTCTTTGTTAATCTCACAAGCAGAGTTCGCCACACCAACATCACTTACTGACCACTGACAGCTTCAGATGTGTGGAAGATTCGGAAGATTGTGTTGTACAATCGATTGAATCCAATCAAATAATGAAATTAATCAATGACCAACAAGACAGCAGGAACTTGTTCAATTTAACTAAAGGAGGTCCAACATTTATGAAGGAAGATGATTGAGCGGTTAACCGTTTCCTCCCCCATTAAGACCCCTTTCGGGCCAACAAGAGTGATTAATATAAATAAGTTGATTCGCAATTATTGTAAAATAGACCTTTTTATAGTCTAATGGACAAACTCAAGGACAATTACAATGTTTTTTTTTTATGTATTAGATGTTTGTTCAGAGAATTATTTAAAAAAAGGTGCATACAGAATATGCGACTGTCTGTCACACGGTTTAAACTTAAAATTAATAATTATCATATACTCTTTCATTGTATAGTTCTTTATGACAAATCACCAGCACGTGTACATAGGATTAGCCCAAGTTTCCTCTGGCCCCCGACACCAGACTTTACTGTCAAAATGTCTTAAGTCTGGTGTCGGGGCCAGAGAAGCCCCTTCTCTTAACTGTTTTAAATCTAGATTAAACATCTGTTGGAAAAATATACCGTCCAAGTTTTATCCTAGTTTTTATGCTACACAACCGGTTAACAGTATGTTACCAAACCAAGATGCGCCTATATTAGCAATTTAGCTAACAACGGTGTCGAAGAAGAGGTAAACAAGGTAAACTAGGGCTAATACAATGTATAGGATATAAGGACGGAGGGATTATCAAGTCGCCGTCTTTGGATCCGAGGATTCCGCCCCCGACATCTCATTAATTCTACTCTGCACCCATAGATTTTCTCATGACAGATTTAACGTTTCTGTAAGTGCCACCTTGTGAATGATAAGAGTTGACTGATTTAAAAACTGTTGCGGATCCTGAAAAAAATGTGAGAATCACGGCAGAGTAACGGTAAAACCGCCTGACCAGATTCGATTTCAGAATACCTCTTTGATAATCTTTATTATCTATTGTATCAGTGTCTATCATATCATCCTTGCGATTGGTCAGTTTTTGATGTCTGGAACCAATCAAATAGCTAACCCGAAGTCTTCAATTCTGTCACATAGAAATCCAATTGAATAGAAAAGTTAAGTACATCGAGAGCGAAACTCTTTGATTTCGAATGTGTCGGGTGAAAGATTTTCTCTTGCAATGACAAATGGAATTTCACTTTATATGCGGATTGTTCTTAATTCTGGAACATCCCTAATAAGAAATAAACACAGGAAACTTCAATGTTTTCTTCGTGTTTATTAATAACTTCATTTACCAACTACATAGAAAAAATCATTTTGCAGCCGTTACATATGTAGAGCACTAAAATTATCATATTGTGCCTCAGAAGTACTCCTGGAAAATATAGCACCAAACATTGAAAGACTAGGGTAATAGTCATTGTGTATACAGGAACAGCATCACGACTTTGTCTCATGCCAAAATATGAAAGAAACATCTTCTGCAACACCATCTAGGAACCAGTCCTGTAAAAGATAAAAAAAAAAGGGGTTGAACCCATTTTGTTTTCTGTCCAACAAAGATCATTACATACAGTAGCATCTCAGATTTCTTCTTCAATTTTGCCCTCAAGTCATTGCGGAAAATTTGTCTTGTTCATATACAGCGGAGCTTTGCTTAACTTTTCTCCTGTAATATCAACCTTTTTCTTTGGTCTAAGTTATGGACAAAATTAAGTACATATTGAATGTAAACATTCAGTAAAGTAAATATCACTTGAGCTTAAAGTGCATTTAAACAAATTTGTTATAGATTATCTTTGAAACTTGGATGCACAAAGTGTATGTTTGCCGATTTTATCCGAAAACTTTTGCAATTTAATACTTGGCAATCAGATTACTAGGTCCGACCTTATTTAATAAACGGACAACTTTGGTCTGACCGGTTCAACCGTTTAAACAAAAACGACCCTGGTTTTGCCACAATCTCGTCCACTTGGTACTTACTGGATCAGTTTTGCCACTGTTGCCTCGCAAATGCTTCCAGTCCATCAACTCATCCATTCCCAGATTTCGCTTGGCAGCCTGAATCAGTTAAGAAACCATGATATCTTGACAAAATATACAACAAAATTTTGATTTTTTTGTAGGAGACATTTCAGTTTTAATATTTGGATGCTGTAAAGAACTGTGATTTTACATTATTTTTGTTCCATGTAGAAAGAAAAAAACTTCTCAAGCACTGCTAAACAAGCATTGTTGAGTTAACAGTTTCTAAAACAGTAGAAAATGTTCACTGTAATTTTGAATTCAGATTTACTTTACATCAATAAAACTGCACTGAAATAACAGCGCACTCCATACCTTATGATTGCCTCCAGCTCCTAACTGACATGGTCTGACACTAGAGGGTGTTATATCCGAGGAGGAGGAGGAACCCGCTACATTGTCCAGGCCTCCCTCACAGTCACAGCTCAGGAGTTCATGGGTATCACACAGGGTGTTGACATTCAAGGAAAATAGGTCCTACACAGAGAGTAAAAGTGTACATACATCGCTTTAGGATACATCTCAAATCAATTCAGATCTTAACCATGCATTTTAAAGATTAACTAAAGGAAATCTTCCTTTTGTGAGACCGCCTGAATGAAATGTGAAAATGAGTTAAATTTGAATTGCAACAGGTTTACACATCATTGCAGTACCAGGGCTAGACAATAAGGGTAGCTAGATTGTCTGAGACTAGTGAAATCTTCATCTGGACTACTACTTCTAAAAACCGCTAGGAAGATAGACTAGTCAAAATTTGATATTGGTTATCTTGTTGAATAATATTGGGTTAGTGGAATTTTCACAATGACCAGCAAAACTTGGAAGCTACTACCCCAATTGACTAATGCTGACAGCCCTTCCTCACTGTTATAGCATTCTGTCTGAAGAGCTTTACCTTGAGGTCTTCCTTGGAGAAGTGCACATCACTTTTTCCTGCCTTGGCTTCCATGACAGCTCCACTGAGGCCCTGTTTAGTGATCTGTCGCTGGTAGATCTTCTCCTCTATAGTACCCTGTAGTTTGGTGGAAAGAATATCACTCAATTATATCTATAATTACATTGCACCCCTTCTAAACTGACTTCCATCTGGATCTGGACAACTGTTGTGTTCTAAATGGACAGGTTCATGAATGGCAGGTTCTATTTACATGTATTCAGTGGTATCTGGTTTATACAGGGTTTTTGATTACTAAAAATTTAGTTTGGGAAGGTGCTGCACTGCATAATCATACAGGTACTCTGAAACTAACAGGACTTTTGTGATGTTTGTTTTATAATGGGGAAAAACACTGCAACTGATGACATCACATTGTATTGGTGAACACTGCAAAGCACTGTAAAATCATTTTTTCAACCAGTCATACATAAAATAAAGGTCATGGGTCAGTATATTGACCAACAAAAACCCTTCCAACATTTTCATTACATCTTGTACATTGTAAATCAAACTGTCCTGTTTACAGACAGATGGATGAAAGGATGGTTCCAAGACTTACAGTCGTCAGAAGACGGTAGATATGAACCTGCTTGGCTTGTCCATCACGCCACACTCGAGCCATAGCCTACAAAGAAACACAGGAAACTGTTCGAGATACTAATAATTAGTTGACAGATTTTAATCATTTGAGACAAAAAAATCAAAGCCCTGATCATTTTTAGTGGAACAGTATTTTCCAAATACATGTAATTATGTTTAACCAAACTAAGTTGCTAATAAAAAGATTGAAGTAACTGCAATACTATGTTAATATATCATTGTAAATAAACTGGTTTTTGAGTCTTGTATCTTTGTTTTTGTGTACTTCAAAATATAGATTTTATAATTAATATGAGTTTGATAAAAGAAATTGCATCTTCAATCTATGAAAAGGAGCAAGAAATACAACTATACAAATACTTTGTAAGTTACAAACCTGTAAATCATTGGCAGGATTCCAGTCAATGTCATACAGTATCAGCCTAGAGGCCCCTATCAGGTTCAGGCCGACACCTCCTGCCTTGGAGCTCAGCAGGAACACGACTGTAAAACATTCTGTTTAGTCAGACAATAGACAACATTTGTCATAGCTCTATTTATCATTTTTGCTATAGTGGAGCCTTTTTTTTCCCCTGTCAATTCTGGAGGCTAGTCTACAAATTGTCAATGACACAAGTTTGGTGATTCAGTTTGCAGAAGTGTTATATGTAATGTAATATAATGGTGGATTTTTTTATCATTTATATCATCATAAGTGCATTGGAATATCAAGTATTTATTTAAGTCTCCAAGAATTATGAACAAAGTGACGGACAAATAATTTCTATACTACACCCCAGGGAAAAATTATTGCTGGTAGTGGTGATCACCAAATCAAGTCTCCCTCCTCTAAAGATGGCGATGTAGTTACAGGCATGTAGATATATATACACACAGAATATATAGTCTTATATGTAGATATATATACACACAGAATATATAGTCTTATATGTAGATATATATACACACAGAATATATAGTCTGACATGTAGATATATATACACACAGAATATATAGTCTTATATGTAGATATATATACACACAGAATATATAGTCTTATATGTAGATATATATACACACAGAATATATAGTCTGACATGTAGATATATATACACACAGAATATATAGTCTTATATGTAGATATATATACACACAGAATATATAGTCTTATATGTAGATATATATACACACAGAATATATAGTCTTATATAAGTGATATGTTTGTTACATTTCATCCTTACATTCCTTTGAGAACTTGTTGTTAAACTTTTTGACAATTTCCTGACGTCGGTTTGTGGGTGTCTGGCCATCAAGTCTAAGAAAGCCATACTGTTTCTGGTCACAAAACTTCTGCAGCATGTCTAAAGTCTGCCAGAAATAAAGTACATCATGTTGTTATAATATTTTTTATAAACAAATATTACTTCTATCTAGCATAGAGATGTCAGCATTTATACCTATGTTTAGGCAATTACAAATCTGATTAAATCATGTACCAGCTTTTCATAAGGTGAGGCTGGGAGTGAGGTCATATGTCCATGTTTTTTCTCTATGACTTATTAAGTGTATGCTTTGTATATTATGTGTAATGTTGGGTGAGGCTGGGAGTGAGGTCATCTGTCCATGTGTTTCTCTATGACTTGTTAAGTGTATGCTTTGTATAATATGTGTAATGTTGGGTGCGGGGGGTGAGTGAGGTCGTTTGTCCCTGTGTTTCTCTATGCCATATTAAGTGTATGCTGTGTATATTATGTGTAATGTTGGGTGAGGCTGGGAGTGAGGTCATATGTCCATGTGTTTCTCTATGACTTATTAAGTGTATGTTTTGTATGACATGTATTATGTGTTATGGGTGAGGGAGCGAGTGACAATATTTGTCCATGAGTGTATTTTTGGCACTTTAGTTATATGACATGCGTTGTGTGTGTGTGTGATTTCAGGTGAGGAATTGAGTGAGGATGTTTGTCAATGTGTACAAGATTGTGTCATAAACATGTGGAGCGGATTAAATACATATAGGTATTTATTTACATTTCACTGATATTTTCTAATGAAATGTTCAATTCAAGAATGTCGTAGAGAACTTTTATAACCTTTATCCTGTTGCAAAAGTCAAATAAAAATGTTTTGTAAATAAAATATTTATGAAATATTATTTGATTTGTTGATATGATAAGGAATCTTACAGTGCAGGGAAGAAAACTGTTCTTGTATAACTGAGCATTAATATAATTACCTTTGTATGGTTGGATACCAGTACCACCTTCTCAGTTGGACATTTTTCATGGAGGTCTGCTAAAATACCAGCCAGCACTGACAGTTTCCCAGAGAATTTCTCCAAGTGTTCCTCTTCCAGGAATCCTTCTGGATACAGGGGGAGCAATCCCTCGTACACAGATTCCTACAACAAATCTTCTGTTTTACTCACCGTTGTCAACGTTTTTGTTTTAGTCAGAGGCTACTATTGACGCGATATAGAGGACCTTTGGTACTCATTCTTATAATAAGTCTACTATTATACCAAAAACAAAACTACACTCTCTTCATCTGGGTAATGACACATATTGTTGTATCAAAAAGTTTTTAATTACTATTAGGCCCAAAATTCACAAATGTTCTGTAAATTTTGAATCCTTCATCTGAAGATTTGCCATATGCAAGCATTACTGAAATATGAAAAGATTCCTGAATAACTAGGATTTGTTTTCTCAGTTCAAATATTGCTTTCTTATTGAAAAAGTTAGTAAAGCTATAAGAAATGTTTGTAAAACTACTGCACAACTAGGATTATTTTCCTCAACTCAAATACTGCTTTCCAGTAGAAAAAAGTTAGTTAAGCTATAAGAAATGTTTGTAAAACTAGTGCTAGGTACCCACCTCATCCAGGCCGCTTTGGTGTGCATCCTTGGCTCTGCTGTGGAGGAGCAGAGGGTGGTTACACAACTGTTTTAAGGCTCCGATACAAATCAAGTGTGGCGCTCCCTGCAGCTGTCCACTGAGGCATGACCTGATCAGGCGACAGCTCAGCAGGACTCGGTACAGCTGCACCTGTAGGTCCGAAGGGCTACAGAACACCACCACCTCACCTGGTAACAGAGCAGATACATGTTACCTCAGCCTAGCAACAACTTTTTATGATTTATTCATTTATTTAAAAAAATCAAAGAAAAAATCCTTTGTTTTGTAAATCTGAAAATGTAAGAATAATATTTCTTTCCATTAGATAACCCAACAATTATTTGACAAAAGTAAGATTAAATATCCAACCAGTATTTGATAAAACAATGACCTATCTCATTTTTGCTTGGATTTGTTGTAGAATTCTAATAAATTTCAAAATTAAAATGGGATTGGAGTCCACAAATGAAAATCATTGTCTGCGATTACCAAAACAAAGTATCAACAGGTTTTCAGATTATAATTTTTACACCGGAGTTGATAGAATATTCATATATATTTGTATAAAGAATGATTGTGACAGATGAAAGTTATTTTTGTATACAGGTTGAATGCAAGATTTATTCTTGGTGAATGAATATTTGTCTGATGGTTGATTGTGGCAAGTGAGATTTTAGACGATAGATATACTTGTATGAAGATAAGACTTACTTTTTGGTGGTAGATATTTGTTATTGATCTCCTGTGTGCGGCGAAGCAGAAAGAGTTTGATGAGGCGAGACAGTTCTGAGGCACGTTCCTCCCCTATGTCTAGCACCTGCTGACTTGCTCCTGGCTGCCGGGATGCAACAATTGGGTTCTCATAAACATTCTTAAAGGCTGCGCTAGATCCTGTTGAGAAAAGAAGAAAGCACATTTTCTAATACCATATGATAATACCACAATATAACGATTTGGCCTTTCTGAAATGTCACCAATCTAGCTTTAATATCTAAATTCTCACTTCGAAGGTAGCAGCAGGCAGACTCAACAACCACTTTTTTGCACATACTACGTTTCTGAACAGTAAAAGATGCTGGTGCTCAATTTAATACTAATATTATTTTCTTTTTAATCTTCAATTGTCTTACAACAATCCTGAAACACACTTAGGATATTTTATTTATCATTCTTTTTGGCCTGGATGATAGAAGCAGGGGGTCTGAATGTGGGAAGAAACTTGAGTACCCAGAGAATACCGCTGTCATCATACTTTTCAAATCCGATTGAGAAATTGAACCCCAGCAATCTTTGTGAGAGGGGAGTGTGCTATCTACTGGTCATCCAACCACCCTGTATGGTAGATACATACCTAGTATTCCAGGGTTACAGAACTCCACAATGGAGAAGAACTCCTGAAGGTCATTCTGTATTGGTGTGCCAGACAGCACCACTCTCCTCCTGGTGGGCATCGACATGATCAGCTGTAAAAGAAATGTCATCAATAACTACAATTATATGCCTTTTTAATGTCTAATCAGTAAAAACATATGCATAGTAAATCTCAAAGCTAAAAATTGTCAACAGAATGAAGATTAGACAGTCAAACTATCACCATATCCTGCATTATTTCATTTATGTCAATTTTTCTTGTAAACAAATTAGCATTAAATTGGAACGAGACAGGTCGGAGTTATCTCCCCTGGCTCAATGGAGCATCGCTCAGCAGTTTATGCCAAACACAGTATTATGATCTAATATTGTAAAATGAACTTAATTTATGTCAATTGTGTAAGCTGAAATTCATCTTTTTTCCCACTTAAAATGGAATGGAAATTTCTTTTAAAAAAAAGAATGGATAAGAAACTCACTGATGTTGTTTTGATCGCTGTGTTTTTAAGTCGATGGCCTTCATCACAGATGATTAGATCGAACCGGAGTTTCTGGATCATATCGTACGCCCGTACAAACATCTCGTATGATATGATTAGGACAGGATAAATGGCAGTATTCACGAAATCCTAGAAAAGAGAGATAATCATCACAGTAACTGTTTCACAATCTAATTCTAATACCTTCAGGTTACGTTCTGTATAGATCAATTCGAAACGTGGACATAAACCAACAAATTTATATATAATATCTTTATATGTACATATTTAAAAAAAAAAATCAAATATATCTGACTATCTGTACAAGTTAAACAACTCAAAAGACTGCAAGAAAAGTGACTTCAAATTTTTAGCATCTATGATCATCAATGCAATAAGATTATATTACAAACTCTCTGCTACATCTACGTATACCGGCATCATTAAATGAGGAAAAAGATTTTAACAGAAGATCTCAATATAGCAATATATTTGGACATCAAATTCATTACCAAACAAAGCAGGTGTAATTTGATTCGAAAGTTAACAAGATGATCAGTGATAACTTGAATTTAACATATGGCCATACTAAAATGGTTAGTAGTTCTTCTGAAAATACAATTTGAAATTGGGAGCGAGAGGTCAGAATTGATTGTGTCGTGAGAAAATGAAATGGTGCAGAGTTATCAAAAGAGAAACTTGTATCCTGTAGGACACCGTACCTCGACACGCTGGTCTGTACTGACAGCGTACACAGACAAACGCTCACTGCCCAGCCATTTCTTAATTTCCTGTTGCCAGTTCTGTAACGCAAATATCAAAACTTTTAGTCAGATCAGGAATATTTGGATAAAAAATTTGAGAAGCACATACCACATCAGTAATAATTCATCAGTATAAATTTATAGCTTTTACAAGAATCATCTAAGAAATATCTAAAATGTAACGGTATACTGTTTTGAACTCAACATCATTGTCCTTGAGTTATCACTTCATGGTCTGGAACGTAACATATCAACTGTAACATCAGTGCATTTTAGGGAAATTTTGCTTATTTGTCAACAATGGAACTTCCAGGAAAGATTTTTGTGATAGAATCAACATTATATGGCTGGAGTAAGGGGGAAGGGAATTTATTGAAATTGTTAGTCATTGGCAAACTTTTGTGATGTTATCAACAATTTCAGACTGTTTATTTTGATCAAATTGATTACACAACATTCTTTCTTAAAGATTCAGTACCTTGACCAGACTGCCTGGGGTAATGATGAGAGCTTTCTTTATGACAGGTCGGCCTCCATAAGGTCCCTGCTTTAGGAGTGTCCTGTAATATAGTCATACTAATACCACATCCAATCAAAATTAAGTAACAACAAAAATACCTCAAAAAAAGTGAGGATTTAATAAAAATAGTTTGTTGTATTACTGTGCTGATTTGAGTGTACATGGATATTTCAACTTAAAATGCTCTATTCTTAACTCATTCACCCCTGAAATTTCTATTTCAACCTTTGAATTAGAAGAGTTCAAATGTGTCTTCAGGGGTGAAAAAGTTAACATCAAATTCAATTATTTTTTATTTTTTACAGATCATGGACCATATAGAGTCTTGTGCCTGATTTTTTTAATTAATTGTACATACCATAACAGAGAAATAGACTGTAGAGTTTTCCCAAGTCCCATGTCATCACTGAAAAGAAATAACTACTATAAAATCATAATTTTTCGTGGGACATTAAATATTGTTTATTTCGTGGATAAAAAAAATCCACAAAATTGAATCCCCACGAAAAAATAAATTTGGTATGATATACGTAGAGGAAAATCAGACATCATCGAAATATAATGTCATTGAAACAGGCTAGTATATAAAAACCACGAAATTTTTAACCCCACGAAAATTAATGATTTTACAGTAGTTAAGGATATCAATGCTACTGTACTACTGTTGTGTTTAGGAAAACTTACACCTTTATCAAATACTTCTTACCTCATTAATTATTCATGAATCACATTAATCTCAGAACAATTTGATAATGTCTGATGGATTAATTATAAAAATTATACACATACATGAAACACACAGCTTGTCTGAGATAAAAACACATATATGTAGATAACAGATAAGTGAACTGTTTTGATTTTTGACATGTATTTATTAAAAAACGAGCTTCTCTTAATACACACATAATGGATTTTGGCAGAAAGGCAATTTGAAGATGCTATGTTGCTTGGTTCAAAATATCATCAAACAACTTCACTTTTAGGTTGCTTCTGTGGTTAGGATTAAGGTACATTGTATTAAAATTTCTCACAACAGACAACCATCCTGGTTACATGGTCACAGCCATCAAATTTATTAGTTCAAAAGTGAATTTATCTTTGTTTTCTTACATATCAACTTACGCAAGTATGGCACCCTGGCCACTGAAATCTCTGAAGCCCATGATGCACTCGTATAGGAAGACTACTCCCTCCCTCTGGTGGGGGCGAAGGTGGGACGCTATGTGTGGGTCGACCACTACATCAACAATGGGCAGGGAGTTCTTGTTTGTAGACCACTGAAACAATACGAGACAGATACCTCTGTTACAAGACCAAGAATGATTATTTTTATAAACAACCTGTTATTTCCAATTTTGCTTTCATGAAAACAAAATTATAATAGAATTTACTGTTCTCCAATGAACAGGTTTTTTCTCTCAAACAATAGCAATGACTATCACTTTGATGCAAAGTGTTTTCTTCTGGGAGACAGAAGAGATGAATTGGAAAAATCAGAAAGCACATATATATATATGTATTTTTTAACTGAAATAATTAAATTCGAGATTAAGAGTAGGTGCTAACAAAAGACAAGCCACAAAGACTTGTAATACTTTAATTTGTAACCTTTCCTAGCATATAAGTCACTTTTCAGAAACAAGACAACTTTCATCATACTAGATTAGTGTTATTCGACTTGAGACCAGTGATCACCTGGTGTTGTTTGCTGGGTCTGGGCATCACCAGAGCTCCTGACTGGTCCACACTGTGTCGGGGCTGTAGCTGTGTGGTGGGGGTCTGTATCACATACAACACAACCAAGCCTGAATCTTAATACTCATCTTGTAATAGAATTTCAAGGCTCATCTTTTGAATATTAAGTTACAGAATGTAGAATCTATATTTACATTATAGATATATTGTAACAGTGTATTTGTACTTGTTTCAATAAAGAAAATAATGGGAAAATTGCACACACTTAATCATGTGCAACAATTGAAAAATATATGATTTTTATGAATGTATTGCACATCAAAATCAATACAGGGATTATGTCAGTGAGAACTAAATGTATATGTCGTGTACCAGTATTTAATGGAGTAACTATGGAGTAATGATGATTTTTTTTCAGTGAAGTTTTACCTCAGCTTTAGCAGCAGCCTGTGTTGAGTTGCCCTGGGTTTGTGGACTGACAAATGCCTTATTGACTCCAGCCTGATCTGCAAATAGGAACAAATTATGTACATGTTTATTTGGAAGAATAGAAAGGTCACATCAAGATTAAGGTGTGTAAACTCTAAACCATTATACTTTGAAATGATTCTGGTTCATGTTAAATTGTCTCAACAATTTTGGTTAAGTTTCGGCAGCTATGGTACTATAGACACATTTATATGAATATAAAAATAGGAATTATCACACATCTGATTACAATCTGGTTCCTCTATTGGCTCATCATTTTTTATAGCAAGTTTGGTCAACATAGGAGACATAACATGGAACATATGCTGCAGACAAACTTCTGTATTAAAGATAAACAAAGTGCCACACCTCTGTATATATTGGGGCACGAGACCCAATTCCAGTGCACTGCACACCTTCTGTGAGTGATGCAGGTATACTTCAAGTTTGATCAAGATATCTTTAACGGTTTAAAATGTACAGGCAGGTCAAGAATTTACTGAAAATGTTGCACTTATTTGACCTTTGACCTTCATGTGAAGGTCACAGTGACCTAATTCCAGTACACTACACACCTTTTGTGGGTGATGCAGGCACACCTCAAGTTTCATCAAGATATCTTTAACAGCTTAAAAGTTATGGCCCGGACAAGTTGCGATTAGAGGAACAAGAAGAACCAGAAGAAGAACCAGTACTTATACAATATGTCTCTCTTCATTCGAAGGTGAGACATAATTCTAAGAACGTGGATCCATTAATAAGTGGTCCCTGTACCTGACATTGAGGGTCTACACACAGATGGACAGGATGGTGTTTGTGACAATGATGAGGCTGAGAAGCATTTCCCCGACTTGAACTGTTGTTCTGTCATCACAGACATCACCTGTCAAAGGGAGATAACAAAAGTATTTCTCGGTCAACTGACCTGTCGCATACTATCTGAACAATTTGTGTTATCCCACTCTTTAATTACTTAATTTGTCAAAATCTGCCATAAAATTGTGATTCTTATAACAGGATACAAGTAAAGCAAATACAGTCGAAAACCTATGGACTCATGAAACAAGACAATGTGTGAATAATCGGGGATCAACTTTATCAAGAATCTAGGGAAAAAATCTATAACAACATCAAGCTGAAAATACATCGTAACCAGAAACAAACTGAGGTTTATACATACCTGGATTTCTTTGCCACCAACAGCTAGGGTTTCGTCATCCTTCAATGTTTCTAACTCTGTACATTTGTAGCCAGAAGATTTACCAATTCTAGAATGTAAATTATGATTCCTACTGAGGGTATATCACATTGTTTTAAGAAGACAAATGTTACATGTTACAAATATTCTAATTCTTACTTTGACCAAGATATAATTTTCTTTTACATCCAATATGATTTCACCAACATATTGAATTGATAACAATGAAATGGCTGTGATATACAATAAATCTCAAGCTCTAACCAATCTGCTATATAAACATCCTCTTGCCTCTATAAAACTCTTTATGGATCCTGGTCTCTCTCCAAATTTGATTTTTCAGTCCCTGAACTATAATCTTTTATTCTAAGACCTGCCTATTCTAGAGTAGACAAGCATGTATAGAAATATCAAGGAACATTTTGACCAGAAGGTTTGATGACATTTGACGACATTGGTAGCAGGTAATCCATTTATACTGTTGAACTTTATGCAAGTTTAAGAAAGAAAAAAAGACGTACTGTATTACAACTTGTCATATACAAGTATAGCAATAAAACATTGATTGATTACAAAGATAAAATGTCCTTACTCTTTTCCTTCCATGTCCAGCAGCGTCACTGATCTTCCTTTTGTGATAAGTATAGCTGGAAAGTCATTTTACAAACATTAAGTGAATCAATATTTATTTTAAATTAAACAAATTTCAGATTCACAAAATTCCTTTTAGATTCATTTTACTTGTAATTGTTAATTCCTCAAACTTTCACGTTTAGTATTCAAAACTTCATTCATAAACATGAATATGACAGTAGGCTGTCAATGTGGTTATTGTAACTTATTAAGACGACCTTGTTTGCCATCAGTAAAGTTATGAAACACAAATCTATGCACAAGTTTGAAATACTCACCATCTCCTTCCCATTTTTTGTGCTGTAAAAAAAATACAGCATATCAATGATCAACATGTTCTTATTTAAAAATTAGTAAAAGCACACGACTTAAAAAAATAATAGTATCACAAAATTAGTGAAATATCATGCATATTTTTTTTGCTATACCCATATTGGAGTGCTGTTATATGCTGCAATACCCAGATATAGTAATGTACTGTATAGTTTTGATTTAATACATTATTTTTTCTTTACTGTTATGTGGAAAAGTAAAACTCAGTGAAAAGTGCTATTTTTTTCAATTGGTTAGCTTTAGTTCTTCTTACTGCGTTGATTTTGTGTAGTCACTTAACTGCAAAAATTGAAATATGGCAGAACCTTAAAAAAACCATACTAAGTACAACATTTACTGTGCTTGACAATAATGGTAGCCTGGTAGTTGGAGACAAGTGAAATCTCCAGCTAGACTAGTGGTTCTAAAAACTGCTATTACGATTGACTACTCAAAATTTGATATTATTTAGCATGTTGAATAATTTGAAATAGTGGAATTTGCACATGGACTTGTACATTGGAAACTACTATCCCAACTGACTAGTGAGATTTGAAATAAATTTCTAGCTTTGATTCAGCGACAACACAGACAAATGGCAAGTCTACCTTTTTGTTTGATCTCTTACACCACATCACATTCAGGTATCTTGTCTGTCCTTCTGTAGCTTCCTCTACAATCATTAAATCAGTTAAGATATTTTTATTTGTAAATCACAGTGGTGCTACTGACAGGATTATAACAACACCCAAGAAACAGGCTTCAACATCCACTACATAATTTATCTAACTGACATTAAAAACACACAGGAAATTGATAATAACCAGTACTCCAAATCATGTTTTATTTAGTATACTACTGAAACATCTTACTTTATCAAAAACAATGTATTTGCTCAATAACAGTTTTGTAACAAGCAAGGTGTTCACCACATAATATTACCTTGAGTCACATTTTTGTTAGTTTCCTGATTTTCTCCACTGGATGGACGCACTTGTAAGGGTACCCTAAAATGGGGTCTAGAGGCTTTGCTGACGTCCTGATGTGGCTGATCAGGAACGGCTGGTTTTGTCAGCTGTGTTCTGTTGACAATGAAGCAAATATATATATATATATCAAAATGGGGCTTTGTGATTACTCCCATTTAATGAGATCTTAACTACTGCATCAATTAGTTAAGCATCAATCATCAATTCCATTATCACAGGAACAATTATTTACAAACATCACATACACATATAAGTAAAAGTCCCAATTACCAAAAGGTCAGTTTGTGAAATGTGAAACATAAGTAACTGAAAGTATATAGTTACCGACATATGTATGTTTGAAATACCTGACAGGGCATTAAAGCGGGCTCTCCTTATATAATCCTGTTTAAAATGTCAACTAAGAATAGCTATTATTCCAAAACAGTTGACTTTAAAAAAAAAAAAAATGCAAATTGTTTATGAAATTGTTAAGTATTTTAGTAAATATTAACACAACAACTTAATTGCAGGCACAGTATTTCAGTAACAGCATAATCAGTTTCATTACTCTGAATCAACAACACTTAAAAAATCTAAATTTCGTTTTCAAATGTTGACATATATATATTTTTTTTGAATATTTACACTTCTGCACGGGCTGTGGAGCTTTTCACATCTACTTCTGGCTGAGGATCAGTGGTTATGACTGGCTTTGATTGGGAGCTTGGTACAACCTGAAACAAGGAAAGATACCCAAGTTAAATATATATACACTTTTTTGGTAACAACTATTATATTTCTGAAATTTTGATATATCATTTAGTATTAAACAAACCATAAATTTAATCTGAGCCTCATCATTTTTCAGGGGTCGACACTAACACTAGTCAGCTAGTCCTGGACTAGTAGATTTTAGCAAGGACTAGTGAATCACCTAACCTAACTGGTCCTTTGGACTTGTGAAAATATGATCATAAAATAAAAATGTTCCTTTTTAAAATTCAGAAAACTGCTTAAAATCAGATATATTGCATATTAATTGTAAACATTTTCCTAAAACTTCCCTATATTTTTATGGCAGTAGCTATTTTAAGTCCCCTACAGTAGATTTCTTTTAATGTTTCGTGCAGTAGATCACGACGTTTCCTTATCAGGAAATCTTGGACTAGCTACATTGACGAAGGACTAGTAAATAATCTATTCAACTAGTCCTGTGGACTACCAAGCAAAAAAAGTGTCTAACCCTGTTTTTAACAAGACTTACCTGCTGATTATTACTTTTCAGGACAGGAGTCTTGAAGGGAGCTGAAAACCTGGGACGTTTCGCCACACCCCCTTGACTTGGAGCACCAGACCTCCTCATACTGCGAAGCTACCGTTGTTAATCCAAATAAATTTGTAAATAGCACATGGCTGTTTCACAACTGGAAAAGACAGGGATTAAAATAAAGATATTATTAACAATGAAGGTTAACACTGTGCATGTAATGGCAGACAACTTGTGAATTTTGCTTTCATTTCTGGGCATGTTTGAATATGATTTAACTCATCCTAACATGAATTTTTTTTTGATTATCCAACAAATTTTCTGAAAATTCAGCTTAAATCGAACAATGTAAACTGATCTTTAAAAATAACACAGGTTTTGTATGTAACAAAATCTTGTTTAAGTGATTAAAGCGTGGCAGGTGTTATTTTTACTTATCAATGAATAAACATAGAAACATCTTATTTTGAGATTCAGCATGCATCATCATGTGTCTTGAAAGTGGTATAGTCGCCCAAAATGTCAACCCCCAGGCCCTTACAAATCATTTTTACATAATATAAATAAATATCAGAATTCAGAGATGTAATTTGGATATAATTTTAATGAACCAGAATGAACCAGAATGAACTTCATCCTTGATACTCCAGGGGTTATGCTCACTTTCGCTCTCTGCACCCCTGACATATGTGATAGCAAAATCGAAGGCTCAGTGTGCACCACTTTGTGGATTAGACAAGAAGACTTGTTTGATCCTTTGGTGTACATCAAAAGTTTGTATGTCGCATAACAGTAAAATTGACAGGTTTTGAAGTCACATTTTGCTACTCTGTAATTTTCACAGGACATGTATCAGCCTATCGATTGGTCAGGTTTTTTTTTTTTACCAGAGACCAATCAAATAGCTAGCTGTGTGCCTTCAATTTTGCTAGGACATATTCCAGGGGTGCAAAGAGCAAAAGTGAGCGTAACCCCTTGATTATCGAAGATAAATGAATTGTAATTTATTACAGTTACCTGTACTCTAGTCACTAGTTACATGGCTATGGCAGCTATAATAAAACTATTTCAACAGCATCGAATAAACTCTTAACAGTAGCTATGTCAAACTGTTATACATTCAGGATTATTACCAATATGAGATGTGTCCACTCCTATTACCTGATAACAAAAGAGGCCGACTGTCGACTATATTTTATTGGATATGATAATGGAGAATGCTATTTGGCGCTTGTAATAAGTATTGTTGAAGTATCTAGAGTTGTTTCCAACTTGTTATTGATATAGGTCGGTTAGCGTTCGTTTTCTATTAATGGGAAATTTTACTACTTATGTTTATGACTTCCGTCAACATCATCCAAAACCAACTTTAAGGCCAGTATGCCTTGAGGACATGGAACACGGATGTATACTTTGTTTGGCTATTTTAAAAACTACGCACTATCCTCTAGTGAACATTTCTACACTGAATTGTGATTACTTATGCTTTACCTGACGCTATCTCAATACCTGTGATTTGTTTACCAGTAAAATTTCACAATTGCCGCCATTTTGTATACAGGAAGTGGTCTGAATTACCTCCCTTGTTCTGCAAGAGGTCTAATTGGCATGTATTAAACGGTGATTTCTATTTTTGGTTTATTTTTAAATGTATTTTATTCAATAATCCAACGTAGTTGTAAGATACATAAGAGTTGGAAACAAATCTTAATTCATACCACTGACTTGTTATATACCGACAAATGCTGAAATTTATAATTAATACTGAACAACTGTTACAGCTGCTTAATATGTCTTCTTCTTTAGGGTGCAGGGGCTCCATCCATCCTGGATTATAGTATAGGTGTATTGACAGACGAGGCTAGTACCTGTGCTCCATCAATGTGCTGATGATTATGCCCTCCGCGGTCCTATTACAGAGGCGTGAAAAAGGGGTTATTTACAGTGATCAGGTGTTTTTTTGTGCAGGGTATAGATAAAAGGTAAAAGCTGGCGTATGTTTTAGCGTGTGATGAGGGCTTCAAGGGCTGCATCTACGGTATGTGTGCCTTGAAATCCCATAGTGTTTTGCATTGTACTGCTGCTATGGGAAGGAGATTCCATCGTGTGATTGTGTGTGTAAAGAATGAATATGTATGTGTAGGTGTCCTTTGTAGCAGATATGTATGCGTGAGGGTGTGCATGTCTGGTTCGAGGGTCTACCGATGTGAGTATATATGTTGGGTTTATTGCTACGATTTGGTGTACAATTAAAAAAATAAGATTATGGTGTTATAATATCTGTTGTTTACGTAGCGTGCTGCTCTTCGTTGTGGTTTTTGTTTCTATTTGTTTAATTTGGTTCTGTGTTGTGTGGATCCCAAATGGAAGAGCAATATTAAAGTTTTGGTCTGACAGGTGCTTTGTATGCGTGTTCTTTTATATGTGGTGAGATTAGTTTTAAGTTGCGTTTTAGAAAACCTAGGGACCTATTGACATTGGCTGTAATGTTGTTAATATGTTTGTCCCATCGTAGGTTATTTTGTAATGTAGTCATAGTGTATTTTGTTGCGTTTCGGTGTAATGTTGAGTATGTTGCATTTGTCAGGTGAAATTTCATTAGCCAGTCTGTCTCCCATTATCCCGCTGCGTCAAGGTCATGTTGTGGTATCGTCTTGTATATGATGCTGTCGTCTGCAAAGAGTCTCAGTGTACTGTACTGCATGTATTCGTGGAAGTCATTGATGTAGACGAGGAAGAGGACGGAGCCCAAAAAGGTTCCTTGATGGACCCCAGAGGTTACTTGTATTTTATCTGATTGTTCGCCCTCAAGTACTACTGTTTGGGTACGGAATGAGAGCTAGAAAGTCTGTAACCCATGCGTGTGTTCCCTGTTATCCCGTAATATTTGAGTTTGTACTGTAGACGTTTTTGTAGGACTTTGTCAAAAGCTTTGGCAAAGTACATAATGATGATGTTGTTTGATGCGAGATCGTGTATGAATGTCGTGAGCTGTTTCACTGGATCTGGAGGATCTAAAGCCGTGTTGTAGGTCATATACTATGTTGTTGTTCTCTAGATGTGTCATTGTGGCGCTTGTTATGATGTGTTCCATGAGTTTACATGTGATGCAGGTTAGTGATATTGGTCTGTAGTTTGCTGGGCTGTACTTGTCTCCTTCCCAGCCACCTTTTTTTTGTATACTTGGTGTAATTACCAATTATCAATTAATGATGATACTGATAGATTAACACTTTGAGGGTCCCTGGGTGGTTGAACAAGGCTTTGCTAAGCGCTTATCTAACAAATAATGTATCTAAATGTCCACGAATGCCAATTGTTATTTTACTTCAGAAAAAAAGAGTAACAGGACAAAAAAGCACCAGTTTCACAAATATCTACAAACTTATAAAAAAAATCCTTAACTTGACCAGAGACGTATTAAGCCATAGTATATACTAGTACGTCGCTCTGACTTGAGCTGACCGTTTGAAAACACTATTGGCTTTAAGGGGAAATCTTCAGTTAAGAAAATTATGCAGAACTCAAGTTAAACGTCTGAAACAAAAGAAATAGCTTGCTAACGAAGGAATTTCATCAGTTATAATTACATAAAAGGCGTTGAAGAATTTGTTGCCTGTATACCTTTGCGCTTCCATGACAGTATCGTCGGAAAATCCACGTACATAATTAACATTCATGTAATATTTTGTTTGTACATTTATATGTCATGTTATGCTATTTAGCCTCCCTTAACTCTACCACAACCCCCTCCAATACGACTATATATTCAATTCAATATGTTATCGCCCATTTTTAGTTACACGGTAACTTGAAGGCAAATAACAAAACAACATACATATAAAGAAAGTTCTAAAGTTTGAACAACATATAAACATACACAGAAGCCAGGCCCACACTCTTCAGCTCAAGTGCATATGCGGTAACTTTTCCACATTAAGTTGAACTCAATGAAACTACCAACTGGCAATGCAAGTATTCAGACAGCAGCCGAAAATAAGGCCACGATCAGTTATTTGCGTTGGCATCGCTAGAGACATTCTACTGGTTCATATTCAATTTCAAGGGAATGACAGAACCTATCCATTACTATTATGGACAAACGTGTAAAAAAAACTATTTTTCTATTTTGACTTTCATACATCGTTTGACTCCACAGAAACCTCCGTAGCAAATATCACCATTTTGCTAGAAACATTTGTGATTGGGTTCCGTTTTCCAATACTTCTTATATTTGTAAACAGTACATTATCTCTCCCAAGACCCGCATCCGTTCTGGCCGCGGTGAAACGTTCAATTTGCTCCTGATAGTGTTGCATTTTATCCCTGATGATGCTGGTTCTTTCATGAAAAAGTCGGCAAGCTGATAAATGCCTGTTGTTGTTGGGATTATCGATATTTTTCTGATTTCATTTGGGTGTCAGTTTCTCTGTCTAGACGTTATTCTCGGTGGGCAAATGTTCTCCGTTGTTGGTGTCTTGTTAAGGTCTTGGTAAAGCTAGCAGATTTTTTTATTAATCTACCATACGGGATGTGATTTCTGAAGAAAGCGATTCTTCGAATTTTTATTGCATGACATTCCTAACAGTTCATCTTCTTACCACATACATACATACATTGGAAACACACTAATTCAATAAATAATTTCGTCTGTTTTCCACATGTGTTCTGATGTTTATATGGTACCAGATTCTTATCATCAAAGGAATTTTCCTTCGCGATAAAATTTAAAATTTTCTTCTTATGATTATTCCTATCTCCGTGTTATAATAGTAATCATGTTCCAGAGATCCTGTCTGCGTTTTGCATGGATTGACCAGCAGTTAAAGTGTGAAGACAGTCCGACGGAAAGGGACATACCCTTTTTCAGCGACAGACTGTTTCAAATACGAGAGTTTCTCAACAAATCAAGTACATTTCTAGTCGCTTAACACAGAAAGTTATTGATTTGTTCAATCGTTTTATAAATAGCTCCATGTTTGACTGTGATTCATATACAAACGAATGCAGAATTACCAGAACCCAGAGGTTCATTACATTCTGCAACAGACCGAGATTTCTGTAACTTTGATTTGTCAGGCATTAGTACAAGCGATAAAAACACATACCTCATTTAATTCAAGTGAGATTCATAAGACCCTCTACGCGGTAATTTATGTTTTGACCGTGGTCGCTCCAGGATCTAAGTACTATCCTTAGTTTGCCTTCCGGTAACCCCTGGAAAAACTTCAAAAGGTATCAACAGTAACAAAACAGGTTTTTTTTATTACGCTTGAGAAGCCTAACCTGTATCCAATATGGTCTGTTTCTTAGAGACTCAAGTGAAAACAAACATTGCATGAACAAATAACAGCTGTAATGTAAAACTATAAATTGTCAAAGGAGACGACAGAAATGAGCTTACATGTAGTTTGACTATTGTGTACATATTACGGAAACCATAGCAAAACATGTTGTTTAAAGTTCAGTTCTGTAAAGTAAAACAGAAAAATGCAACATTACAACATTAAAATATGATAATACACCACAATACTAAAAGACGAAATCCGAACCCAAGGTCGATACGAAAAAGGAAAGATCAATACACAAGGAGATATCAAAAGCAAAGGGACAAAAACCGAAATCAATGTCAATAAAAATACATTTAAAGGGTGAGGGGTGACAACAAAAAGAAAGGACAAATTTGACAAAATCAGAAGCCATAGTTGATACAAAAAGGCAATAAAAATGTGGAGACACCAGAAATAAAAGGACAAAGTCCGATCTCAAAGCCAATACAAATATATTTGAAACGATGAGGTGTGATGCCAAAACCATAGGACGAATTTGATAAAATCCGAAATCAAAGTTGATACACTTGAAAGCAAATTAAGTTAATGAGAAGATAGAAAGAAAAACCAAAACCAAAACCAAACAAACAAAAATGTAAAACCAAACTTTAAAAATGGACAAAATCCGAATTCAAATTCAAAACAAAAAGACAAATTGTGGATCAAAGGAAACAACAAAACAACATGACAAAATCCAAACATAAAGTCGAAACAAAAAGACAAGCTCCATATGCATCCGAGGAGACAACAAAAGAAAAGAAAAGACAACATGAACCTGTACATTAAAGGATTTTAAGTCACATATCAAACGACTGTCTTGAAATGCATTTGGTGTTCTCAAATAAAAAATGTTTAAAATGTAAATAAAACATTATGTAATATATTTGTATACTGCTCGGCTCCGCTTTATTTATTACGCTTCACAAGATGTTTGTATCTTGCTTCACAAACAGAAAGTGTTAGAAATGTAAATAAAACATTTTACAATATGTATTTTCCTCTTATTTATGACGGTGCATAAGAGGTTTTCATTTTACTTTTCTAAGTTTTAAACCCGATACGGACTATTAAACAACACACCAATTCACCGACGATTACACTCAGGGGTTTAAGGTATATAGTAGCAGTTTGTACTTGTTCGTTTAAATTCCCTCTCTACACGAACAGCCATATAAAACATTTGCTAATACAAAGACTGTATGGTCGAACGCCAGATCGAACATTGATATTTCAGGGTTATTTGGTTAGCGAACAAGTGGCAAATCACCGACATTTCGCCTCGTCGATAGTTTTGACAGCCATGATGTATATCGTATACTGCAAACCTGTTGACATTGTGTGTGATATCTATGTTGGATTTCCTCTGTAAATTTTTATATACATAATGGATTTCGAACGGTAGGCTCCCTACCTATGATTTACCTGTGATCTACCTGTGAGAGGTAGTTATCTACGTTAGATTTACCAGTGTTGTCTAGCGAGTGAGAGCCGTATTTATAGTTACCCGACATTGTATGTTCGATCAAGGATTTGACTGCTTGAACAATCATCGCAGTGAAAGGTAACGTTTAATCTTTTAACACTTTTAATAGGAATTATCTGCTCAAGGTAAATTACCAAAATGCCGGAAGCAACATGTTTCAATACTTGTCTAAATTTCTGTCATAATATGTCTGTATCAATAGTGAACGATAATATGTAGCTTTTCGCTGACATAAATATATATTCAACTGATTTACGATAAATAATATGGTGAATTTATGACTTTGTGAATGAAATTTTGTGCTAAATATCCTGCAGATATCATAATTTATTATCCACAACAGATTAAAAAAAGGATATGATTCACATTTACATGTATACGTAACATGTTGTATAAAATATCTGGAGATGTATGTAAAATGGGGGGAAAATACCACAGCGTTACTTTAAAACAGAATTCAATAATCACGTAGCTTCACCATAATCATGAGAAAACGGTTCTAAAATTAAAGGTACTACTTAGAATAGCAGTATCCCTTACAAGTGCTCCAGTGTCGCTGTGACACACACGGTCCTAAGTAAGTTTGTTGTCTCCAAGTAAAGAGAAAGGTATACATGTTTTATGATTCCACTGAGGAAGTTTTCGACTTTTATTCGTCACCGTTGTACCCAACATTTTGTTATAGTATAACTACCCATTACGACAAAATCAGACAAGACACTGACATGTATAACGCCATTCTGATTCACCGTTCACAGAGTCCTTTTGTTTTGCTATCACCTTGGTTCCTGGTGATGCCATTGTTTTCTTTGATTTTCATTTCACTCTTGGTGATTGTTTACCGTTTTGTATATACATTATTGAATAACGAAACATACCGATGGTTTGACACTCGGGCATTTAAAATATTCGTAAACACCAGCCAAACTTCCATCTAAGTAAGAAAACAAAGGGTGATACCCTAACCTTTACACAAACACACGACACCGCTGTCGACCGCTTTCTCGACAGCTGACAATTCTATTATATACACATAAACGAAGACCTTCGAGACAACCCGAGTATGAAATAATATGTTATCAAAAGGTTTAAAATCCACGAAACATCAATCATTGGAGATTGAACATCCACCATGACGCCGATCCGTTTCCACAATAATCTAAGGGATATGATAGCACGCCTAATTAGATCGACATTCCGCGAGGTACACAGACACAAATTGTGCCATTAGGGAGGTAAATATTGCCATTCAATATTTTCAACACTGACATTGACACTGCCGATGAAATCCATCAATACATTCTAACCATCTAACCCCGATTTTTCATCGAATTTTACCTGCATGGCTGCTCAGTAAATGAACATTATACAGAATCAAAGCTGAAACTAGATACCCGATACTTCCCTGTAGTATTTATAAAGGTTATAAATTCATATTAAAGCGATACTGTTCGTTTTAATAAAACTTTTGTCCATTGCATATAACTAATGATGAAGGTAATTAATGAAACTACAATAGAAACAAAAGCGAAAGAAAGGTAAACACGAACCTCACTTAATTCCATTGTCATAATAATGTTTTGCAGTCATGCATTTACTTAGTCGGCATTCAGTCAAGTTCATTTTGAAATCGGAATACCAGTATAAAAGTTTTCACCTACAATTGCACACCATTATACCAAATAGAATGAAGGGCGTATGGAGGTTTGCACATAGAAAATATTACATTTAAAGCTCATTGAGTAGCATTTTATCATTATCTTTTCAAAATCGAAATTGGCATATCACAGATATTCATATTTGTATAACTATGTTGGGGATATTCTATCCGTGGATCATGCTGACGTATGGAGCACTGTGGAGACGTACTTCAATACACCATGTGTAATCTTTTGTTCGTGTATTTTTTTCTGGATATAATCAGCCATGGTATTGTGTATATATACTATTACCCGTTCTTCATTAGTCTACAGTTAACTTTCTCCAATAGTCGTGATCAGACATTGGTGGTTGAGAATACTGAGTATAGTTAAAGACGACTTATTACAATGTCACATTCAAGTAGACTAGCATAACTAAATGACGCACATTTCTGACAAAACCGTTTTCGAAGTGTTCTTTTTTTCTATTATAATTATTCCTTCAGAAAGTAATAATTAATATTTCTACAATACATGACTGGAAGAGGCCGAGTTAAATATATTTTATTTTCAAAACATTATGATGTAACTGTTATCTGACAGCTAGTCTTCCGAATTCTCGCTGCCATAACAAGGTAATGATCATGACCGAAACATATATAATATATGACCTATGGACCCACAGGAAGAGAAAATAAAAAAGTAAAAAATACGGCATAGGTACTCCAAACATAAATATGGAAACTTATTACTAAACTTTATAGTGATATTTCACAATCTCTTTAAGTTTATATTGTTACATCAAATGAATAAAAGGGAAAATACTCTTTCGGCAAACTAGTTTAATAGCGGCTCATTGCCCTTTACGCTGTATTCTACATCTGTTTCTAAGCACCTTAGCCATGTTTTTAAAAATACTTTTGACCTTTGCCTTTATTGACGAGTCTAAAGTGGACAAAATGGTCATATGGTGCGGTGCAATAAATCATTACTCTGTTTAGCTTTCTGCATCGACAGTTTGACAACTCGACTGATCGACATATCGATTATCGACATAGTTACCTCTTACTGTGTTTCTCTCCTCAGTATATTTGAACATATTTGACTGTTGATTCGATACTGATACCGAGTCCGACAGATGGATCTTGATGACTAATACATTATGTAACCATGTTTTTTCAAAGACAAAATAGGCCACATTTCAGTCGTAACCAAGACCTTATTTTCAACTGTGGGATTTCAGTGTCCGCCAGGATGTCTTCAATGTCATTGATTTTGCAGAAGACGTGATAACGGGTGACATATAAAACGCTTATTCTGAGATGATGGGAAAATAAAATTCAAGTTGAAGCTGGAAAAAAACCACCAACAAAAGCGCTTACTCTTCGTGAGCACTTTTCCGATCTTATCCTAATGGGTTGACGCTGTAGTATATAATTTTCTCCATTTCATTTAAATATTAGTACACGTAATTGGTGTTCAACTATTGAATCCAGTCAGTTTACATGTCGTTATCATAGTAGATAACCATCATCAGCAGGCCAGTACTCGGTGTGTTATCACATATTAATGTTACACTTTCTTCATTGCATTCCTTAGATTGAAAACACATCATTCAAGATGGGATTAGATCCTCGTCAATTCGTTGATGCAGTGGATGAAAAATACATATGCAAATTATGCCACAAAGTCTTTCTGGATCCAGTCGAGAACGTCTGTGGTCATATCTTCTGCAGCTCTTGCATCAAAAAACGACTTAAAGGTGACATGGCAAAGCGATGTCCAGTGTGCAGTGCCCCGTTGACCACAAAAACGGCACAACCTTCGATGGACTTCCGTTTAGAGCTATTGAATCTACAAATTCGTTGTCACAATAAATGTGGGAAAACCTTCCCTCTGGCCAACCTTCCTGATCACATGGGGGACGAATGTCCGAACACGGCCGTGCCCTGTCCGAACATTTCGAAAGGATGCAAGAAAAAAATCCGCAGATGTGATATTAAGAAACACGTTGAAGAATGTGACTTCCGCGAAGTGGAGTGTGAAGCTTGTGGTTTCGTAACTGTGTATTGCAACCTTTTTACTCATCAGAGTAGAGTAAGGTGCCTTGAAAAGAAACTCAAACAGCAAGTGATCAGAGAACAGCGTAACCAAGCCAATGATATCAAAAGACATCGGTCACAACTCACAAAGTTAAACGTTCGCCGAGATGTAGAAGACAGGAAGGCATTTTTAGAACACGCTAGACATCTTAAAAGTGGAAAACATAAAAGGCACGGGTCCATAGAAAATCTATCTGATAACCAAACTCGTGATGTCTTCTTGACAGAGCTCGTAAATAACCAAGCTCAAAGTGATGACGGGTCAAGTCCCCCTCCTCACCCTTCCAGGACAGGCCACGCCGTGTTTTCGTGTGTCAGGTGTAAAAAGCTGTACAACGCAATGTCTAACAACGAGAAAGCATGTCGATGGCACGCAGGGGTGAGTTCCGTTCCTTGGATGGAATAATTTTGTTAATAACTCGTATTCACTCTAAAAGCTGTAACGCATGCCATTAAGATGGTAGCCGTTAAGAAAAGCTTATCAAATTAAAGAACCAACAATTTTAGCAAAAAAATAAATAAACCAGAATAACCAAATAGAAAAGAAAAAAAAAAGAAAGAAAAAGCGACGTAAGCCAGCAAAATTGATGTCTATAAAGAGGAACAAGTTATATTTTACAAACTTATTAATATTATTGCTCTTCTTTTTCACCTGCCTGTGTTTCTTCCTAACAACGCCACCGTTTCTACCAAACAGCCGGTAAGTATATTCGGACACACATTTACATATGTATTAATCCATTATTGTCCTGTCAAATCGGTTTCAATCTATCTTTGCAAGTGTGAGGACCTATTAAAAATGTTCTATTTACTAGAATAAGAATGCCCAGATAAAATAAGAAAGCATTCATCGCCCGTATATTGTTATTGGTACGTATTTTCAATATTATTCTACTTCCATTTTGGGTTCCATGAATCGTATTTAATAAACAGGTGATTAAGAAGGTATATATTTATTTTCAATTTCATTTTTCATATTTCAATTCCCTTTACGTTAAGCCTTACGTTTCAATATGGGATCTTGCTTCGTCTTTCAGTAATGCAATTATGCTAGCATGACCAGTATTAAATAAGTGGTTGAGGCAAGCATAAAGGTGCCACACTTGTACAGAATGTGTTCACCATATATCAGGATTAGAAAATCCCAAAACAAAACATGTGTTTGTGAGTATCAGTGCAAATATTATTTACTTAATATCAAGACTTCGATAAACTAAAGTGGGACAAGGCTCAACTCGCTAAGTCGTCGCAGGGAAAGCAAATAATCAAATTACATATGAAGACAAACGCTCCTCTGTTTACGACCAATAACACATTTGATAGTCGTCGACCCTTAGAATATGTTTTATAATGGTAAAGCTGTTTTGACGGAGTATTACTTAGTAATAGTTGAAAACTTTAATTCCGAATTTCTTGAGTGTCACTAGGATAAGTTGAAAATAAGAGCAAACTGAGGTCAAAATTGTCGAGATCAGTTGGGTATTTTGTTCAGACTCGAAAACCGAGCAACAGATTTAGCGAAATAGACTGTACACATCAACATTAAAAAATCTGAAGTGTTCCACACATCATATTATACCATAGTAAAGTTCATTTCTTTCTGATATAAAATCAAAGCCTGTCTTCGCCCGAAGTTGCCCCGAACACTACATTATTATCTGTATACACACTTTACTGAGGCAAAGGTGGTTGATTAGTCTATGGCCCACAATATAATACCTGTTCCCGGTCGCTGAAGGGCCTACACAGGCCAAACGTCAGAATGTGAATTGATTATATCACGTCCCAAATGTAAATATTTGCCAGGCTTAAATATTTGTAATACGAATTATCACGGCAAGTGCGCTATCCGATAGGGTCGCAATGGAGAGTAGGAAATTGTTTACAACGTATTATTATACAAATGATCGAACTGTCATTCAATGCCCTTCACTTTCCTTAAATACATATCTTTTCTAGTTCTGCGCTGATTAACACGACTATTTTAAACTTGGATACGGGTAAACAAAACAAGTTAAATCTGACTCTTATACCCGTGTCTATAAACAGTAAAGAAAAAAGGTATTTCGGACTAGGTTAATCCAATTTTATTACAATTTTGGGTTCAGTAATTTGCGTGATACTGCCTTATTAAGCATATAATGTGTTGTAGATACCGGTACTTCTCTGATCGTTTTTACATAACAACCGTTCTGTACTAGGTATGGTTTGTATCTTATCAAAAAATCTTAACCCTTTCACCACTGTAGACCAAAATGGACTCATCCATGTTAGAGTTTACTAAAGTTAGGATTGAAAGGGTTAATAAATTATATGAGTTGCATGCTACGATAAAGCACAGTAAAACCGTCCAATTGAATTTTGGCAGCATAAAGGGGCTTGGCAATAAATCGAGGGAGAAGTAGAGGACTTATCAGGAAAAGGATAAGGGGCACAATTGGATAGGTTTGCGGTAAGCGAGATGACAAGTTATAAAATACGAAGGTCATTATATATACATTGTATATGTATTAAATATGTTATAAAGAACATACGTCATTGATTGTTTCTCATATTGTGCATTTTGCTTTTTTTTTCATTCTGCGACTATCATACCTGCTGATCATCAGACCGTAAGTATTTTTCTTGCCTTTGACAACGAAAACTCCAACGTATTTCTTTAATGACAAGCGAAACTCAGTTATGTAATTCCACCTATTTAATAGCATCTGCATGGATTTAATTATTAAATTTTCAGGAATTTTATTTTAATTTTAATCTTGATTTGACCGTTAACGAAACAGTTTTGTTTAAAATAGTTACATAATTTGCAGTTAGTATGTTTATACAAATGATTGACTCATTCGTGTTTTCGTTATCTTTGCAGATGGATGTAAGTATAGACATTTTTTTCATTTTTTGATATTTGCTTTTTCTTTTTTCTAGTTTAAGACTAAGATTGTGTGAGACTATAGACTTATATTTTGAAAATGTAGTCCACGAACCAGAAGTAACTTAGTACAGTCATGTAAAACAAGCGTATCCCACAATAATGAATCTGAGTTTTGTATAATTTGATGTGGGAGAAAAATGTATAGTCATATGTCATATGGCCTCACTTGCACGAACAGCTCAAAGCTAATGAAAATCGAGAGCATTTTTTCCACCGATTAAAAAACTTAAAATTAAGGCAAATGAAGACTTCAGATGTTTGACGCCTGATGATTTTAAAAATATACATTACATAGACGATTTATTTATATACTTATGAGTTATTTAAGCTATACTATTATTTCTGTGTTTTTCGAATTGCTGTGCTTTCGCATGACTGTAAGTGGGTTGGAGCCTTATTCCAATAGCATAGTAATGCGAAGGTGCAGGATTATAATTTTCCTCTGTTTATGCCAATTACGTGTGGTTCAGATGTTAATAGAAGTTCACTTCCCTGTCAGATGAATCAAATAAAATATTGAATATGATGTTTCATATTGGAAAATAACTTTTGTGAAAAATGTACAATTGCACGACAAAGTTCAATTTCAAACTATTAATAAAGTTTTCCGTCAACGGAAGATATTCATAAAATGTTTTATATAATACAGAAGCGTTACAAAGTGGGCAATATTCGAAATTTATTCAATATTAATAGATATGATAAAATGTTTTGCTCTATGCATTTGTCTGTAGTCTAACAATGTTTCTTTTCGTTTTGTTCCGTTTTCTCTATTGACCCTGCTTGCCGTACTTCATACATCATCGATTGCTTCTCCTGGATAGGTGTTCGTAAGTATAATAAAAACCCACTAACATCGTTGAGGAAGTACAAAAGCACAACATCACTATATTTGTTATATCCAAATTTTACCAACGTTAGCATTGATAGATATTGAACTTTGATACAACTGGACAGAATTTGAACTTTGTAACTTCAGTTATTACAGGTTATATTTGCATTTCATCAATATTTTTTATGTAAGCAACTTTGTCAAAGATGTGTTCCAAAAACGTTTCGGCAATGTCGTGAAATTAAATTAGTTTTGATACAAGGGGAAATCTTATAGTCCATTGATACACTCAATTCCGTTCGGGTATAAACTGAACCGGGCCATGCTTTTTCTATGTATAGATACATGCCTCACATTTTAGTTGCGCTGTGTTCATATTACTGAAGTATATAGGGGTTATAAGTTCACATAAGTTTGATAAAGGGGTAAACTTGCTATAACGCATTAGATGTTTAAATGGTGAAAAATTGACTAAAATCATTGGGAGTCCATCTTTAAAGAACGTCATTAATAACGTGTATCTTTAACACAGTACCTGAAAATTGTATTGTGTATTGACTTGTTCATTGTTAATATAGTTTATAATTAAAAAAGAAATTGAAACATCAATTTGAAATCATTCCAATGGTTCAGAAAAGTTCATTTCAATTTATTTGATATTTTATCATTAAATGTCATAGCGGTTTTTAAGTAAACATATAATAACCTTGGGCATGATGGATGTTGTTTTCATATGAATGAAAAACTAATTAAACTCTTTCTTTTTATCTTTTCGTCGCTCTTGCCGTGCCAACCAAAAAGGGGGTAAGTACCTAAAATTATTCCTTGTATAACGTTCGATATTAACTTACTGATATACACAACATCAATCAAACGAGGTTCAATATGTATGTATACACCATTAACATATATTATATCAATAAACTTACAACTAATGGGGAAAATGTCCAATAGGAATAAAATATAAATAAACATAATGACAGAAGTATGTAAAAACTATTTAAAGTACATGTTGTATATAACAAAATATATAATGTTTAATATTTCCACAAATAACGCAATTGTTTGTCTTTTTCATATGCCTGGTAATCTTACAACTACTATTTGTTACAGGGGGTAAGTCTAGTTTCATTTATCGACTTAATCCGTTAATTAATTTCAGGACAGGATTATGAAACTTATCAAATTGGAAAAGCTTTTTTGTCTAATCCCTGTGTATATTTTAACAATAGAAAATGTTTAAACCATAAAGTTTCTTTTTCATATGACCTACGTGTTTTATAATAAGGTACATTACTGCACATATTTGAAAACATAAACCTTTGTAAATTTGTTACAATATATTGTTCATTTGTTTCGGCCTTTATGATATCATTTTTTACAAATTTATCATTCTGTCTTACTGTAACTTGAATTTTAGGATAATGGCATTAATGTAAGTCACGATTTTCCACTATAATACTTGAAAGAGTACATATATGTATAGTAATAACTTGTTGCATAACTCTCTGGTTTCATTCAGACATGCTTTGCTTGCGGGCGAGTTGACTATCAGCCGGGATGCATGTTTGGACACCACCAATCTTGACCAAGCCAACCAAGTATATAGCTTGGCCAGAGACGACAAGTGCTATGACGTCATATTGGAAAAACGATGAAACAATACCAGAATTTTACTGTCAGTGAACGTATATAGAAGACATTTTCTGAAGAAAAACTGAAACATTTGTGAGGAAAATGGATGGAAGTTGATACTTCCATACAAACCGCTTTTGACCCGGCTGTGCACACACTAATTAAGATACTTTTCTTGTTAAAAGATAAACGTATTTCCATATAAGTGAGTTGATATTTATTACGTAGATGTTGAATATCACATATGCAACATAACTTCACATTCAATTTCAACAAATTTGAAAATGGTACAATGTCACTAGGATTGGACAACAGGCTAAAAGCCAAATCCTTTCCCTAAATTTACATTCCAAGGTGTCATGACCTTTACACGTTTACTAATAGTTTTGTAAGCTGGATTAGCTGTCAGATTAATTTGGTCGCCTTTTTATGTCGTTAACTGAAATGTGTCTTTTCAAACGTGTTTAACTAAATGACTGCACAATGTACACCTGCAAGTAGATGTAGATTGAAGTAGGGATTGAAATTTAAAGATCAGAAAAAAAAATAGAAATCGTTCTATTTGTATTTATATTTATATTTACAAGGCACTCCAACAAAGCTCATATGCCTTGCATTACAGAAGATTTTCTTATCTAATTTTCTGTGACCTGCATCTTAAGATGTAAATTTCACGCAACACAAATCTGAACATTTTCACTCACATATTAGAGATTGAAGAGCATCATTGGCACAGGTACATTTTCTGTTATGTCATTATAAATACGAGTCCGATATTGGATTTATATAATTACCAACGGAGTGTTATATTGTTACTGATCTTTGAATTGTCCATGTGTGAAAATAACAGTAAAAGAATATTTTAAAATGATTTAATGTCACAATATAGCAAATAAGTGTTGAAGTCCACCTAAATATGCCCATGTATACCGATATGCAATCGACACACAAATATATATCGTAGTTCAAGTATGTATACACATTTATGTCTGTAGAAATATAAAATATTTAAATAAACTTTATAATAACCGACATCAACAATGTTTTGTTATTTTTAATTACATGTATATCTGTATTTTCGGGGAAGGGAACAGAAAATACAAAGTAGTATAGATTATGCACAGCATCAGTATGAAACAACGGGAATTGTGGACACATATAACATAATATGAATGGAATTTGTATGCCTTTAAATGGCTGTGATGTGTCCTTCATTTGACTATGCTAACAAGAACAAATGCACCCCAAACCACCACAGAACACTAGCCGAAACCAGGTGTTACAGATTAGTAAGCAGTTTTTGTACCATCTGTTTGCTTCTGTCAGGATTTTACCATTTGCACCAACGAAAGTACAGTATGTACTTGTAGGTCATCAATAATCTACTTAGCAAGTAATAATACTTGTATTTCTTTATGATAGACAATTGAATACAATAGTCAGACATCAAGCAAAGATGACGACCTTTACCTCACATGAACCTTTAAAGTTTGTATTAATCTCCACTGTTGTGTTTGAAAAGATATAAGCATATTAAGATCACGTATAACACAATTACGAAGTAATTCCAACGAATATTTTTTTACGTTGAACGTGTCAGGAATTAAGGTGTGTAGCATAGACGGTAGAAAATATTTTACAAGAAGCTTAATTTATGACAGCTTCAAATATAAATGATTTACCTTTCTAATATTCAAATCGGAAAGCATAAATGTATTGGTACATTTAAGAAATGTGCTAAATCATATAGCCTCTGTGTGGGTAAAATCGACCCTGTATTATATAAAGTGATGTTACGGGTTTTCAAACAAAACTGATAACCCAGTCTTACCTTTGTAGTATGTAAACACAACGAATGAAAAGTGACAACAACAAAATCTTTAATGAGAAAATGAATGTTTTACTGTCAAATATTTGTACACAGGTCCAGCTGGAGTACTATTTATTTTTGCTATGACCATCCCTCTATATTTTCAAGTTATTTATTGTAAACATTTAAAACAAATCATTACTGTTGGGAATATATCTTGCTTCAAATGCACGCGAGGGACATTTCGGATAAAAGAATGCGTAAAAGGTGCGTCTAGTTGAAGGACGACAAGCGTCCTTTAATACGGACTTCAGAAAATACCATTTGTGGAAATTATCTTCATGATTAGTATTCTACAAAAAACTGAACTAAAATACAGGTTTATACTGAAAATCGCTTCCTTATAATACTGTATTGATCCACACTAACTCCATATAAACAAACCATCGATGCACCTACTCCATGATAGCGAGAATCACACAATGTAGATAAACTAGCATGCATTTTAACCAAATACAGTCTACCTTTAAGCATGATTTTGGTGTAATACATGTTGATTCATTGACAATTATCGACAAAAATTAAAATTAATATACACAGTAGCTTGATATGTATACAATAACGTGTTTTTCTAGAGTGGTCCATGTCAAAATTGTAAATGAAATAACTAAAACAAAACATATGTACATTTGTAAATCATAAATACCTGAATGGAAGTAGTAACATTGAAACTGAATTATCAATCCCTGTTTGGGAATGAAAAAACAACCGACACAATATGTGGTAAAATATTTAGCAGTGGAGACAATAACGTAAATGCATCTTCAAAATATCAACAAATTGGAACAATATTTCAATACAAATAGCATTCAGACAGTATGTAAATATATTAATCCTGAGATCGATTAACTTTCATACCTCAAATCATACTTGATTGGAACGCCAAAAGGTTAGTTAGCCTAGTGTAGGCAAGTCATGCAACTTCATAAAAAGGGGGATTTGCACACCTCCCCTCGGTTTCATGAGTAGTTTAGACCAATTTTAACCTTCTTGGGTCTCTTGCATATTGCATCGTCGACGAATCCTAGAAGGATGAAACAGCTTTACAGTGTAGTGTGATTTTTGTCTTGGTGTTACTGTATGCCTTCTATTCAAACTTTAAATGTGCAATCATTTACAAATGTTTGTGCGACTTGCATTCATCTTTGAAGACATAACGGTATGCATTGTTCTGCTAAAGTCAAGCTCCGTCAATCAAAGAGATCAGTCTGGATTTCCTACTTTCCAATTAATGTCTTTGGAAACGGATTTGTTATATAAACACGATTATTGGACCAATAGGTGAACAAGAACAATGAAGACTGAACTGTGCAGTCGTCAACTCTCACCCTACCTCGCTACACTTGAATAGACAAGGCAATAACTGGAATTGTTTTGGATTTCTAACCTATTTGTTAATCAATCCTAGGCGGCAGCACTATCGATACTTTCCACTTCCTCCACGTCGTATTTGACCATTTTGTCCATTCCTTCAAACACTATATATCCTGAGAATTTTTTACCATTCAAGAAGTGTGGAAACCATAGAATGTCATCTGGCCACATCTGATCGAACGGGATGGACTTCTCTTCAAACCACTGAGGTCGCATCTCTGTCAAAATAAACATTTCTTTTGATATATTTCATTTCAACAAATCAACAAGATTGAACAGTCAAATGGATTAAATACCTGGCAAGCCTCCATGGGTGGCCAAAATGTTAAGACTTATATTGATAATGAATTCAATCAATTAAGAAGTTACTATGAAATGAAATTTATCGACAACAAAAAAAGTAATAGAACAAACAAGGGAGACAACTAGCATATGTACACAACGCAACGCCGAACAACACAACAAACAAACTCTCTGTGTATACAATGAATAGGTACAATTAAATACGATAAACATCATGACTTTGTTCCTACGGCCAAAGTTCATGAACTAAATTCCTTGTGCAGTTATAATATACAGGTCATTGATGCTTTGGACTGCATAACCTTAACATTATAGATATTATTTAAATAATGTATGAATAATAACAATATTAGCGAGTGTTGTACAAGAACAACAACATACTCGCTCAAATTAGGACTCACTATCAATCAACCTTACTGTAGATAAATTATGCTAATGATAGTGAAAATTATAAGATTAATAAATTAAGATTTTTTTCAGACAACATGGTCTTTATAATACACATTCTGACGCATATATAGTTTAAAGCGTCTAGTTTCACAAAAAAATACTGAAGAGCATTTAAAATCACTTTTATATAAAGAACAAAAAGAACCAAGAAATAATTTTTAATTTCCTCATCTTACCTTCTGTTTCTTTTGCCTCTCCTTCAAAATTATTCGATGTGAACACATGTACTTCCCATATCTGTGGGTTTCCTAGAAATTCAAATTTCAAAAGTCCGACTTCCTTCAGATCATTACAGACTAAACAGGACTCTTCCAGCAGTTCCCTAGAACAAACAGTGTCAGAAAATACCAAAACAAATCTTTCCTCAAGCAGTATTTTACGTTTACAGAAAACTTGTTTCCTCCAAACCGTATCACAGATTAACAGACATCACGTTTCCTAAAGCAGTTCCCTGCAAAAAGAGGTCCTCCAGCAGATCTTTCAAGCAGAGAATTAAAAAAAAACACGTAAATACAAGCAGTTCTCTAAAGTCACGTGATCAGAAAATTAGAAAAGAAGCAGGTCACTTAACTTACAGAAGCAGAAAATTACAAACAACACCATTCCTCCAGGAGTTCTCTACACTCACAGAAACAGAGAGTGACAGACGACAGGTTTCCTCCTGCAGTTCTCTACACTCACAGAAACAGAGAGTGTCAGACGACAGGTTTCCTCCTGCAGTTCTCTACACTCACAGAAACAGAGAGTGACAGACGACAGGTTTCCTCCTGCAGTTCTCTACACTCACAGAAACAGAGAGTGACAGACGACAGGTTTCCTCCTGCAGTTCTCTACACTCACAGAAACAGAGAGTGACAGACGACAGGTTTCCTCCTGCAGTTCTCTACACTCACAGAAACAGAGAGTGACAGACGACAGGTTTCCTCCTGCAGTTCTCTACACTCACAGAAACAGAGAGTGACAGACGACAGGTTTCCTCCTGCAGTTCTCTACACTCACAGAAACAGAGAGTGACAGACGACAGGTTTCCTCCTGCAGTTCTCTACACTCACAGAAACAGAGAGTGACAGACGACAGGTTTCCTCCTGCAGTTCTCTACACTCACAGAAACAGAGAGTGACAGACGACAGGTTTCCTCCTGCAGTTCTCTACACTCACAGAAACAGAGAGTGACAGACGACAGGTTTCCTCCTGCAGTTCTCTACACTCACAGAAACAGAGAGTGACAGACGACAGGTTTCCTCCTGCAGTTCTCTACACTCACAGAAACAGAGAGTGACAGACGACAGGTTTCCTCCTGCAGTTCTCTACACTCACAGAAACAGAGAGTGACAGACGACAGGTTTCCTCCTGCAGTTCTCTACACTCACAGAAACAGAGAGTGACAGACGACAGGTTTCCTCCTGCAGTTCTCTACACTCACAGAAACAGAGAGTGACAGACGACAGGTTTCCTCCTGCAGTTCTCTACACTCACAGAAACAGAGAGTGACAGACGACAGGTTTCCTCCTGCAGTTCTCTACACTCACAGAAACAGAGAGTGACAGACGACAGGTTTCCTCCTGCAGTTCTCTACACTCACAGAAACAGAGAGTGACAGACGACAGGTTTCCTCCTGCAGTTCTCTACACTCACAGAAACAGAGAGTGACAGACGACAGGTTTCCTCCTGCAGTTCTCTACACTCACAGAAACAGAGAGTGACAGACGACAGGTTTCCTCCTGCAGTTCTCTACACTCACAGAAACAGAGAGTGACAGACGACAGGTTTCCTCCTGCAGTTCTCTACACTCACAGAAACAGAGAGTGACAGACGACAGGTTTCCTCCTGCAGTTCTCTACACTCACAGAAACAGAGAGTGACAGACGACAGGTTTCCTCCTGCAGTTCTCTACACTCACAGAAACAGAGAGTGACAGACGACAGGTTTCCTCCTGCAGTTCTCTACACTCACAGAAACAGAGAGTGACAGACGACAGGTTTCCTCCTGCAGTTCTCTACACTCACAGAAACAGAGAGTGACAGACGACAGGTTTCCTCCTGCAGTTCTCTACACTCACAGAAACAGAGAGTGACAGACGACAGGTTTCCTCCTGCAGTTCTCTACACTCACAGAAACAGAGAGTGACAGACGACAGGTTTCCTCCTGCAGTTCTCTACACTCACAGAAACAGAGAGTGACAGACGACAGGTTTCCTCCTGCAGTTCTCTACACTCACAGAAACAGAGAGTGACAGACGACAGGTTTCCTCCTGCAGTTCTCTACACTCACAGAAACAGAGAGTGACAGACGACAGGTTTCCTCCTGCAGTTCTCTACACTCACAGAAACAGAGAGTGACAGACGACAGGTTTCCTCCTGCAGTTCTCTACACTCACAGAAACAGAGAGTGACAGACGACAGGTTTCCTCCTGCAGTTCTCTACACTCACAGAAACAGAGAGTGACAGACGACAGGTTTCCTCCTGCAGTTCTCTACACTCACAGAAACAGAGAGTGACAGACGACAGGTTTCCTCCTGCAGTTCTCTACACTCACAGAAACAGAGAGTGACAGACGACAGGTTTCCTCCTGCAGTTCTCTACACTCACAGAAACAGAGAGTGACAGACGACAGGTTTCCTCCTGCAGTTCTCTACACTCACAGAAACAGAGAGTGACAGACGACAGGTTTCCTCCTGCAGTTCTCTACACTCACAGAAACAGAGAGTGACAGACGACAGGTTTCCTCCTGCAGTTCTCTACACTCACAGAAACAGAGAGTGACAGACGACAGGTTTCCTCCTGCAGTTCTCTACACTCACAGAAACAGAGAGTGACAGACGACAGGTTTCCTCCTGCAGTTCTCTACACTCACAGAAACAGAGAGTGACAGACGACAGGTTTCCTCCTGCAGTTCTCTACACTCACAGAAACAGAGAGTGACAGACGACAGGTTTCCTCCTGCAGTTCTCTACACTCACAGAAACAGAGAGTGACAGACGACAGGTTTCCTCCTGCAGTTCTCTACACTCACAGAAACAGAGAGTGACAGACGACAGGTTTCCTCCTGCAGTTCTCTACACTCACAGAAACAGAGAGTGACAGACGACAGGTTTCCTCCTGCAGTTCTCTACACTCACAGAAACAGAGAGTGACAGACGACAGGTTTCCTCCTGCAGTTCTCTACACTCACAGAAACAGAGAGTGACAGACGACAGGTTTCCTCCTGCAGTTCTCTACACTCACAGAAACAGAGAGTGACAGACGACAGGTTTCCTCCTGCAGTTCTCTACACTCACAGAAACAGAGAGTGACAGACGACAGGTTTCCTCCTGCAGTTCTCTACACTCACAGAAACAGAGAGTGACAGACGACAGGTTTCCTCCTGCAGTTCTCTACACTCACAGAAACAGAGAGTGACAGACGACAGGTTTCCTCCTGCAGTTCTCTACACTCACAGAAACAGAGAGTGACAGACGACAGGTTTCCTCCTGCAGTTCTCTACACTCACAGAAACAGAGAGTGACAGACGACAGGTTTCCTCCTGCAGTTCTCTACACTCACAGAAACAGAGAGTGACAGACGACAGGTTTCCTCCTGCAGTTCTCTACACTCACAGAAACAGAGAGTGACAGACGACAGGTTTCCTCCTGCAGTTCTCTACACTCACAGAAACAGAGAGTGACAGACGACAGGTTTCCTCCTGCAGTTCTCTACACTCACAGAAACAGAGAGTGACAGACGACAGGTTTCCTCCTGCAGTTCTCTACACTCACAGAAACAGAGAGTGACAGACGACAGGTTTCCTCCTGCAGTTCTCTACACTCACAGAAACAGAGAGTGACAGACGACAGGTTTCCTCCTGCAGTTCTCTACACTCACAGAAACAGAGAGTGACAGACGACAGGTTTCCTCCTGCAGTTCTCTACACTCACAGAAACAGAGAGTGACAGACGACAGGTTTCCTCCTGCAGTTCTCTACACTCACAGAAACAGAGAGTGACAGACGACAGGTTTCCTCCTGCAGTTCTCTACACTCACAGAAACAGAGAGTGACAGACGACAGGTTTCCTCCTGCAGTTCTCTACACTCACAGAAACAGAGTGACAGACGACACGTTTCCTCCTGCAGTTCTCTACACTCACAGAAACAGAGAGTGTCAGACGCAACGTTTCCTCCTGCAGTTCTCTACACTCACAGAAACAGAGAGTGACAGACGACACGCTGCTCCTGCAGTTAACTATACTTAAACAGTCAGAGAATTACAGACAACACGCTGCTCCTGCAGTTAACTATACTTAAACAGTCAGAGAATGACAGACACCACGCTGCTCCTGCAGTTAACTATACTTAAACAGTCAAAGAATTAAAAACGCCACGATACCTCTAGCAGGTTTCTACACTCACAGAAACAAAGAGTGACAGACGACAAGTTTCCTCCAGCAGTTCTCTACACTCTCAGAAACAGAGAGTGTCAGACGACAGGTTTCCCCCTGCAGTTCTCTACACTCACAGAAACAGAGAGTGACAGACGACACGCTGCTCCTGCAGTTATCTATACTTAAACAGTCAAAGAATTAAAAACGCCACGCTACCTCTAGCAGGTTTCTACACTCACAGAAACCGAGACTTAAGACAGCATGTGTCCTTCTGTGGTTCTCTATACTTTCAATTTCAGTTTGTTGGTTTGTTTATGTTTTACGTCCTATTAACAGCTATGGTCATTTAAGGACATGCCAGGTTTCGGTGGTTGAGGAAAGTCGGAGTTCCCGGAGAAAAACCACCGACCTACGGTCAATACCAATTTCAGAAACCATCTTTTAGCCACTAACTCTCAATAACAAACATTGTAAGAAGAAAAATACAGAACCATATTTCACCCAGCAGGTGTTTTTAACAATTAACTTGTGAAAGATAATGACCGACATTAATGATGATTGATTCCTCAATTAAGTAGGTCTATACAGTTCTCTATAACAATCGGAAAAAGAAAAGACTCCTTTCACCAAGCAGTTCTCTAAAACAAACCACATTAACAGTGACGTCAGTTGTTATATATTGTTATACACAGCCAAGATTATAAAGATTCAGTTCAAACATACATGTCAAAAATTATATAGAACATGCATACTCCTCTAACTTTTCAGCCTACACTATTTATAATTGGATGCTTTCTACTTTTCCTACTTTTATAATTGGGTAACTGGAGAGGGAAAATTAATGCACAGCCAGGTCTGGATTCGAACCCGGGACCCTCCAAAATCTAGACGATCGCTCAAACCAGTTCAGGTACCTGGTCGCCGGCGATAGAACCAGTTCAGTTCAACTACAATGGAAATATTTATGCAAAAGCATTTGTTCCATAGATACAAAACACATGTCTCTATATTGTCAATTTTAGAGTAGATAACTAGATGATATTTACCTTCTTGCTGCAGCTTTGATGGTTTCGCCAGGTTCAACCTTCCCGCCGAATCCATTCCATCTTCCAACACCGAATCCCCTCTTCTTCATCCCAAGTAGGATCCTTGGTGCCTGTCGGAGCAGCACCAGAGTCAGCAACTTATTGGCAACCATTCTGATGAGAAGAATGTCTGAAAACTAACAGGCAGAATATTTTGAGAATGGAGTAAAAGCTTTAACGCGGTCTTGATGAAACACCAGCCAATGTGGCGCAACACACTATATCACACATTGACAAACTTGTCAACTCTCCCTATTTTGGAGGGAGACTCCCGATTTTGGACCGTAAATGCTAAATTATTTCTATTTCTGAACAGCTTAAAAGACGCCATTTAAAAACACCATTTTTCCTCTTGGATGTATATACTCACATCTTAAGTATGTTTTTAACTCTGAGCATGGCAATTTAAAAAAGTTGACAAGTATGCATTAACGGGGGTCTAACTCTTTATGAAACATCAGCCAATGTGGTGCAACGCACTTATTACTTATACATGACCGCACCGTTATCAAGCATGGTTAGCATACACCGTCGGCTTACTTTATAAACAAAGATGTTTCTATGTTCGAGATTCGAATTATAATCAACACGTTTTCGAAATTTGAAAACATTAATAAAACCATCAGACAACATGTGAAAAGGTATATAAAGGTTAAAACAATTTATCGGCAAGAAAATTTGACTGTACACGAATGCGTTCTTGAGCTAACAGGGCTTTACAAGCCACGATCCAGTGATCTGTAGTCGTAACACCCGCTCTTATATAGTTCAAAATCTGATACATATTTATTTGTCTACATGCCATATATATGCACTATATCTTATGGAATTATTAGCAAAAATTTATTCGAAATATGTGTATTACCTTCTTATAGCAACGTAGTCTCGTTCAACGAAGACCACGTTTTACTCAGCTTTGTGGTTTCACTGACAAAAGAGTTAAATTCGTCCGAGTAGTCCCCCCCTGTATCACCGATATATAATATAAAGTTTTTATTCAATGTTTACAAATAAAACATAATCATAATTCAAAACCCGGTGAAGATGTTCCCTCTTTGGTGATTCTGCAGATGTCGGTGTAATAAAGTGTTATTATCAATGCTGGTTTTCACCTGCGATTGAATTGAAAGCGTTTGACCTTCAAACGACCGGGTCATTCATAGTTCTTTTGGACACATCATGCATGTTGTAGGCAAAAAAATCATCTTACTTTATTGTAAAAATATATCTAGCGCACTGAGAAACATATAAAGCCAGTATAGTATACGTCTGATCTAGCGGTAGTTCTTGTTGATAAAATAAACCCAGTATGTGACCGAGCAGAGATATATAAAGCCATATACGTCTTTGGACCGACGTAGGAATCTAGTGACCACGTGCAGCTTTTGTGTTGGCACTGGACTTTTTCATTTTGAATTATTTGAAATGTGGAATCCGGTTTTACTCGTGTTAATTTTCATTTATTTTGCAATTACCGAAATTCATGCACTTTCACGCTCACATGGACGCCTTGGGTGTTTGGTGTGCCAAATTGCTGAACAGATGTGTATTTCACGAACATAAATTTTACTTTAAACACATCAAATCAGACTAACACTAAATGCCTGTGGTAGCTTACCACAACCATGGCGTATGTGACATTTCTCACTATTTAGATACTATGGTTCCGAATGCTGGGTTATCTACAACTTTAAATGATGGTTTATCAGGTCTCGTTGTGTTCAATTCCATTATTCAATTGGGTTTGGGAATGATACCAAATTGCTTTCTGAAATTAACGTAATATAAATATTGTTTCTCAGAGTAGCTCTAGACATTTCATGGGGTTTAAAAAGGTGCCATCTTAAGAAATAACATAAATATATATAAGTGATATTCGTTTTTGTCAATTTGGTCATCCAGAAACTATTATACTATTTGACAAACTTAATTCATATCTTTAAACTAGTCGATAGAAAGAAATCATGCACATGAACCTTCCAAACTATTTCAGGAGTTTGACCTATCCCGATATGTGGGGATTGATGGGTGTTTCATGCGCAGGTACAAACGGCAAACGAACCCCCCACCCCCTCACCTTCTAGTTACTCGTTGTAGTATTCCTTTTGCCTTTCCGTTTGTTAAAAAAAATGACATTTTATTCTATGTAAATCCCGAGCATTGCAACCAACACCGACTAAAACAGGTCAGCTAATTATAAGCATGGAATATCTAGTCTTTCCGCGAACGTAGATGGGTGTCTACTATCAAAAGATTATTTGGCTGAAGTTGAAATTGACTTTTTAATTAGCACCACATGGTGCGTCCATAACACAACCCACCAATATACAATGTGTATTAAATACGTAACACAACCCACCAATATACAATGTGTATTAAATATGTAACACAACCCACCAATATACAATGTGTATTAAATACGTAACACAACCCACCAATATACAATGTGTATTAAATACGTAACACATCCCACCAATATACAATGTGTATTAAATACGTAACACAACCCACCAATATACAATGTGTATTAAATACGTAACACAACCCACCAATATACAATGTGTATTAAATGCGTGACACAACCCACCAATATACAATGTGTATTAAATACGTAACACAACCCACCAATATACAATGTGTATTAAATCCGTAACACAACCCCCCAATATATACAAGCTGTTTTTATTCATCAATAACTTATTTCATACAAAATCACATCAACTGTACACAAATGTTACTACATTTTATTCATATATATTTCAATGATGCACAATTTTCTGATTTATTGTATTTCTAACATAGAAAATTGAAGTCTGGTTTTCAGATAATTCATGATTCATGATGTCAGAAATTCACTTTATAATGCCAGTAAAAAACAGCTAGTGTAATGACATATGATGATATATATAAAATATATATGGAAGTGCAATTCCTGTAACAGGAAGTGAAAAATGCAACAAGCAATACACAGATTTGAGGGGGTTCGTGTAACATCCGTACATAACCATGTCATATCTTTGTTCTTGTTTTATTACACATGATTTTAACAACAATATACTCAGTAAAACATTGATATTAAATCTATTTTATTTACCACCTCATTTACCTTTTGAGACATTTTTATGTCCCCTTTTATTTCTAAATACTAAGTGATTAATGTATGTTTGTGCTTCAGGTCATATTGACAGCCATGGTCATTTAAGGATGTGCCAGGTTTTGGTGACGGAGGAAAGCCGGAGTCCCTGGAGAAAAACCAACAACCTACTGCCAGTACCTGGTACCGATGACTGCCCCACAAAGGCCTCGGACCTCGCGACCCAGTGGTGAAGGGCTAGAGATTGTAGACGGTCAGAACCTTAATCACTTGGCCACTGCAGCCCCTTTCTATATGTCTCTCACAATAAATCGCCAAACCCTGTTAAAATGTCAAGTTTCACTGGCAGCATAACTATGTCTTCAACTTCAACTTCTACAGGATACTCTAAAACGTTCAACATACTGAACATTATTTAGAGGCGTCAGAATAGTATTCAAGTTTTACGGTACATTATAAGTATGGGTACCTTATGATGAGAAACCCTACTACAACCAATCCAATGTATCACACCTATTTCACAGGGGGAACTTTTATGGACATCCATGTTATTGTTTATCACAAATAGAGATATGGGAATGGTGAACAAAAAGTTCAGTATATCAATGAAAATATCTTTTTTAATGTGGTATAATTACTCCGAAACATCTGGTTAAAGAACCCTATAACACAACAATACACACATTATTATAATGTTACCCAAATATATCATTACCTCTTGAATGATGGAATTTGGCTGAAGTAGTACAATTTGTCTTTAAAGATGACGCATGACCATACAACGAAACCTGTTTCAAAATACCCCTGCATACTCCGACATCCGGTGTTATCAAACATAACTATGTTATCCCAATTTTAATGAATACTATTATTATACTTCTGTATTCTCTCATCCTGTATAGTCTGACATGTATTTTGTGTCTCGCACAGAGTGTAATATTGGACAGGTTTCACTGTATGTTGGTACCTATCAAATTGTAAACAAATGCCCAAAGGTGTTACCTACAGGTAATCCTTCAGTTTTAGTACTACATTGTAACAAGGGGCACACAGAATGAATGAAAGTTTGAGGAAATGTGTTCTACCTTAACTGGTGGTCATTTGTGGATTTGACACTGAGGCTATTTTATAATTAATCATACGGGGGAGGTGGGAGGCACCTGTAAAATGATACTATAGGTGGTTGGTATAAAACCAGATCTGCCTACCATTCCTTGAATTAAATTACTTCCAATATTTGATAGGTGGTAGGGTCTTTGTAAAGATGCCTCCCACCCCTCCTATCTGTTTATTTCTGGTACATCACTTAATGTATTTATTATAGTCACGGTATACCGTAACGTATGTAGTGCATGTAGTACAGGTGTACTAGTGTCCGGATATGAGGCCAAGGTGACACAGGTAGCCGCGTGAGGCGGGACGGGTAACGTGTAACTGCACGAGTTACAGGTGCGACACGGGTGTCTATAGAGTATTAAAGGTAGTTTGAGGGTAACATAGTCATTCAGTCTTGACGGTTCATCAACTCATTTCAAGAAATTATATTTTCATTTGTTAAATCATAGAATTATGAAATTTCCCCGTTTTCCTTGAGACAGGCATGGACTTCAGGGATGATGCCAGGAAGGGAATTCCTAGCCTCAGCCAGGATCCGGATGCAGGAGGAATGGAGAAGGGAGAAGGGAAGAAAGATCGGACACGTGCCCTTGTATTTCATGTACATTTTTCCTGTAAAAAAATGATTGACCGTCAAAGGCCACTCCCATACATAGGTGTTGAGTTTTATATGATAAATGCTTTATGTTCGGTTGAACGTAGTGAATTAGAATCATAACAACCACTGGTTACATGGTATTTCATGTACAATATATGAAACTTTGTCATAATATCTTCAACCAATCAAAACATGTTTCGTCTGGATATACAATCTTAAGTGTGAACATACATCAGGCCAACCTTTTGTCCCAAACAAAATGAACTATATTGGCATAAACATTTGTGAAAAATGCAATAAAACGTAACTTCCTCTCTCATTGTGGCGAGTCATAATCTATCCCTCATCACTGTTCACTTTTTCTGCTGGCTTTTCTTTTTAAGCATTTCTAAGTACATTCCCAAAGATTTTTGTACCGACTCTCTAACAGCAAAGTTCTTAAATGCAGCGACATCATCTTCACGTCGAAGTCTTAGCTTCTCTACAGTCTCTCTCCGCATCAAATCTTTGCTGAGCTGGCGGGCAACCTCTGAAAAATTGGTATTAAATGCAGGTTAAACCATGTAACTATCACTTTAAAACTACCTCAAATCTTCCCTGTATCACTTGCTATACCACTGTACATAGCGAGTTCCTTGGATGTTTTTTTGGGGTATTTATTGCAATTGAAGTCGAAAACATGTTAACTATATGTATAAGGACTGTAACGTTATATTTTGAATACGGTACAGTACACAATATTTTTTAGGAGGTTACGATACACCTACGATATTTTCAGGATTTTGTCGTTTCTGAATTTAGTTTACTCGGTTCCAACATGGCTAGTGACGGCAAAAAAGTTGTAATATTGCCGTTAAAAATTTGCGACATATCTTTTCTCTTTCCTTCTAATGTTACTATATGTATTGTGACCACAGTATTGTGATATGTATAGTATCATCATGTCTATAACAAAACAAAAATTCAAACTTACATCAATATTATGTTAGATAATTTAACTTGGTATTATCCACTTAAAACCTAACTTGACAGCAACTATTTACATAATGACTGCCAATTACAAAAAATCTTTAAATATGTGTATGACAAGTTACTTCAACCATTGAAAATAGGTGTGTTGTCAGGACATACATGAAACTTAAGAATGGAGATATATATCTAACATTGATGTGTCTAAATTATCCACTTAAACCATGACTTGACAGCTAATATGGTGACAAAGTGACATGCTAATAAATAATATATCTAAATATAATTTGAAGTGCTGACCTGGAATTTTGAGATACTGCTTCATCTTTTCCTGTGCAGCAGGAATGACCTTGTCCTGTGGTACAACCTTGTCAACCAGTTTGATGTTGAGTGCCTCCTCTGTGCTGTACATTATACCTAGCGTGAGGGCATGCTCCGTCTCTCGATGACCTATAACCCCACACATTGTGTCCCTGAACCTACAATGAATCGTACAGAGTCATCACTTTAATTATTTAAGTAAGAAAGAGTTTTCATCAGAAGATTTTATGAATATCATACTAAGCCAAATAAAAAGTTAAGTAAATATTTAAAGTTTGTTCTTAAATCTGAAGGTGCCATGCTCCTATATCATTATTGAGTGAAGTTGGCATTCTCCCTCCCCTCTCACCTGCAAAATCATGAGGATGTAAGATGTGATTTTTACAAGTTAAAAGTACACATATTTGTAATATTACTTTTGCGTGCCAACGCCAAACAAATAAAACTTAACTCTCTTTACTGTCTGTCTTTTGCTTTTTAATACCGTAAATGCATATTTTTTTTACTGGACATTCTTGACTATAAATTCACTTTTTGTTAGACTTGGACAAGAATTTTGTATCATAAACTTTAATACAACCAAACTAAATTCAAAGATGTATAAAAAAAAAAAGGTCAAGCCCCTTTCAAATCCAAATAAATAGGATTTGTACACAACTAGTCTTGAACTCAATAATTTGAATCTTTACCTTAACCAAATTTTAAATTTTGTAATATCTGAATGCAGATGCATATTGCTTTTTACTATAAAATGATTGAAAAGACAAATGCTCTTTGTCAAAATATAAGCTACAGCTTCCTTCTAATTTAGGAGAACAAGTTTCTATAATTCACTAAACTGTCATTTTTGTTATCTCCCTTGAAAATGTTCTCCATACATTATTATAGAAAATGTGTATGTACTGCCTGGCGAATTTATTTGATAAAACTCACCAAAATGGAGCAACAATGCCCTGAAAGGAAAAAGAAACACATGAAAATAAATAAATCTTTGGTAGTTATTCATCAAATAATGTCTCATATTTATTAAAATACTAAAAGACTATGTGCATCACATGTCGATTTATGCGCAATTTTGAAAAAATTGCTTGTATCTCCTTCATTTAGAAAGCCAGTTGGCTTAGAGCCTACTGGTAGCATTCCTTATCAGAGGACAAACATAGGTATACTATGAAATCAAGGAGAGAGCACATAGAATGAACAAAATATATATCACTTACTAGCTGAGTTTCATTTAGACCGATTGTGTAGTTAGGAGCCATGATTCTGTAATCACAACAAGTGGCTAGAAGGCAACCTCCAGCTGGACTGTGACCCTGGGGGAGAAAAACCAACTCAACTTAGAAAGATGGCAGAGCATGTTAACTGACCACAGCTGAATAGATACAGTAAAACAGTGATACAGTGCCAATCCTCACATTTATCACAACTTGAAATGCCATTTCAGGCCTCTGCAATGCCAAAATCGTTCATTCATAGAGAGTTTTTCATGTTGATTGTTTTGGTGCCAATACTGGGCCCCATTCCAAGTTGAAACTATCTCATATTTATGCCTAATTCCCAAAATTTGCAGTTTACTCCTGAGGTTTCCTTCCGCAATTTGTGTATATTCTTTCCAAAATGAGACAAAAAGGCCCCATCAAAAATTAATGAAAAAAACACTGGTATATAAATATCTCCTCTAAGAATTTTCTCTAAATACTAACTCAGTCCTCAGTATGGCATCCTTAAAAATCTAGGGGTTACTATCACTAATCTTTTTTACACCCCTGGAATATGTCATGACAAAAACGAAGGCTCTGTTTGGCCACCTTGCAGATGAAACAAGTAGAACTAGTTTGATGTACATTACAAGAATTAGTGTGGAAGTTTAACAGTAAAAATTGACTGGCTTTGAAGTCAGTTCTCTCTCTTTTGTAATCTTTAAAGGACAGGTTGGTTGGTTATCAGAGTTTAATGTCGTATCAACAGCTAAGGTCATTTTATGATGTGCCTCCATGTGTGCTGTGTGTGCGTGTATGTGCTTGAGACATGGCATGTGGGTGAAATTGCCTCCTTGTAATAGCATACAAAAGACAGGTATTTCTCTAGCAGTTGGTCAGTTTTATACAAGAAACAAGTCAAATAGCTAACCTTGTGCCTTTGATTTTGTCACGACGTATTCTGGGGCGGAGAGAATTGCAAGTGAGCGTAACCCCTGGAATCAGGACGCTGTCAGTATGGGTTAGATTACCGATAAAGACATGCTTTACTTACATTAATGGCTGCTATAGTTGCCATCTTAGAGCCATACAGTCTTAACCAAACATCCTGAAGGGATCTCCAAAACACTTGTAACCGCTCCACATCGGGCTGGTACATCTCCAAAATGTCCAACCCAGCACAGAAAATCTTGGGGACATCCTATAAAAGTAGTCAACTTATTTTTACATGAACATTGAAAAGTGAACAAAGATCAAAACACCTTTTTTCTGAATACTAAACACAATTTAGATACCACAGGAAAACATTGTTAACTCGTTCACCCCTGAAGACACATTTGAATCCTTCCAATTCAAAGGTTAGAATAGTTCATTATGAAATTTCAGGGGTGAATGAGTTAATATTGGAATTTATATTAATTTTCTTACCATCACCCATTGAATTTTCAAGATATTTAAGTTATGACTTGACAATTACATACAAATACAAACATTAGTAAATATCATCCAGAGAATTAAACTGGTGTGGACCTTATATCATTGCTAGTTTGTTTATACATATAAAAACCAATTTCACAAACTCCAAATACAAAATTTTCAATGAAATTGTTTTACATACTGAAGTTAAAATGAGTCCTCTACACTTTTCATTTTCCAGTTTCTCTAGTGCTATGCTGATACTTGTGAGGAACTCAAGATTGAGGCTGTTGACTGGTGGGCGGTTCATTTGCATGGTAGCAACTCCTGAAAAGATTTCAAAGTGATAATGTAATGATTTGTTACTAGTAAAAATGTTTTTATTCTTTTTATGAAATAAACATGGTTACTGGTATCATTGTCATTGACTGTTTAAGAAATTAATTGATAGTCAAGTGGTACTGTACCAACGACATTTGTTTCAATTCTGCTCAGCAGTTTGGGAGAAAATGTTTTATGTGAAAGGTTGACCTGACACAGACAATGGATTACAGATGACTGACCGCTTTCAAACTAAGCACCAACAACCATTGTGGTACATGTACTATGTACCAGTTGACCTAAAACACATTTTTGTGGAATCTTAAAAACTTTTGCCCCAGTGAAAAATCTGAGCATTATAAATAGGGGAGACATACAGAGCAGAATGTACACAATTACTATGCAATATAGCATTTGTCAGATGACATGCTCCGATTTGAGTTATATACACACAGCACTAGTTTACACACAGCACTAGAAAGTCTGGTTAGAGTAGAGGGCATTTTCACTTTAGCCTGTACACTGCATATACCAATAAAGTAGTGAAATGTTATTTTTCTAGTCATAAGTTGTTCAGTTTTAAAAGAGAAATATAACTGTGTGCATCAGGAAAGAAAATCTGGCACTGTGGGCAAGGAAGTTATTCTGAAGTATAGAAAAAACTATGACTCTGCCATACTTGACAAAACTGATTTTTTATTTATATGGTTTACCTGAAAACTAATTAAAACACTTAAGGCAAGGAAGATCTGATGTAGGTAGATAGTTATTAAAGGAAATTGAAAGTTATTACACAGAAACTGATTCTGTTTTGTAGTTTTAGTATCTTTCCCTGCTAAAGGTGAAGGACACAGCTTGGCCTCGACCTCTACCAACTGTAAAGGGTTAAGATCATATATATCATAGCAACATTCTTGTCTTAAAGACTTAAAGACCCTTTCACATTCTCTTACCATTTTAATTTGCTGTCATATTATTGACACTTGTATATTATTTCACTGCCAATTTTCTCACCTGTTTTACTGTCCACATCTACTAGAAGATTATCTTTCTCTGTAGACATAAGTCGAACAGATGTCCTCCTCTGTACACTGGGGGCGGTACAGAGCCGTGGTAAGGCTCTGCATACCTGGATTCCTACAAACACACCAAAAATATATGGTAAACTGCATATCAAGATACTATCCACAGCTGACAGGGGTTCACTCTTATAGTTACTTTAGTAACAGGATAGAAAGTAGTGTGCTTCCACCAAGGATCTAACCCGTGACCCAAGACCCTAATTAAAATCTGCCACACTACTCTCTCATTTCATTTAAGGACATGCCAAATTTTGAGGGCAGGGGAAAGCCTAATTATCAGACAGATCAATACATCATATAATGTTCAGACAGTTGCATCTTTTTCTAACTCTAGTGCTGAAATTAAAGTCTAAACAGCTTTAAGAAGAAGCTGAATGCTGAGACATTGGATAGGCATTCCCCTCAAATTATACCCATCATTTTAATATCTATTGTAGATTATGTCTATGAGGACTGCTTCAGACCTCCTTCTTTGTGAGATATGTCAACCAGTCTGGAACCATGCCCAGACCACACAGTCGTAGCACCTGACAGTCCTTGAAGTATCCTCCTGAGAGGACTGCACAATTTTTTTTACCACCAAATTAGTAACTTAAGCTTGTGCCCTCGACCATATCATTTAGTAAAATACTTATTAAAACATCATTACAAATATTTGCCTTTCCATTGATGTCCTATCTATGAGATCAGTATGAGCACTAAATGCACTCCCAACTTTAACCCGAGTTTCCTTTGAGGTCAAAATTTGAATTTCTTATAGAGAATGGAAGAATGATTGCATTGTAATATTTATTAACACTACAGTAATTTAACCTTTATTATATATTGTAATGAATATAACATATATAATGAACATTGTATAACATAAATATATATAACATATATTCACTGAAAGTGAACTGTATATCCCAGTGGCGGATCCAGAGGGGTTTTTTGGGCTTCAGGAAACCCCCCCACCCTGATAATTTCTTTAAAATTAATGTATTTTCACCATTTTCCTCATTTTTTCCCCACTTGGAACCCCCCCAGATAGGTATCTGGATCCGCCGCTGTATCCAGTGTTATATGGGATTTTACCGTCTATATTACTTCTTTGACCCATATATAACATATAGGCCTATATATATATACATATGTATTTCCAACGTTATTTAGTAATTGTTTTGATTGATATCATCAATGCAGAGGCTTGAAGCATGTGTCCACCACAACTCCTAATAAATCCTTATAAAAACTACGACTGTTTGATCTTTTGTCAGACAACTTGTACGTATACTAGGCCGGGGATGTCGCCGACTAGGCCTACTCCATTTTCAGGCATTATGAATCTGCCTGCAACTCGGGCCAAGTACAGTGGGTTTAGATCTGAAGATAACTGATATAGACATAGTTTACTTCCTTATCATCTTGAAATTTGTTAAATTGCATGAAATTACTTAAATCAATGGATTATGTCCTTATCATGGCCTTGGACTTTTAACCTCTGGGTCAGAAAGGTTTTGTTTACATTTTCGTTATATATAGGACACACAAACTGAAAGTGAACTGTATATTTGCATCGTTGACCAGTTCATAAATCAAACAAAGACATTTGTTACTTTTAATTAATGATGGACAAGTCATTAGTCTTTAGACTTCGTCTTCATAGGCATGTTGTTTATGATGTACCTACCTCTTGTCCACAATGTCGCCATGTTTTTACGCCGGTAAAGGGAAGCAACTCGGGATAAGACAATAACCGCACATGATAGGTTCTCGGAATTAGAATTTTTGTTATTTACTTGCAGTCGTAGACATCCCGCATGCGTTAATAGTCATGCATGATGTTATTTAGTACTAACGTTAGTTGTCTTAACATAAATACTTATCACAGCTCAGGACATTTTAATTAGATTTTTATGTTGAAAAACATGCATAACATGAAAAACAAGCTAGGCCTAGTTGCTAACCCCACTCTCGGGGGTCACAACCCACCCCCCATTTATTTCTTGGCATTACTCACGACAAAGTAGGCATGGATGTATTTATTCTGACTGTAGGAAATTGTACAATTTCCTCTGCTGTCAGCTCAATTATAAAAGTTACAATAGTAGACTACATATAGTTGGTTAAACATGATTTCTGAGTATTTTTTGCGAGTCCATTACAGATAGTTGCACAGTTCCATAGAGAACAGTAACATTGTGAATTGAATGAGTGTTGTTCAAAAATAGAAATGTTGGTACGTATATGGGTGTCTCTTGTATATCGCAATTTTTAAATGTTCAAATGTGATATTTTCGTTAAAGTTCAATCAATGACCATTAGTATGTGTGACTTCGATGGCTTCCCTGTGGTTATACACAAGTGGTTGGATTAGTATTTTAATTATCTTTGCAATTAATTTTCATATAACAATACTAATATGTTTTTAATTTAGTTATTGGACACTCATCAAAACACTTCTTGCTTTGATGATAAATATGTAAAAAAAATATGTTAAGCTAAATATCAAGATAATATAGAAAACTTATTATTTGACCCCATGACCTTGAATGTGGGTCAAGGTCATTACTTTGAACAACAACAGCCTTTCATAGCCACATATCAAATATCATTTTTCAAGACATGATTTTCTGTAGAATAGTTAACACATTGGTGTCGGTGACCTTGAATTGGGGTCAAAGTTGATTATCCATGCAAGCTACTGGCAAAATAAAATGGTGTCTTGGTTAAACATATTGGACCTGTACAACCTTAGTCTCTTTCAACAAACTTTACATTTGATCCCCTAAATTGAATACAAGTCAAGATAATTTATATGAACTCGATCATTTCATAGCTCAGTTAAATACCTCATCGTTCTTTGGAATATTTTTCACATATTTGAGGCCCATGATCTTTATATGGTTCCGTATAACTTTCTTTAACTAAACTGAAGCGATTTATTTCGCCAGAAATACATGATAAATATCACTAGTCTTGACATTGAAGTTCGAAACAATAATACATATCCTGTTGATCATCGAACTTGACAGCTCTGCGCCCTATAAAACATGCAATCTACCTTAAGTATTATAAATTTTCACCTGAAAATGCTCACGGGCAAGGTAAAAATGATTCTAACCTTGGCCTTATACATCACATCTTCTATTAAAGACAATGTCTTTATCTAGGTAAGTTATAAGTTATTCAAAATGTGACCTCGACCCTGAAGCAAGGGCCAGTCCAGGTAATACTCAGCATGGTAAACGGTTTTCTTCTCTTAACCATATCTATATGAATATTGATGTCATTTCATTACTCATGGCAATTCAACTGGTAGTGATTGCATTAAAATTCTGTAAATCTTCAGGTTCTGCTCCAGGTAGAAAATGTTTTGGCGAAGAGAGAGTACCAAAAATATTCACAAATAATGTCCTGTTTTGCTCTGTACAAGAAAATGTTCACAATGTCCTTTTATACAAACTATTTCTCAGTTAGACGAGCATAATTTATGTAACAGAACATTAAATGTCAATATTTGAAATACCTTGATTGCAAAAAAATGATTCTTACAACTCAATCACATGGTAAAGTTTTATTAATACATTTCAAAGCATGCTACGAGCACAATATACATGTCATGTCAAAATGTAATTTTTCTATCACTTTGAGGATAAAAAAGCTGCCTGCCGATCAATCTATCCTAGGATATCAACCAGAGCTTTGGCAATCTAGTTCTCCAGGCTTCTCCTTATCCACTTAATACCATCATCATCTATGTCAAACATTTGGTCATATAAAAGCAAGAGTTCTTGTAAGTACTTTACATACATACATCTTTATATTTTTTTTTATGATTTTTTTTCAATATATAACTTTCCTCTCTTTACCGTTCTTAAATACAAATGGAATTAACAGGTACATACATAATGGTAGCGTTACCAATATCATTGTCTCCAATGGTTAATAACATACTTAAACGTAATTATAGCATCACTCGGCGAGTCAGGCCTAGTACGTTTCTATTTTGGGGGTCATACAGGCTTTGACATCACCATAATGGAATCACAATACGCTATGAACAGAAACTTTTGCCATTATAATCTTCTTATTAGTCCATCTGAGGTCAACTACTTCAATTTATCACAATGTACAAAAAATAAAATGCTGCTGACTCTGCAATTTGAGAATTCTAAAGACTGGCACTACTACATTAGCATGAATCCCATCACCCAGACATGGGGCATAGAACCAGATCATTTTGATACAATGCCATAGGTAGGTATCTATATATTAAAAAAGAGAACAACATATACAATCTACCAACAAAATGCGCTCGTCGTGTTCACCATTATGCTATTCATAATTATACAAAACATGGAAGTCAGGATGTTTGGGCGGCTGTGTTCAGACAATACAGCAGTAGTTGGTCTTCTGATTGTTTCAGTAAGCAAGCGAGACGTTCAAAACAATTCACTTGAAATAAGACACATATTTTACGAATCAAACAAAAACATTCATACACTATTTGTGAACATATAATAATATAAAACGAACACTTTTCATGGATTCATTATATAACTTACAAAACATGATCAATAACATTTGTGTATCAGTATTTTTCTTGATAAAGAGTGGGCTAAAAATTTGGTGGGTGAGAAATGTATATAAACTCTGGTTTACACAGTATCACCTGTAGCACTAAGAGGGAACAAATTACAGGACACCCTGTAATTGTTTGCAAAATCACAACATTCTGTCGCACAATAGAATGATTGAATAGATATTATGGGGGGAAAAAAACAGCACACGCTCTTGAGCAAGCACAGTCACACAACCAAAAAAAATCCTTCAAAGACATGAACAAAAATATGGCTACATATAAATTATATAGCAACAAATTGTCATCATTATTGTATCATTATCATAATAATGAAATGTTTGGCCAATATAGATTATTAATTAAGGAATGACATTTCAACAATTCAGTTTAGAAGACAAAAAGAGAACACCAGTCCACCTGAAGACAGACTTGGCAGTGGACTGTACAATCACATTACATGGAATATTTATATAACATATAGTCAATAATCACCGTGTGTCCACACACACACTCGGCTGAACATTCATCAACGTTTTCTACAACTACATAGTACATAGTATTATAACATAAATTAAACTGATTGATATATATTCATTTTCAATATCACAGTAAAATAACCTGCAATACAACAACAGGTCCATCAATCCAAACATCATAAAAATAAATTCACACATACCCATTTGATAGATATTTTATATTTTTTTTTCTTTTTTTCTTTTTTCCCCTCTTCTCTCTTTAAATACAGTACATTTTACATACATCTGGTTGCATTCATATCTTTGCATTACAAAATGGCAATTAAAGAAGTCATGAGTGACTGACATAAATAAAAGACTCTTACAAACATGAAATCTGAGGTTATTTTGTGCAGATGACTTAACCTTCATCAGAAGAGTTGCCAGATTTTGGTGAGAAACTATCCAGACTACCTGACAAGAACAAGGGAATTCTGAAAGACTTAAAAATACTTCATCAGAAGCATGAAAAAATAAAAATGGGCTTTACTTCTTTGAAGCAGCAAGCACCAAAGTATTTGCATCAACTCTGGTGTCTGGCAGTCTCACCATAGAACCCAACAACTCGAGAACACATTTGATGCTTTATCTAACAACTACAATAATATTAATAATGAATCAATAATAACACTATTGGAATACTGCTCCCACCTTTGACTAACCCGCATGAATTGGAGATCACACACGACATGGGAGGGAAACCACATTTAATAATATAAAAGAAAACAAAAACAGTTTACATGGACTCCCCTAACATATTACCAAGCAAACTAGCACTGTGGTCTTCCATACCCCATAACCCCCCACTACCCTGTCCTGATCCTCCTGCCCCCCACATACTATTACTGTTCTGGATCCCTGGAGCACCTGGGACTACTGAGGGTGTGGTGTTCCAAGAGCCAAGATCCCCCACACCACTGGTAGAAACAGACCTGCCCATTCCCCCTCCTCCGACAGTAGACCGGAACTGCTGTGGCTGCTGTTGTTGCTGTTGTTGTTGTTGAGACCACTGACTAGGTTGAGAAGTTGACATTTGAGAAGATGACATGGCATTCTCAGCAAATCGTGCTGCTTCAGCTTCGGATACAAATTCAGCAACAATAGTTGTGTTTGAAAGAACGCAAGTATTAAGGGACTTTTGAGCTTTGATTGCTTCCTCCTTTGTGTTGTAGCGAACAAGGGCTTGTCCTTGATTAAGACTCAGATAAAACCAGATCAAAGGTCCATGCTGTAAGCATAGGGTGCGCAGTGTTGATCCATCAATCTACAACAGAAAAATAAAAACAAAATTTTAATATTATTTGGATGTTATACATTTGCTATAGATAAATTAGTCAAAAGTGAATTATGTATCGATTGAATATTTATAGAACAGAGGTAAGTATCAGCGTTTTAACATGAGAAAATGACTAACAAGATGTGTCCCTAGATGAAACTTTAACTGCTAGCCAAAGGCTAATACACAAAGCAACCTTATACTTGTCACCAATAATTCCTTAATCTTCCATCGATTAATTCAATTCTTGAAGAGGATATTTACCATATTTAATGCATGTAAAACCAATGAGACAAATCATGTATCAAAGGAGGATGTGCATTCATATTCAGAATAATGACAGCAGGGACAAAACTCAACGAAGGAGTCAAAACAACCTTACATATAAACACGCAAAGGTTTATACAACGGGCAAGAAGTTATCTTAAAATCCAGTAGGGCTAACAAGTGGTATCAATACATTGACATACCTGTGGAGTCAAGTTCCGCAAAAGTAAACAATTGGAAGGAGCACCCATCCAATTGCCAGAGCTTCCTGCAAAATATAAAGGAAATTTCTTTTTAAATTTAAACTTTACAACATAAACATACAAATTGCTTGTGAATAGAATATAGCTCAAAAAGGGAAACCCTTCAATGTAGTAACTGTTTCAATAAAAGATAACAATACTGTGTGACACATGTAGAAAAACATACAGTAACATGTTAACTGAAAACTTGCTTTCTTCTGGTAATAAATCATCTGATGAGTATCAAAAACACAATTAATTATATTTACTCCTGTTGTTCGATTATAATATTTATCAATTAACTTTCTGTGAATATTCTGTACTCACCTGAACCAGCCCAGGAATGCTGACGGTTGACTCCAGGCCCAGGCCAGTTTCCCTTCTGTTGGATCAGTCCTGGAGGGGGACGAGAGGCATTCTTTGGCAGAGGAACGCCCCAGACCTCATTGGAGAAGGAGGTTGGAATGACATTGTCGACACCACTCCAGGATCTTTGCTGTGGGTTCTTTGCTGTAGACCATGAAGGAGCCTCGGATGTGCTAGGACTGGTTTTAGTAAGAGAAGATAGGTCATCCTCCTTGGGTGTACTGAGACTGTAGGAGCGTGAATAGCTTCCAGGTGTGATATGTGGATCATCTTCAACACTCTTAGAAATGCCCTGCCATGGCTTACCTGGTACAAACTCTGGAATGGAGTCATTGAGGTTCAACGTTGAGCTAGCAGAGGTTGTTGCTTTCGGAAAATCCTTGCCACTTTCCAATGTATTGGCATCCTTGCCGGTAGGCATCTGGCTACTAGTAGTGATAGAACTACTTGGTGGTCCTATGGCACTTGGCCAATTCTCGGAGGAGGATGAGACAGTTGGCATGTTGGACCATGTGGGATCTCCTCCTAGGTTGGCTAGACCCAGGTCCCCATAGCGAAGGTTCGGGGTGGATTGAGACTGATGTATGTTGGGCTTGGAGCCCACAGCTTTGTTGAGAGCACCATTTTCGGTGGGCTGAGAAGAAGTAGGGACATTCTCGGTGGAGGTGATTGGATTACCATCTTTTTCAGATGTTGAACGTCTCCACTGACTAAGCTTGGATTGTGGTTGCGGCTGACTTGTAGAAATGGCAAGGTTATTAAGATCTGTTGGCATCGTGTTGATTGGATCGATTTCCTGTTGCGATAGAGAACCAGCAGGCGTATTCTGAGGCATAGCAGTTGGGGTCTGTTGCTGTTGAGAAGGCTTCATAAGCACTTTTTGTGCATCTGAAATTTGGCGTTGCAAATGGAGTATTTGCTGTTTGATGGCATTGATTTTAGTGTTGATAGACTCAAGTTGCTGTCGTTGTACCATAGGATTCAGATTCTGACCCATCTTGTTCTGCTGCAAAAGCTGTTGCATGGTGATATGTGACTGAAGATTCTGTTGATGCTGCAACAGCTGCTGTAGCATGATCAGCAAGGGGGGTGGCAGCTGCTGGTTCAGCAGCTGGGGACTGATGAGTCCAGCCTTTACAGCCAAGTGCAGTTGCTGGAGTATTTGTTGTTGGGCCATCTGCTGTTGAACAGCGGCTTGGTTTGGAGGGGGAATGGACCCACGTGCTACCATACCCTGAGTTGGAGGGGGCATTGGAGGGGGAGCACTCATTGTTTGCTGCTGGACTTTGAACTTTTCTTGAATGTGTCTTTGTTGCTGTGGCATTATAATACTGGGATTCATATTTTGACTAGATTGTGTCAGACTAGGTCCCTTCATAGAATTGGCAATGAACTGATTTGGTATTTGAGATTGAGCATTTGGAAAAGGAGTATTTTGCATGGAATTAATATTAGGCACAAATGGATTGCTTTCCGACTGAGTATCTGATATGTCATTATGATCTGTTGCACCTATGTCCATCCCAGGCAGTTTGGGCTTTGCACCATCTGGATGGAAAACATCCATATCGTCTCTTTTCACAACACTAGCACCTTTTTGTTTGTAGAGATCAGCTGCAATGAAAATGAATTAAAATGAAATAACTGTTTATTTTATATACGTTTACCACATAAAATTGAACTAGGTATTTTGATTGAAATCTACTTAATATTTTTCTAAATGTACCTTTCAAAAACATACTTCAGCTCCTTCTTGTAGTACCAGTGGGAAACTAATGAGCAGTTTTCTATCAGTGGCTATTATAAGGTCGATTGTTTTTAAAGCAAAATCATGCTTGTTTATTGGCAGATGACTATGATAACATATAATAAACACTTCATTTTCTATGTCAACGCATGTTTTTAAAACTCAAGGAAACCTGCGGTGTTTTGTTCATAGAATTTTTTCATGATTTTTGTAACTGCTCTACTATAAAATGATACAAACACATTTAACTGCCCAGCTCTAAAAGCAAGACATTTTTTGTATTAAATAAAAATCATTCTTCCACATCATTCGAAGGTCAAAAACCCAGGATCTCAATTGTTATCTTGAGTTATATATCAAAACTGAAGAGGTTTACATTTTACTAAATTAACACAGAAGGTTTGAAAATATAAAAACTTCATATTACCAAGTGCATGATTCAAACTCATGTTGTTGTTGATCAATGCATGTTGGGCTTCATCCTTCTGCAAGAAAAAACCCAGCAAAACAGGATTAACTTCAATGTTGAAAAATATTGATAATATCAATAACATTGCTCCCATTAACCATTCTTTATTATTTAATCAATATCACTCTGTTACAAAATTTCATTTTGAATTGTGGCAAGATGCCAAATCACACTAGAATGATCACAAATATGCTGTTTTGGGGTATTTAACTAGTAAACAAATGGTATCGTCTTGTTCAAATATCATGACAAAAATAAACCTTGAAAAACGGCAAAATATTCAAGAAATTAATGTATCTCGGTGAAACAGTACAATTGGGCACAAGTCATTGTTGAGGCCCTACACAGAAAAAGATCACCAAGGAGAATCTTATGGTTTCAATTTTCTAAGAATTTAAACCAGCTCTTGTGTTTTCAAATTTTGGACCCTTTTAGTAATCTTACCTGAAAACCCATCTCCATTAGCTGTTGCAGCAACCTGCTGCGCATCTGCGGCTGGTTCCCACCACCTGGGAATCGGCTTGTAGCACCACCCTGAAGTGATAAATTTCTGGTGTATAATATCTGCTAAGCAATGAAGAACAATCTTAAAAGTTGAAACAACATCATGCCACTGGACTTTTATCTGGATTACATGATTTAATACTTTACAAGCTGTAAATTAAGCAATCATTTCATCAAATTCTACTGGAAAGAAATAAGATTGTTGTTTGTAGTTTATGTTTGGGGTAGTATCAAGTGTTGATTGAACTGAATTTGAAGGAAATATTTATTTTCCCCAAAAACAATTCTTATTTTACAAATATCTGGAGGTTTTTCTTTAGATTGGTCAAAAGGTCTAATTAAATGTAAGGATAACAGTTAAGCCAAAGATGAGGGTGATGTAAGAAAGAGATGGGAGGGGTAAAAAAAGTATAATAAAATTGTTCTTACTGAGTTTATTACCTTGACAAGATTCCTCCTCCCGAACTTCCAACCTGAAGCACTACTCCAGGAAGAGTTGTTTTCCTGTGTAGTGTCATTCCAGGTCCCCATATCAGCATCATCATAATTGCTAGAACCGTCTTCATTCCACATCATATCATCCTGTAAAAAGATTTACCAGCATTAGCCACAGTTTAAAAACTGTACAATAATACCAATAAATTACCAGCATCATTAAATGAAAAAAGTATCAGCTCATCTTTTATGGCATCCACTGGACAGATCAATTTGACAGTACATAATTTGATAATAATCACATATTGAAATACAATGTCAACATTGTTGCCTTACCTGTATTTCCAAGTATTGCTCCACCAGAGAGGAACCTTAGACTTTGGCAATAAATGCCACTTACTTTTCAATACTGTTTATAGACATGAAGTCCAAAAAAAAAGGACCTTTAAGCTATTATCTATCAAATCAGTTACGAGCAAGAAAGTCCCCTGAACATTTTCAAGAACTTTTTTCTTTAACAAAAATTGTCTAGAAATTAAATCTGGTATCACAAACTGCAGGAAATTATAACACAATTTTCCAACCCAAAAACAGCATTTCTAGTTGATGATGCCCAGTCCCATTAATGGGAAATGTTTAACTATGAAACAAAACATTAATGAAACAATAAACTGAAACTGATGTTAATATAAATTAGGTACATGGCATTAATCAAGCTGTGCAAGTTAGAGGTGCTGGGCTCGGGAATGGGGTGAGGTGAGCTGCAGGCTGGCCTAGCCTCAACTTCGTTTTTAACCCTGCCCACAAACTAATCACTTACCTTCCTATTATCAGACTGGTTCCAAATCATGTCTTTCTCGCCCCAGTTGAAGGATTTTGAACTAGAGCCGGATGGGTCAGGTGGGTTGTTCCAATACATGTCAGCCCCGTCCGGCCCCACCCAGCTGGAGAGGGAGGTGGAGGATGGTTTGGGATTGCCAATTCTTACCTTTCGTTCATTGGGGTTCCATTCTTCTCCCCAGCTGGAGGATGAGGACGAGGTTGATTGCTTGGGGTTCCACTGACTTGTTTCGCCCCAACCACCAGCTCGAGCCTGCAGAAGACAAGCCAATTGAAATGCCTGCTATCTGCTGTATATATAGGGCTCAAGTAAGAAGATAGGTCATTCACTCCAATATTCACACAAACAGCTGATGAAAATTGTTCATCAGCTTCAAATCCAAAAACATCATTAGTTTGCCAAGAAGATGATTTATAAAGAAATAGAAGGTTTTTTGATACAATACCATTGCACTGGTTTCCCTTCCTGACTTTGACTATTAGTTGGGACACTTAAACGAACATTTCTGCTTACCTGCTGCTGTTGGTTCCCTACCCAGCGACCACTGCCATCATCTCCCTTCATGCTTGGTGGCGGGGGTTCACCCCAACCAGAACCCTGGCCTGGTTGAGGGGGTGGTGGTTTGTTCCCACGGTTCCACTCATCAGGGCGACCTTGCATTCCTGATGGCATTCCAGTTGGCATACCTCCTGGCATACCTCCTGGCATTCCTCCTGGCATCCCACCAGGCATACCTGTTGGCATTCCTGACTGCATTCCCGACTGCATTCCCGATGGCATACCTGATGGCATTCCTGATGGCATTCCCGACGGCATACCTGATGGCATACCCGATGGCATACCCGACGGCATACCCGATGGCATACCTGACGGCATACCCGACGGCATTCCTGAAGGCATACCCGATGGCATTCCCGATGGCATACCCGATGGCATTCCCGACGGCATTCCCGATGGCATTCCAGACGGCATACTAGGCATGGGCATCATGTTGGGATTGTTTTGTGTATTTGATGCGTTTGGAGGATTTGGAGGAGCATTCCAGTTGCTGGGGGGCTTTTGCATGTGTCCAGCAGCAGAACTGTTCCAAAGCGAGGTACCATCATCCACTTCCCTCCTTCCTTTTGCTGACTCGCCCCAAGTGGATATTGTTCCAGGAGGTTCACCAGCATTTCCCCATGATCCAACTTCAACTTTGTTGCCCCACTGACCAGATGCCTGCTGACTAGCTTCATTACTACCAGGTCCTCCCCATTGTCCCCCGGGTTTATCTGGTTTGGCAGGTGCTCCCCAGTTGTTTGGGTCCCTCGGTTTTGGTGGGCCTGTCCATGACTTTGGATCAGTTCGGCTTCCATCCCATTGCGCCGTTTGAGGATTAGGGCGAGGCAAAGCACCAGGGGGAGCACCACCAGGCGGCCCACTGCCAGGAGGAACACCGCCAGGTGGACCACCTCCAGGAGGACCAGCACCAGGAGGACCAGCACCTGGAGGACCATTCCAGGCAGGTGCATTGTCTTTGCTGGCTTCCCATATTGCAGTTCCACTGTTGTTGTTCCACATATTGCTGTTTGGGTTCTTTTCAGTTGTAGCAGGAGGAGGTTTCCTTTGTGTCTTGGGTGCTTGACTCATGTCCCATGCCGTATCCTGGCGAACAGGACGCTGACCCCATCCATCATGACTATCTATTGCACGTTGAAACTCTGTGTCCACTGGAGCAACATCCTGTGGTGGCTGTGCCAACACCGTAATATTTTCATTAGAAGCACTTGGATTTGTTGAAGCATCGGAGGGATTGGTAGTAAGGCCTTTCCCAGCTGCCTCAGCCCAAGAGGTAGGATGAGATCTGGGTGGTTCTGGATTTTGCCCTGCACCTTGAGTTGCTCCGCCAGGCCATTGTTGCGGAGGACTTTGTTGTTTGGTAGTAGGTGTTGTGTCCCACTGACCACCACTGGAGGGTACAGAATTTCCCCAGTCACCACTGGAGCTTGGATTTCCAGACCAACCATCTGGAAGTTTGGCATCTCCTTCGGAAGGTGGGGCTCCCCATCCACCAGCAGCAGATTCGTTTGACTTGAGTTGTTGTCCATTATTGCCATTGCCCTTGCCTGCATTAGCTGCATCACCACCAGCATTATTGACACTTACTTGAGATTGGGGTCCAGATCCAATTGAACCCCATGCCAACTCTGCTTGAGACTTCGATGAAAATACTGATGATGCAGACATGCCATGAATACTTTGAAATGCACTATTATTAGAACTACCCTGCTGCTGTGGTTGCTGCTGCACCGACATAACTGAACTGTTTTTTTGCCCTGGCTGAGACACAGTAGCAGAGGCAGATGTCTGAGGTCCATTCGGTTGAAGAGCACCACTGCCCATCTGTCCTTGCATAAAATTACCATTACCACCATTACCACTACCAATTATGGTACGAGGTGTTGATGATTGCTGTATTTGCACTGTACTTTGTGGCCTGTTCCCTCCTTGATTTTGACTCACTGCCTGGGGGAGGGTCCCAGGGGCACCACCACCACCCCATCCACCCACAGTTGTTCGGGATGCAACAGTGGAGCTGGGGACACTTTTCAGATTCATTTGGTTTGAGAATTCACTACTACTTGTGCTTTGCACATTATATCCTTGGTGATTCGAAGAAAGACTTGTAGAGAGCGGGCTTGTCCAGCTCATGGAACTGTTGCAGCTCACAGAGCTAATGTTGGCAGCTGAGGAATTGGGTATGCCTATTCCACCACTCCAGGTGCTGGAATCCATTCCGTTAAAGTTGGGTGTGCTCCATAAACTGGAGGCACTTTGACTATGAATGGCACTTTGACCAGAAGTTTTGTCATGTGTTTGGCCTTGATTACTCGAAACAGATATCACAGATCCTGATTTCACAGAGGCATTGTCATCACCATTCTCGGAAGTACTCTCAGAATTGTCACCTCCAATAGATGGCCAGGCCTCCTTGTCGTTTCTGTCAACAATTATGTTTGGTTTTGGGGGTTGCTGCCAATCCGACACTGAACCTAAATCACCAGCGTTTCCCCAGTTTGAAGTATCATTTACAGTTCCGTTTGCAGCAGCTGTACCTTCAACAAGATCAAAGAAACCAATGAGCACCACTTATTCCTCTTATATTCCTATCACTACTCCATTTAAAAAAAAAACTTATATAGCTGACTATATTCAGTAATACTAATGCTTCATCTAAATATACAGATTTGGCAGTTATAATAAAAGGTTTTATACCACATGGTAAGGTTTAAACTTCCACTGAACCTGTCGTCTACAGTGCTATTGTGAAGAATTCGCTGATAAAACCACAGCAGAATTGAAGCCTACCAGCAACTGTCCCTGTCCAGCCACTACCTGAAGCTGGAGGGCCCTGGCTCCAACCTCCGTCGTCTGCGTTTGATCCTGTTCCCCAACTTCCTCCAGCATTCCACTGAGCCCCATGAGGTTTACTCACTGAAATAGGAAATCTGATATTATTAACTTCAGATTGTTCGAAGTAGAATTTCGTCCATCATGTACATAAATATCACAAACTTCAGGATTTTAATCCATAAATTCAATGGATTTCTTAAAACATTATTTAATATCATGGGGAAAACAAAGTTTTGTTCTTAATGGAAACATTAAAAGTTGTTTAGGTCTAGTAATAACTAATCAAGACTTTTAAAATAGCTACATCAAGAGGGCAAATTCTGCACATGGACAGTTATTTCACACATATCCTGGTTTCACCTTTTTACCTGTTAAAACTAAAAAACCAAACTGAAAAAATTGAAAATTGAATTTCAACTTTACTATTATGTGCCCATAACTAACTGAGGCAAAGACAGATATATTTTTTTAGACTTGAATATTAATTCAATTGAAAACATGCAATTTGATTTCAATGCATGAACCTTTTTGATATGTATGCAAGATGTGAACATACCTTCTTGCATCTCCCCGAGAATTTGGCACTTTTTTGATGTCTGTCAATTCGTTGATCAAAGGAGGTGACTACCTCTAGCTTCAGCACTTCTGCCGGTTCTGAGGAACTAAATATAACATACAATTAATCCACTTGCAATCATGTACAGTTCATCTATTCCATTAATGTGTTTCAAATTTATTGGATGTGGTTGTATTTCATTTATTTTGTACTTCATGTGAAGCCAAAATTACATCTATTCATTCAAACTGTGCTCTTCTCTATTTCTCTATTCCAAACAAATCATTTTCAATTGTATTAATATGCAATATCCATATTTCATTTATTCCTGACATTGTATGCCAAAAGTCTAGCTGCAATATATTGTGCAAGACAATCAAGATGATATAATAACATGTGCTCGGCAATTACATTTTGTGCATTAAGTTTGTTCAAATTCATTCTGGTTACCAACAAGTTCAAAAATATCTCTGCCAATCAGACGCTACCTTTTGAATTTAAATAGCAAAACAAATAAGTCCTGTTACTGTAAGTGTTACTGTAAGTGTTACTGAACCTTGAAAGGTTAAAAATGTATCATGTAAATGGTAATTCATGCCAGGTACTTACTGATCAACATATACTCTTTGCAGTCTTTTATTTACTCAATACAGAATACCAATTTTGTATCAATCCAGAGAGATTTCTTATTTAGCATACCTTTATCAATGGAAATGACTCCACTTTTTGGAGGATCGGTGTCCTATTGGATCTATACTCGTTCTCCAATGCGGTTTCCTTGATCTGCAAGCAAAAGAATAGCATTTTTATGCCTATACAACTATGAAATTTAAATTATGTATCTACCAAACATCAATATATTACTCAGGAAAAGTACATGATTTGGTACTTAAGCCTATAAAAATTGACCTTGCATATCAAAATGTGTAATAAATCTATAACTAGTCCATCCTCGTCAAAGGAAAATGCACCAATACCCCAAGCTATATAATTGTATTAATCCAGGTTCAGGATGATGACAATATTAACTGCATACAAAACATGAAATGATATGCTGTTTATCATTTATTACTTTCTTGTTGCCTCCTTCACAGATTGAATGCGACTGTTTTTCTTGTCAAGACATCAATAATTGTAGACACTATTCAGCTATGTGGATTTTAACTTCTAGATAACAGATCTACAGAGTGACAAGTTGTGCATTTTGGTACTACACAGTGTTCCCTGGTTTGTGTTGAACAGAACATTAACAATTACCCATTTTGGTATGCAGCAGTTTCATCTCATGATGTACCTACATACTACAATGTATTTATTATAAATATTAATAACCTACCTTTCTCATTGAACCCAGCAGGTTGGTTTGTCCATAAAATATCCTGCAAAACAACATAAAATTGTTGTGAAACAAGTAAAATAAAATAAAACGAATAAACACAACATGACTACCAAACCAGGCCCTTAAGACAAACCATTCAAAATTAAAATTAACCTCAACCCCTCCATTTTTCCTAATTTGTCAACATTCAAAGTAATGATACTTTGCATGCATTTATTTTGCAACTCATCAAACATTTGAAAACTATAAATGTTTTTTTCGTCGTGTCAATTTACCCCCAAAATACCCTATAAATCTTGTATTTACTTGCAAAAGCAAGTAATCCTTACTACGACATCACAATTAAGCCAAATGATTGGATTTGGGCGTAAAAAGAGAAACCACAACATATCTGTAAATAATGTACCCCACTTTAACAATCAGTAATCAAGACATCTCCAGGCACAATATATATTCCGATATGCAGCAACATCCAGTCTTTCCACAGAACTGATATATAGGTTTAGCATGTTAGCTTCTTTAATAAATCACAAATCTCTATTACCTTGAAATGCAGCTTTTTTTCACGTTCAACTTTATCCGATCATTGATGTTGGTCTATCAAAAATTTTGCCTAAATGCAGAGCATGTTTTCATTTTTGGGAGACAGACATAAATACCCTTAATTGTTTTTTCCAAATCCCAATTAAATAAAATTAACTCACCTGTTTCTTTGATATAAAATGCTGAAAGAGCTATAAATATGTTTATTACAGATATGTTACACAACCACAGGCAGCAACTAATCTGGAAAGGAAAGAAAGGCAATATATATATAATTCTTTACATAATATTCAGTTGAGATCTGATTAATGTAACATATTAGTTGGGAGAATTACCATTTTTCAGGAGCATTAGGCTATCAGAATATGGAACAACAGCAAATATAATTGAATACTCCATAAGTTTACCACAAAATGTCTAAATTGGAATGCCTCATAAAACAGGCCACGGAAAAAACTTAACTATGGTCCACTCTGGTTAAATCTATTAATTGACTTTTGTTTTTTTAGTATATATAAGAATGACATTCAGACTTACCTCATATAACTTATGATATAAGAGCTATAAAGTTTTGATATGAATCTGAAAAGAAAAACGAGAAAGCTCAAATTGTTATCAGTTTACTTTATAATAAAGAAAAAATCAATAGTACTGATGACCCTTTATTTGTTAACGAGATTTGTACAAAGTTTTGCTTCATTAATTAATTAATCTTGTGATTTCTGATAACTTTTTCTGATATTTTATTTGTAAAATTAGCTACAAAAATGTCAACATTTTAACCAATCCCACAGATTAATTGGAAATGTTTCACTCACCTGAGATTTATATGGTATTAGGCAGTGATAATATCTTACACAATTTGGCAATCAAGTTTCACTCTGTAAATAAAGAAAAGCAGATGTACTTTAAAATTTGCAAGTCAATATAGGATGAACTTTTTTATGAAATAAAGTATGGAGCCAGTGGTTATTACCAGTTGTATGATTCATAAAAGTGAATAAAGTATGATATAAAGACTGAAAGTACAGATCAAAGATGTTATTTATTCAAATATTTAGTTTACTGAATCAATAAAATAACCAAATTTTGTTTGACCAGATCTTAGATTTCCAATGTTCAACAAATTTACCTTAGAGTACAGGTAGTCAAGATGAAAGATTAAGGCAAGATGAATGTTAAGATCTTTGGATGACAGCTGAAAAAGAAGAAAAAAAAATCAGTCAAATGTGCAACTTATCATCAATATTTTCTTTTTTAACTCAAAGCAACAAAATGCAAACCTTCTACAGGCAAGTATAAATCTTAGTTACCTTACTTTCCACTTGTCAAATGTTCTGTTACAAACTGCACAGTTTAACAATTATCTTTCAACTTTCTGCAAGTCCTATGTTGACTTTTGATTACAAGTCAATACACACACAATCACGACAGAACGCACTTTTCAGCGAGTATGGGACATACAATTACGCAGTGAATTGAACATTAGTACATTACGCAGTAAATTGAACATAAGTACAAACGGAATCAGCATGTAAAAATTTACCAGATAACGAGTACCCCAACTGCTATGATTTCTGTTGCAGCCAATATTGGAAATGAAACCATTCAAGGTCAGATGCATTTGTTAGTTTAGTTACTGTGTATCTTCCCAAGGTCTTGTTATATCCTGATTTTATCTTCCAAGGAATATTATTGTGATTTTCCAATTAACCGCCTTTGCCAAGCTATGTAGTTCAACTTTATTTAAGTTCAAAGAAGTAAAATACAAATTAAAACCTAACAAAAAACATCTTTTTGAGCAACTGCAATTTTGGAGCTCAAATGAAGAGGATCAATACTGTTTTCACTCGGTTTAGATCAAAATAAATAAACTTGTCACGATTAACAACATCTCCATGCCTTAGACAACCCTCAAAACGTAGGCCTGTTGGTAGAGTAATTCTGTAAACTGAAAAAAAGTAGGTTAATTTTCTTAAAGGTAATTAAGAAATTAAGGATAACATCCACGATTCATGCCAATAAATATATAACGGTTGTTGTTCAAATTTAATCAGGCTACAACACGTTTTTTTTTAACGACGGGAGAAAGCTTTAAAAGTCTTAATTCATCTACAGGAATCACTTCCCCCCCAACGGATGTACTGGTTCTGTGTTTATAATGTGCATCATTTATAATTTCTATTCATAGCTCAACGTCCCCCCTCAACGTTATCATTTTCGCCGTGCATAATAATGCGAATGCATCACAACTTGTCCTCGAGAGGAATCGTACAAGGTTAAGAAAATGGATCAATCAATTTATATTATAAAATACACGGGAGGTGTCGGGTTAGTCGAAATTCATGATAATTTCTCGCCCCAGACTGGCGATACAGCCACCATCTTGAATTTGTAATGTCGCCGGCAGCCATTACTCTGTACATGCAAAATGGCTGCCAAAATATTAGTATATTTGTCGACTTGTTTTGTCAGAAAACAAGTAAAACTTATTTGCAATGACAATATGCATTATCACTAAACAAATGCGTTATATCGGTGCATGTAATAGCAAAGTTTAAACTGCACAAAACACGGGGATATCGAGGACGTGGGGTAGACACGCCAATAACACCGAAGCTACGCGATTGAACCTTGACCGATTTTCCCAGCTGAAAAGATCTTCCATGTCCAAATATGATTAAAAAACTAACCGAATGCATATTTAATTAACTCGACACAAAGATGATTTGATAAGACAATTGAAAATAACTACAGTCGGCAATAACGACACGAATTACACCGATAAACATCGTCAACCTACCTTGTAATGTGTTCGGAATGAAATTTCAATGGCGACTTTCCTGGGCGATGGTTTGAACCCGAGAAAGATTGCACATATCACAGTAACCGCTTACGGAATATACAGCCTTAATGGACACGAAATTGAGTATGTACATAGCACCGGAGATGAGGCATAATTGTTGCCAAAATAATAAACTTTTTGTCGTTTCCAGTTCTAAAAGGCCTGCTCAGAGGCCGAGTTAGGCAGCAGGCTCATTACTGAGCTGGTTGGTTGTAGGTTTAACACACGTTTATTGCGCAGGCGCATGGTCACATGATTTATATATATTGAAAACTAAGCAATGCAGACAGAGCAAGTGCCCGACGCACTTTACCAATATTTCTTCGTAGTGGGTCTGCGTCGGAGTACGTAGACAGGTTTCGCAACGTGTTATTTTTAACATTCGTGTTATCATTTGTCATACTCGAAGTGTAATCTTAGACCTGCTACAATTAAATTGCCTTTGTAGTATCTGATAGAATGGAGATGGATACACGGCGATTTTTGTTTGATCTGAATGGCTATTTGAAATTGCATGATATTGATTTATTACCGGTAACGTTCCGTTTTACTACTTTGTTAGATAAAAAAAAAAATGGAAATAAAAATTCAAATGAGTATAAAATACTAGTTATCAAATAAGACCTGACAATAATGTCAATAATTACATTTTATTAAAAAAATGTCCAGTTATTTGTTGGTGATTTGGAGCCTTTTGTGAAAGAGAACCAAATTTGACATCAGGAAGTTGATTGGGAGGGGGGTACGCTAGCACTCTACCCTTACTGGGCAAAAAATCGGTCCTAAATTGCAATTAGTCTATGCAAACAGTAGTCCAGTTTTATGTCTATACTAAGTAGCTGCTGTATTTAAATATCCCTGCTACAGTGTTAAACCCCTTGTCAATCTTAATCGGGTCTCCATCTCTTTCATATAATTAGGCATGCATCAGAGATCAAAGAGTTCCATCTGGATGTCATGTATTCCAGCTGAAATATGGGAGGAATTACTGATATCCTGCTTTCAAACCATCTAGGCTAGTACATAACACCACAAGTACCTGGGTTTACTTGCTACCATTAATTACGATTAGATAACAGGTTATTGGGACAGCGTACACTATAGCTTCAGTTATGTGTCATATTTTCATGTTGTTTGGAACAATTATATTATAATTTTATTGCGTTACAAATTGATAAATATATTCAAATAGTTTCTGTACACAATTATGTACTTTTCTAGTTCATTTACTAAGATAATGAATACTAATTATGGAAAGGAGGTCTTCTTAACACTTTGTAAGTAACCCAGGGTTTTCTAGCTGGTGTACATTGCATAAATGTATATGAGCTATCTTCCTGAAAATGTTCAAACATCTTCCTCATGATTTTCTATCTAGTTGTGTAAACTAATGAAACAACATAAGGGTCAATGATATATTTTTTACAACAGAGAAATTCTGTCTGTAATTGGATGACAATGAGTCGATAAACGGTATTGTTTCATAGATAATGTAATACCTGTATAAGCAATTTCTTCATATACATGTTCATTTTGATAAAACCTCTGACAAACATTTGTTTAAATTGTAAGGGATTTTTTTCATTGAGAGTGGAGAGCAGAAATGACCCCGACCCACTGACAATTCTAAATTCCCATTAACCCTAGATAAGAGGACCAGTGGCTGCAGAGTATAGGTAGTTCCATACAAATGGTGTTATTATAACCTGAACATGGGTGAACTAATATTGATCAACACAAGAGAAATATGAATTGGTGGTACACTACATATTTATTACTAACCTCTACATGGGTGAACCAGTGTTATCAAAAAGGAAGTGTGAACCAGTGGCGACTCCGGCAAAGGTAGTTTTATATGAACCAAGAGACAAATGAACTAGTTTCAAAGTGAACCAGTTGTGGCAGATTTTAACATGCAGAAAGCTCCATATGAACCTGGAGTCAAGAGAATGGGCAGAGGTACAGATACATATAACTAGACTATACATGGTTGGATGGCAAGCTGCTGGCAACGTCAATCTTCTGCCAGAATTCCAATCAGAGACACTTATTTAAAGACATGCTTTATTAAATCTTAGGTAATGTTCTACTTCACACGGACAGATGACTTATACCTTCAGACAGATATTGATTAATTTCATGATTTGGGATCAAGAGGAACTTAATTGTGTCAAATCATGTAATTTCAGATTGAGTTGAATGACACCGAGCTCTAAGCTGTTTAGACAAAATACAAAACATACAGTAAATGTTTTTGAATACGAATAGCAGTGAACCCTAACAGCCGTACACTTTGCATAACAGGAGAAGCTCCTATAATAAAGCGAAATCTAAAGAACGCTAACCGTAATAATTGAGGAAGTGGATGAGGATGTTTTTCACAATCATTAGTGTACATGTTAAATAATGAGCATAAACAATTTCATAAGCATAAAAATACATTTACATAACTTGGTAACCATACATTTATATCAGCAAATAAGTATTATTTTGTATTTTTAAAATTCTTTCACTGGCAAATAATTATTTATTCATGAATCTATTTTAAAAATGGCTACATCCCTCAAATTCCTAACCAGAGAGGACAAAGCATTGTGTTGGTTTTGTGAAGTACTTTAAAGTTTGGTTTTAATTAGTTAAATTATAACGGTTAAAGTATGATTAATAGGGATATAACAAGTTTCTGGTTCAATGTAACCAGGGCTGAACTTGGAGACTTGATCTTCAACTGTATATTTTTACCTGTCCATGTTTGCCAGAAGACTGGACCTGCTGTATCCCACATCATGATGGTTTGAGGTGACTAAGGTAGGGCCCCCTACACAATAAGGGATGTTTTCTTCATTGTCGCCTGCCAAGGGAGATGCTCATATTACAGCACCTGGGACCTCAAACTTTTCTTTCTCTAAAACCTACTGTACATATTCGTTTTGGCAGTGTCAACATAGACAGCATTAATTTATGTAAACCACTCTAGGTATAATGTGACCAGGTAGAATGTCATGCTACCACGTCTATCAGTAGGTTATGACATTTCAGTGAAATCAGGGGCCGTTGACTCCTCAGAACTAAAATTGACCCCTCCATGTTCCATTTTTTTTAATTTGTTTTACATAGAATGGCACCTCTTAATTTTGATATTGACTAAAAATTGCTGAAATGACCCACTGGTCTCAAATTCCAGGAGTGTCCCTGTAAAATGGCACCTCGATTGGCCCCATCATTCGATCCATGGTCATTCTCTTCGTATGACATTAATGTTCCAAGGACACAAAACATTAAACAAACAAATGAACATGCATGGAAACTTCCTGTTTTTGAAGGGTACAATACCTGTATTTCTCTCTGGGTGACCGATACTTGGCAATCACCCGCAATATTATTTTATGTGTGTATAATACTGATAGACGGTCAGAAACGTTAAGCAGTTACTTATCATGAATCATTGTAGAAAGATGCAGACATATACATCATGGAGACACAGCAGTGTATCAAATGAACGCACACAAGGGTTAGCAGTTGTACTGTTCTTCTCTATACTGCACTGCAACATTACACACATAATCACACACCTGCAATTTGGCATCCAACACACATTCCACGCTTTTATATTTGGCATGGGTCACTAGTTTGAACTACTAATACAAAGTTATGATATGAGAATAGACTGTGCATATTACTTAGCTGTGGACTATGTTATATATGCTGTTATATGTACAGAGTGGTTACATGTAGCTCTGAATGAAGCATAGCCAGTCAGCTGGCATATGGCCAGACATGGTGAGACGGCTATGGGAGTATATTCACAAACTAAAACCACACAGCTATTTCAGCCACTTACCTAATACATAACCACCACAGGTATATATACTGTGTGGTGGGTTGTTTACCTCCGATTATACATACCACCTTATACCATACTAAGTAAAGTAACCTGGGTACACCGCAAAAACAGTAGACCACTAGTCAGATTGTACAGTAAAAATTTAACAACATAGACCCAGGGGCCTTAACAGGGGGTGTTCAAGATTTACACTTCAATTTCTTCTCTAGACCCCCCCCCC